TGCCATTATATAAACATTAGGACACCGGCTAGGAAACATTATGACACCCGCTAGGTACCATAATGTTGTCATGAAAGCTCAATTTGCTAGTGCCGGACTATAATGTCATGAGACAGAACATGCCGACAGAGACCCCCCCTTCCTCTGCTAGGTAGTAGTATGGTTCGCGATATCATATCCAGTGCAATTCAAATTTCAATGCAAGGCTCTAAACACGAGAACGAATGATATAGGACATTTGCTACTCATTGCGTAGGAGGCCTCCTGCAGTCACTTGATGGTTTTCCTTTAAAAAGCAGTCATCGAAGTGCGGCTGTAAATTAGGTATTATGAGATATTCAACCTCGGCTCTGAATAGGTACGTATGTTCAACATTGCGGTCAAAGGTCTTACAGCTCAAAGGTGAGATTTGCTCAGATATGACACGACCAAGTTGCTAATGATAGGTCCAATTTGTCAAGAATAATAACTCAAGCTCAACTTCCAACTAGTGAGGCAAGTAGGTATAAGCCCGTAAGATGGATCCCTTGAGCTTCAGTACGAGAGCATCCTCCACGCCATCTATGACTCCAAGCAGAGATGGTTGAAATGGAACATCCACAACCATAAGTGCTAAAGGGGCTGTGTAACACAAACATCGGTTGTCAGATCTCGATTTGGCAGTTCAGGAGATCCGGTTGTTTCGCGACCAGGCAGCGACGGGAGCGGCACAGCGGCCCAAACTTGAATTGGCGTCGAATTATGCATAACATGCAACCCAAGTCCCCAGCTAGCAATCTCCAGCTCAACTGACCCCCATTGGACTTTGAAGGAGTAGTATTATAAGTCGGGTCTAATGGAAGAGATGCTCACACTAGGGGAACTTTGCTACTGCCCGATATGGAAGGCAGCCACGCCCAACATTAGGGGGTGGTCCATGCTACCCTAGGTGAAACGGTGCCTTAGGGAATCTCGATAGGGCGGATAGGCGGATGTCGTGCGAAGTGAGAACGTGCTGCCGGGGGACAGGGAGCCTTTTCTTCCTATCACAGCAGCAGTAGTAATGCAGGAACAGCCTGGAGAGGTTTTGGCTCGGTAGTGGAATAATTAAGATATATGAATGTAGCCTGAGTTTGTCTGGTCCTAAACAACATTCCTGGACCATACGACAACGCGGCAACCAGGTTCCCGGAAGCGCGGCAATAACCCCAGAACTTCTACCGTGAACACCGCCTCAAGCAATGACTAATAAAAGTGTATTAGTGTAGGAAGTCGCCATAGTAGACGGCTGATGAGTCGGATTTGGACCAAAAAATGTCCATTACCACCTGCCCAGCCGGTGTGTACATACGCCCACCCTACATTCCAGTCCAAATCGCACGCCAACCACTTCATGATTGGCCGACCTGATCTCTCCCCAAATCGCGCCTATCCTCCCCACAATCTCCCCCACTGCACGCCATTGCAACTCCCGAGGTTCGTTGGCTAGCGCCACAAAATCCAGCCAATGCGATGACGCCATCCAAGACGACCCCTGACGAGGTGACATCGGAGATATGATTTGGCGTGCATGACCGATTGCATGACCGGAGCCGTGATCCAGTCATCTGTTGTGCTCTTGTCTTGGTGAGCAACCATCCCCATTACTAACAGACAAGATTGCTGTAGCCGAAGTGATATCGCGAGAGCTTGGAAGAGAAAAAGGGGTGAACCGCCAAGTGCGCCTAGGCCCGACTTCCTGAGTACAGCAGGTATCCACGGAATGTTGGCTACCTTACCTACCTGAACCAGGGTGAGAGAGATAAGGTAACCAGCCGCCCCGCGCGATTCTGCATGCAAGACGATCTCGCTGGCGCTGAACTACTCACCTACCGGATATGGTCCTTTCCCGTTGCCGAGCGCACCCTAGAAGCCCTAGAATGTACCGGCATATGGCGAACCCTATTGACCTGATCCTTCTGAGCTTACCTGGACGTAGGTGGCAACTGCCCATGGTCCCAAAGTATGAGGTCGGCACAGCCTCTCTCCAGGTCACCCACAACCCGCGAACCAGCCGTTAAAGCCGGCAAGTTAAACCCATCTCAAGACCTGTTTACTGAGCTGTCGGCATCTAAACTTGAACCCTGTCCCATGCATACATGTTGGTAACAGGACAGAGCTCCGTCTCATTGGCCGGGCCAGTAGCGCAAACCAGGAACCACCAGTCTATTATAGACCTTAACCCTATATGTCAGGTAGCGCCCAGCATGTCGCGTTTCGATGTGAGAAGGTTGCCATGTCCAACATGCGGTCTCCCTCTCTGAGGCCCAAAAAGTCAGGTACTCCCGTCCAAGACCAAGCTACAGGTCTCAACGGACGCTCCCGTGCCCGGCCCTTGTTACATACGGCTGAGACACCGAACCGGGAAGGTGTCTCTCTCACTCAGCATGTCGTCCCCGGCGCCGTCGTGACCCTGGCGTCATACCGAGCATTATCACGATACCGAGATGCCATACATTGCCTGCCAGAGCCGTCCATAGCCCGACCAAGCCGCATGTGGCCGGGGTTGCCTCGAATCTGGCAGGTCGTTCACAGCTTGGAAAGTCGCTGGACATCTCCGGTCTAGCATCATGGACATAAATATCATCAACTCCCACTCCTCCATGACGACCTGACCTGACCTGACCTCAGCACCAACGGCCAACCTCGCAGCAGCATCCCCAAGTCCAATCGCCAGTGCCTCCAGTCCAGTCCAGTCTTCACTCCGGGTCAGATTCTGTGCGTCTTGTCAAGATGCTCTTCTCCGCTGCTCTCCTCGCCCTTCTGCCGGCCGTGCTGGCGGCTCCGGCCGCTGAGCCTGCGGCGGCGGCGGCGCAGCTCGACAAGCGGGCGCCCATCATTGCCGCCCGCGCCGGCCAGGTCGTGCCCGGCAAGTACATCATCAAGCTCAAGGCTGGCGCCGACGACAAGGCCCTGGAGCGCGCCGTGGGCAAGCTTGGCAAGGACAAGGCCGAGCATGTCTACAAGAGCAGGAAGTTTAAGGGCTTTGCTGGCAAGATTGATGCTCCGTTGCTTGAGGAGTTGAGGAATCTGCCTGAGGTGAGTTCTTCTTGAGGATATACCAGTTGAGGGTGTATTGTGTCTGACCGTCTGATAGGTCGAGTATGTCGAGGAAGAGGCCATCTTCACCATCAACCGATACGTCTCGCAGACTGGTGCCCCCTGGGGCCTGGCGCGCCTGTCCACCCGGACCCGGGGCTCAACCACCTACACCTACGACGACAGCGCCGGTGCTGGTACCTGCTCCTACGTGATTGACACGGGCATCTACACCGCCCACTCGGTATGTGCAACCCCCTTACTACTCTACCGTGACCACTGCGTTAACATGGTATTCCCAGCAATTCGGCGGCCGCGCGACCTTCGCCGCCAACTTCGTCGACAGCTCCAACACGGACGGCAACGGGCACGGCACGCACGTCGCGGGCACCATCGGCTCCAACACGTACGGCGTGGCCAAGAAGACGCGGCTGTACGCCGTCAAGGTGCTCAACGCCAGCGGGTCGGGGACCACGTCGGGCGTCGTGGCCGGCATCAACTTTGTCGCCACCGACGCGCCCAACCGCAGCTGCCCCAACGGCACCGTCGCCAACATGTCCCTTGGTGGTGGCTACTCCGCGTCCATCAACAATGCTGCTGCTGCTCTGGTTGATGCGGGTGTCTTCTTGGCGGTTGCGGCCGGTAATGATAACGCCAATGCCGCCAACTACTCGCCTGCTTCTGAGGCCTCGGTGTGCACCGTCGGTGCGACGGATAGCAGCGATCGCAAGTCGAGCTTCTCCAACTATGGCTCGGTGGTTGATGTCTTTGCTCCTGGCACGTCGATTCTGAGCACGTGGATTGGTAGCACCTCGGCTACTGTGAGTTACCCCTGAATATTACCGGTCCGATCAGACAACCTCAGATGCTAACTGATCTGTGAAACCAGAACACCATCTCGGGCACGTCGATGGCCTCCCCGCACATTGCTGGTCTCGGCGCATACCTCCTTGGCCTCCTCGGCCGCCGCTCCCCTGAGGCTCTGTGCTCGTACATCAAGAGCACGGCCCAAAGCGGTGTCCTCTCCGGCCTGCCCAGCGGCACCCCCAACCTCCTTGCCTTCAACGGCAACCCTTCTGCTTAAATCGTCCGTAGTAGAGCGGATTGAGTGGAGAATGAATGGAAGCGCTTGATCAACAGCGCGTGACTACAGGGTGCTTAGGTCCATCCCTGGCATTGCAGGTGGATATGACCAAGCAAGGAGATCCTGGACGTGGTGAGGATTGGGGATAGCTGGTGATGCAGAGGTCAATAGGATCATCAGGGCGGTAGAGGTGATGCATAGTCCATCTTGGGTTCAAATCTTGTACATACTATACTGAACCACTACTAGTACTGGTAGTATGCAGTGCCATGAAGGCTACTGCGGAACATGACTGACGTTTTATGATACATAAGAATCTGATCGAGTAGAGATGAGAACAGTCAAGTCATCACGCCCGCTCTTAGTTGAATGCAGTGATATGCTAGTAGCGCAGCGGTTTTCGAACGAAAGGGGATTTGTTTTGTCATTGCCAGCGGTACCCCCTTCCAAGACACCCCTTCTTGGGGGCGGGATTTCCCCCTTGGGCAATTCACCCATACCGTTGTGGGTAAGTAAACAAACCAGGTCCTGGGTTTTCTGAATGGTTGGAAAGACCCTTGCTTTGATACAAGAATGTACATTTACTTCGTACTCCATGTAGTTCCAGATTTACTTGGTAGACTGCAAGCATGACTCGCTGCACTTGACCATATTGTACCTTTGGTTGGAAAAAAAAAAAGGTTGCCAGAACCGGATATCAATGTTTAGTTCGCTCTAATGTAAGGTACGTAGCACTCATGATCTATGTCGCCTAGGCCCGTCTAAAAACAAACTCAACGCCCGCCAATTTGTCCCTTAGGAATAGGGGGGATCCAGCAAACCGCCAGATTCAAAATGATATGCATGATGCCAATGACCCAGAACCCCTTCGCATAGTTTGTCCCGTTGTCCATATACCGGAAGATAATCGCAAACACCACACCGCCAAGGTTCCCACCCGCACCCGTCAACCCAGACAGGACACCGTTCGCATGGGGATAGACGTGGGGCACGAGCGCAAAGTTGGCGCCGTTGCCGGCCTCGTGGAAAACAGCCATGAGGACGATCAACCCAACCATAGTCCCAAGATCATGGGGGTCGAGCATGCCGATGAGAATCAACAGCGCACCCGTCAGCAGACCGCACACGTGGATCCAGATCTTCTTGAGCCACAGGTTGCGCCCGAAATAGTTGTACAGCATGTCACCGACGACGCCGCCCAACGGCCGCGTGACAAAGTTGAGGAAGCCAAAGAGCGCCGCGTAGTTGCTCGCGTTGGTCTGCCCCAGGTGCGGGAAGTTCTTGAGGTAGTAGGCGCCCAGGATCGAGTTGACGGCCAGCTCGCCTCCGAAGGAGCAGGCGTAGGTGGCGGTGTGGAACAAAGCGTGCAGCGAGAATACCACAGGCAGTGAGTCGCGGAATGTGGGTTTGACGACTGTCTCGCCCTGGGCCGTTTCGATCGCTTCGGTTACGGTGAGGTCGCCCGTGAGCTTGGGCTTCTCGGGGTCGGCCTTTTCAATGTCGGACGGGGCGCGCGAAGGGCTGGTGGAGGAGGACGGCGGCTCGCGGTCGGCGATGTTGCCAGTGATGGCGACAACTTTGCCGGAGATGCCCTGGGTCTCGAGATTTTGCTGGACATTTTCGTGGCGGTCGCTCCTGAAGATGGTGTTAACGTGAGGTCTCGGGAGAAGGGGAGTCATGTGCGAGGCAATACGCACCATTTGCCCATAGGCGTGTCGTCACAGAGAAACAGCAGGCCAAGTCCGCAGGTGATCAGGCAGACGAGCGGGACGATGAATGTGATGCGCCACGCCTCACCGGAGGTGTGGCCGTGCCTGTGCACAAGCGAGTCGTACACGGCGGGCATGATGAAATAGGTAATGCCGCCTCCCGCGTTACCCCAACCCCCTGAGAGCGCGTTCGCCGTGCCGACAACATTCTTGTCAAACCAGCCCGTGCACCAGACTTGGCAGGGCACGAATGAGCCGCCCAGAATACCGATGAAGAACCGGATGATGTACAACCCTGTCGCGTCCTTGATCAGGGGGGCGAGTCCGATGGGGATGCTGCCGACAAGCAGGATCAAACTGAACACCTTGCGCGACCCTAGCAGATCGCATAGTGGGCCGGCGGCGAAGCGGACCAGGAGAGTAGCCACCAGTGAGACGATGTTGGAATTGGCTACTTCCTCTGATGTGAGGTTGAGATCCTTCTTGATGGTGACACTCAACTATCCCAGGGTTAATACTGGATAAGATACTGCGAGATTGGACTGTTAGACCCACCAAAGGAGGAAATGTGTACCAAGCCCAGAAGGCCAACATAAAGCCCATCCACGAAAAGAAGAAAACCCTGCCATGCCTATCGATCGGGTTCAGAATGGGCACGCTGCGTGCTTTCTTGTTGACAGGGTTGACTTCTGGCGTCCGCCAGAGGTCTGATGGCTTGAAACCCATTTTGTGATTGACTGGAGCGCGGCTGGGTGCGGAACTGGTACCGAAAGAGGATTCCCGTCAATGGATTGAATGGATGATACTCCAGAGCTCGTCGCCGATGCTGAATGATTAATTCAGAGTATCATTCCGAGTTCAATGGCCGACTTATAAGTATGTTCGCCCATGTCTCGTCTTCCCTGAACTGCGACCACCCCGTCGGATCGGATTGTAAGAAAACCCAGTCATGGCGGCGCCACAGAATGAACCATGTACGGGAGATCTGGGTTGTTTTCTTGATCTTGCATCTCCGGGTCACTTAGCGCTTCATCCCACATGTGAAAAGCGTGGAGGGCATGGCTGAACCCCCAAAGCCGTTGCTTATCTCGCGCCTTATCTGCTTATCGGGGCATGGATTTCCAGCCATTGATAGCGACGCTTTTGGCTGAGGCTCCTCGACAGGGGTAGTCTTGGCAGAGATAAAGAACCGCCTGTGTGTGCCACGATGACGGACAGCGGATCTTACCGGCTAGGGATCCTGCCTTGCCTTAGCGGTGGGTGCTGGCTATCATGGCCCTGCCATCTCCGCGGGAGTTGAAAGCCTGGTCTGGGGCACTGATCCGGGGAGATGCCAATGTCGACTGGGAACGAGGCCACCCTTATATGGTTCCGTCTGGTCCCATCTTCTGGTCTAACTGCAAGGGTTGACCAAGCCTCCCTTATCTCCGTGAACCTTGTCGCCCGTCAATGACTGGTCCCGGGCGGCCCGTCTCCAACCACCTGGCCGGAACCTACCCGATGCCCAGAGCTCCCGGAAGGCTGACAGACTGCTGGTTGCACACAAGTCGTGTGGGAGGTCTAGATTTTTGATCTCTGATCTTCGGGTCTGTTTCAGGCATTGTCGGATCCGCGTGGGGGTAAGGTAGCAGCTTACTTCAGCTGCCTTGTTCATACGCGCCCTATTCATGGTGAATCAGTGGCAGAAAGCAAATCTCGATTCATCTTCAACTCACCTCGGCCGGCCAATGACAAAACCAGGCTTTATTTCCAGCCTTAATTAATGCCGCCCAGCCCTACCACGATAAACCCAATCAATGTCCCACAAGATCATCTGTGCCTATCTGATATTCACCTGCGTGGTTCCAGAGTAAACAAGCTATCCATGGCTTCGCTCTGCAAACCAACCCGCCGTGACAACCTACTGAAGATCAAACCAGAAAGGGCCGAGACTGGGAAGCCTGAGTGCTGATGATGCTGCGAGGCATTGGCCACTCGATCTGGGCTCTCCATCTGACCATGACCTTGGGAGCGGAGATGTCAATCTCATCTCTGGCAACCGTCCAGGGGATGCCATGGCATGTCGCCACGCCGAGACACACGGTCTGGAGGAGCGAATCAGCGTGCAGGAAGAATCCTGCTCGCGGAGAGCTGGCCAGCAGAATTTGATGCCGCTTAATGCTAGGACACAGTGGGTGAGTGGTGCTATGTGCTTTTGACGGTCCATGACGCCCCGCATAGATACTATGGCCTAGAATACAACCTTGATCAGCTTCGTTGTCTGCCCTGAAAAGGCACAATCTACTAGGTTGAGTGAAGCAGCAGGGCCAGCTGCAGTGTGGAATCAAGCATCTCCTGCCCATGCTCGGAGACCAAGATATTGGGGTGGATTCCAATCATGGCCGCCATGTTTTTGTTGCATCCTGCATGCATTAGCTCACATCCTTGCCGAAACACATCTTGCAACTGAGAGGGAATCCAAGCCTAGGTATCCTGTCCTTCGCCGTATCTGAGCAGCTCAGCTTGCAGTATCATAACAATTCCGGAATTGCGCTGGTGATCAGCCTCTCCCAATGGGTCAACGGAGATGCCTTGACAAAGACGCCGGATTGAAGAATAACAGGTGGGAATATGGTTTGGACCATGTAGTATGGTGGAGAGGGTAAGTCACACAGAAAAGGAGGGGTCCGACCTTAACTGGAAGGGAGTAAAAACACACTCGCCTTACCGAGGAGATCATGATATTGGACATTCCTCCTGCCTGAGAAAGTCCCCTTCGAGGTTTTGAAGAAACGGTAAGGCAGGGAACAATCTGGGCCGTCTTTCCCCGAGCCATCGAGCGGATAGCGTTTATGCGCTGAAGTGCTCCTTTGGTAAGCCGCACCCACTGAGGATCGTAAGATGTGACATCCGAGTCGCTGGCACAATTGGAAACGTGGGGTTCTCAAACCAGCAATCTCTAACATCTCGGGCAGTGTATTCCGTCTATCGTTTTCAGCGAACACTGGTAAGGCCAGGCATATGCACACGACGAATCTTCTCGCCCTTTCCTCGTCTGCCACCGCATGTCGCCTCAGTTGCTCCGAGCACCACCCTTGGCTTCCCTGAGCTCGTTCATCTTGGCGACTCGCTTCTTAAACTCGACGTATTGGCACTTTTCGTAGCTGTGTCTCTCGTCCTGTGCAAAAGCAGAGTCAGTTTATCCCCTCGTGTCCACAATGCAAGATCAGTTGTCCGTCGCATCGCCGCCGTCCGGTCCGGTGTTTGAGATGCCAAACCGTACCTCGCACTTCCACGGCATGTAGTATGTTTCGAAGCGGCACCGGTTGAGGGGGATCAGAAGATGGCCACAGCTGTCTCGATATGCTAAGGGAAGCTTCGCATCTCGCATCTCCTCGCGGGTTGCTCCTGTTTTTGCATCGTCAGCACTTTTAGGTCTCAGAGTAATTGTGTCTGCTCGTCGAAGTTGCATACGCCGCGGGGTCTCAGATGCCTCTTCTAGCGCCATTTTGTGGTGCAATTGAGGCGGCTTGAGTCGACAATTGCGAGGGGAGCTTGATGTGGTTGGTCACGGTTTTGATGTTGCGAACTTGCGGCCGAAGTCGAGCTGGTCGCAGCTGCCGAAAGTGGAGCGCTTCAAGCTCCGGTTGGCTCGTGCACGTGGATCATTTCAGTGGGGCAACTGGACGACCACGTGACTAGCCAATCTTCAGGGGTTAATGTTTTCGAGCAATTGCTCCCTCCATTTCCTATTCGCAAGCAGAAACCAACACGTCAGGCACAAACCTTCCCGGGGGAAAGTATCGTCAATTGCAGGTTGTCTTGGGAGTCTGCTCCCCAGCCGGTTGCCAATATGCTAGGGACTCAAAGGAGTATCATCCGATTTGTATATCGGCGAGTCGCGTTCAACGGTTCAAGTGACATTCGTTCCGTCGAGACAACACAGCTCCCTCAAACCAATCGATGTCGTTCCCGGGTTGCCACAGGCTCACAGCGTCTTCCACTTCGTCACCAGCCCTAATCTCCAGGTTACTATCTTCTGTTTTAGCCGGCCGATTCGACTTGACTATTGCGTGCGGTACACGCATATCCCTTTTCGGCTTGGTATATAAGGTACTGGCAGTTTGCTATAGCGACTAATGCAAGCTGTAGATTTCGTCCTTGGAGAAAACGCTCTGTCATGAAAACAGCGAAGCTCCGAGTCTTCAGATTGCCTTCACTCACCCCGTGTGAGAACACACTGTGCACGCTCGTCATTACGTATGTATGCGTATGAAGTTTCGCTCCAAGAACCTTAATCCCATCCATCCATCCATTGGGGCGCGCCTCCGTTCTTCCCCAGAATTCCCAACGCCATCTCAATCTCGAAGCTCCACCATTCACTGGCATCCTTCCTTGGAGGTCGAAACCGGGTAGCTTCCTCTTCACCAACCCTATTCGACCTGCTCTGAGGATCTTGTCGCTCGCATCTTCTCAATTTCTGCCCGTCTACGGCCGGTTCAACTGGCGGCCAAAGCCTGATTTCGCGAAGCTCTCTACACGTGGACACCCGACAGCACAGGCTCAAAATTCTGGCTCCGGCGCCCGCCATGGATACTATTTACCTCGGAATTCTAGAGCCGGCCATGGATGCTATCGGTTACCTCGGCTACGATTCTCCCTTGGACGTGAGAAAAGCTGGGAAGAATGGGTGGTATATTCTGTGGTTCGAAGTGGCCTGAAGGTTCAAGTTTCAGAAGCCCCGCAGACCACAATAAATATAGGAAAACAATGTGAGTGGCTCCTGCCACTTTACAGACGCCAAGTCGGACGGCGACTCGGATTTGTTCGGGTATTACGGGCTCTCCCCGCAGAGATGCCCCGTTTGCGCATCGACTCTGGGATTGCGGTGCTGCCCCGGCTGCGAAGTTGTCAGCTACTGCGGCTCCGCGCATCAAGCGACCCACCGAGCCAAGCACAAACAAGTCTGTAACGCCATCAAGAGGACTCGACAAGCTCTTGAACGTGAGGAGACGACACTCAAAAGTACTAGTCATCCCCGGGTCATTGAGAATGTTTTCAAAGAGGGCGTCTTTTACCCGGACTTTTGGTCGCGCCCAACCACTCGAGGCTACATGAGGGCTCGGCTATCCGCCGCTGACGCCCTCCTCAAGATTGACACAGCCCCCGCTGTAGAGCAGGCACTCGATCATTTCACAGACATGATCCGCCTTAACCGGATGGATGACTTGCGTGTACGCGACTTCATCCCTGGCCTCTTACTACGACTTGGTCATGAACAGGAATGCTACGACTTTCTCAAGTGGTGGGCAACCGTGAACGACAGTGCTGATACGACCCGGCCATATCTGAACATTCACAATGCCGATGCCTTTGAGCCTGTGGACATGTTCTGCTCACGAACCGCGAATCTCAGCCATCTCGTCATGCTCACCCTTTTGAAGTTGCGCCTATCCCTTGATCTTCAGGCATACGAGACAAGATTTGAGTTCGACACGGTTCGATCCGACCGGCCCCTGGGAAAGCTGGTGCGATCAAGAGTCCGGCACATGAGCCCACAGAGGATTGCAAAAACCAGCACGGCATTGACAGCTCAGTACCACAGGCTCTGCCGGGCCGTGAACGACAGGAATCCACATTTTTGGGATGCCTTGATTGATGGAGGAACAGACGTTTCGATCATGCCCCAGTCCTACAACCCGGGCCCTCTGGAGGAGGCGCAGGTGGCTCTGCATCAATGCAAGGCAGCTTGGCAGGAGAGCGAGGATGCGCTTGTGATGCTCGAGGTGGATACGTGCCCTTTTGTCAGCGTCTACAGAGGTCCGACCACCGTCGTGGCCGCGGGCGACACTCAATATGCGGCTCCAGCACAGACAGCAGCGAACATGGAGATAAGGCGTGGTGCGGGATCCGTATTTCCAACGCAGTACAACTCTCCAGAAACCTTCGCCGCAACCAGTGTTGGACACCTTGGGGTCGTCTGGTTTGTGTCCATCAGCCAACCAGGGAAGGTACTTGTGTATGTCGACGGCGCTTGTACGAACAACGGACAGGCGAAGCCTCGTGCAGGCTGGGCCGTGGTACACGGACCTGGCGATGTTACGTTTGGTCGGCTCGAGGACAAAGGACCGTTCGGGGATGACAGTGTTGCAACGAGCAACCGAGCGGAGCTTCGGGCGGTCATCGCCGCGCTGCGCCTCTGTGACTGGCAGACCGAGGGATTCAACAGCCTCGTCATTGCAACAGACTCGACCTATGTCGTTGATGGAGCCACAGGCTGGGCCAGGGGCTGGGTACGCAACGGACGGAAAACACGCACGGGTGCCCATGTCAAAAACAAAGATCTGTGGGAGCTATTATTGGGCGAGACGGAGCGATGGTGGGATCGAGGAGTCCGCGTTGCCCTTTGGAGAATCCAAGGGAGGGGAATGGAGAAGCTGACGCCTGGGCAAAGGAGACGGCCGTAGCTAGGAGCGACGAGCCCCGGTTCAGAGACGTCACGATAGAGGCTGGTCGGCAGACCGCTCCTCAGACCACTACCCTAACCGTCAACACTAGACTTGGGTCAAACCCCCGTATCCTTGCACTCTGCCTCGAGTATGAGGATCTCTTCGACGACTGTTTTGGGAGCCTCGTCTCGCAACTCTATTCCAAAGCCAAGATGGAGCGAGCCACGACTACCAAGACAGCCCTCCAGGTCCTCAACCAAAACCCGCCTCCCTCAGTAATCCTTGTCACCGACGGAGCTATAACACGCCAGAAGGAGGTCTTTGAGCGCGTCGTAGACCGGCTCCACGAAGGGGCCACTGTAGTCCTGGCGGGATGCTTCAGCAGCAATGTCACTACGGGGCAATTCGATCGCTTCTTCGCTCGGATCGGTCTCCCTTGGCGGCGAGGAAATTATCGCCGGAAAACAGTCAGCCTGCGCCAACAACTTGGTAACAGCGGTTTAGCGAACCAGCTTCCGTCAGCATACAGCCAGAAGGCCGTCTTCGTGAAGAACGTAGGCAAGTCGGCGGTGTGGTACAGCGAGGGGGGAGGTTCGGATATGGCGGCGGTTGCTTTCACGAAAATTGGTCTGGGCAGACTCGGCTAGATCGGAGATGTGAATGGAGAAGAGGGCTCCGATGCGGCGGTTCTGGCCATGTGCGGCCTTCTAGGCTGAAGTCTGCGGGGTTTGGGAGGACTCAGAGAAGTCACTGTCAAGTGAAAATGTTGGTGTTCTGTCTCTTGTATTGAACTTGGCTGCTCATGCCTCTCCATCCTCTTCGGTGATGCCTCCTTCCAGGTGGGCGCCACACATTGCAACGACTCTAAACACCAGGACGCGGTGAGTGCGACGATGCACCCGGTAGGGTTGTGGCCTTCCGAGTTAGTCACACGGGAAGAGGACATCCTTCCCCGCAATGCCCCTCCACAAACATTCCATCTGCCTCGCCCGTATCTGATATATATTCTGTATGTCCGGGCCACGATCCGGAGACTTGGAAACAGCACATCCAATCCCCAAACTACAATATTTGTCGACAATCGAACAGGATGTCTAACCTGCGCGAGCTAGACCTCATAGGCAAGGTCGCTATCATCACGGGCGCTTCTCGCGGCATCGGGCGCGCCATTGCCTTCAACCTCGCCTCGCGCGGTTGCTCCATCCTCGGAACCTGCACTGGTGACAGAGGCGTCCAGTCTCTCTCATCAGGCCTGAACGACGAGATCACGACCCATGTTTTCGAAGCCACATCGCGAGAGCGGCCAGCCAGCCTGCACATCAAAGGCCTTGTCGCCAACATTTTCTCCCCTGATTGCGCAAGCACCATCGCCAAGGAGGTCCGGGATTCGTTCCACGGCCGGGTCGACATCTTTGTCAACTCGGCCAGTGACACCATGCCCGGTGTCATTGGCGACATGGGAACCGATGAGGTGCAGCGAAGCCTCCTGGCCAACATCCAAACGCCGGTAATGATCGTCGAGGAGCTGGTCCGCAGGCGCTACTTCCAGCCCGACAGCCGCATCATCTACATCTCGTCCATCCGGTCCCGCCAGCCCTGGAGCGATCAGCTCATGTACGCGGCCGGAAAGTCGGCTGGCGAGTCACTGTGTCGGACGTGGGCGCAGGCCTTTGGCGGCAAGGACAAGAGGTATTCTTTCATGGCCGGCACGACAGCGAATGCCGTCACGGTGGGTCTGACCGAGACAGAGGCTGTGGTCAACTGCGGGCCGGAGGCTGTCAAGAGGTTCCAGGACGAGTTCTTCCCTGTGCAGAGTATCCCGCGGTTTGGGCAGGCCGAGGATGTGGCCGATGTTGTTGGACTTCTCTGTGGTCGCGATGCCAGGTGGATTACTGGTTGTGTCATCAGCGCCAGCGGAGGCGGCATCAAGATCGGGTGACTGGACGGCTTAGGTCGACGAGTGTTATCACTTGTAGGAACTACCATAGTCTACGACCTCCCGTTTAACTGAGCCAGACGTTACGCATAAGGACTCCGAGGCGCCACAACTCCATAAAAACAATCTATACTCGGTACGCCCGCGGAGTTCCCTTCCCGGGTTCCCGTAGCGTCTTCGGCCTCGTCAGCAACCACAATGGCCATGTTATCATTTTCCCTTTAGCCAGCCGACTGGACCTTGTCTGTTCTGCACGGTACACGCGTAACTCCTTCGGCTCGGTATCTTAGCCGAAAAGCGATCCAATGACCAGGATTCAGCTAACCAAGGTCATATATCCGAGTTCAAGTTGTACTGGCTCTTGGCGCAAATATGTTCTATTTTGGATCGTTGGCCATCTATGTGCTTTTCTTAGGTGATTTTTCAGAGGAGGCCGAGAGAAATGCATACATCCGAGTCAAGTGACGTTGTCGAGCCCATCCACATGTGTCCTGTGCCTCTGTTGGCTATTTTGCTGCCTCGCTTACTGCCTCATCAACCAGCTGGAGACTGGGAGCGTCCTGTTTGTTACTGCATTTTCATCACCCTGGATCTCGGACCAAAAATATGGTTACAATCTAATATTGCAGCATATCTGGCCTCTGGGCTTCATTCCCGTGGGCGCTCCCAGCTTCAGGCCTCCATCCCCCCCTTTTCCAGCTGGCCTTGAAGCCTGAGCCTGTCTTCTTCTTTGGACTACCACATGGAGGCTCATATTAGCATCTTATGCCGCTGGCAACCCTTCCAGAATGCAGCAAACAGGCCGCCTGTCCATCGCTTGCTTTCTCCTGGTTGTATTCCCGGTCCTAAATCAGGGTCTACTCTGGCAACCCCCCGTGGCCCCTCCGGTGGTGGCGGCCCTTTCTGAGGGTCCAACTAGCAGTAATGGGACTTTCCAGCAGCTCATTGACCACTCAAACCCAGACCTAGGCACTTTTTCACAAAGGTATTGGTGGGACACGACATTCTGGGATGGGCCAGGCTCCCCGGTATGCATCACCCATGACCTGGCATGAAATATAAACTCATGTCGCTTCCATGTTTCCATTGCCTTACTGATTACCGGCCTAGGTCGTGATTTTCACCCCTGGGGAGGTCTCTGCTGATTTCTACTCGGGCTATCTCACAAACCGCACCATCACGGGGCTGTACGCCCAAGCTATCGGAGCCGCGGTCATTGTCCTTGAACGTATGCCAAACCCCAGATTGAGAGATCAAGTTGCAGTTCTTGGACATCTATCTGGAAACATGCTCTCAGACGCACAGACGTTGGCTCAGTACACTGACATACCTCTTGGCTAGATCGGTACTGGGGGCAGTCCTCACCCTTCCAGGTCCTGGACACGCAGAACCTGAGATATCTGACGCTTGAGAATGCGGTTGCTGATATGGTACACTTTGCAAGGACGGTCAATCTCCCATTTGACCCGAGCGGTGTCACGAACGCTCCCAGAGCTGTGAGTGATCCGACCCCCATTCCAGCGGTGGGATCGTGCATCACTGAGACGGACTCGATCAGCCGTGGATAAGCGTTGGGGGCAGCTACAGTGGTGCCCTCGCAGCTTGGATTGAGAAATTGTCCCCCGGAACCTTCTGGGCTCACCATGCGAGCAGTGCACCAGTACAAGCCATTCGAGACTTTTGGCAATACTTCCAGCCCATTCAGGACGGCATGCCCAGGAACTGCAGCCTCTCGATGACCCAGATCGCCACGCACATCGACTCGGTGCTGTGGCAGAAAAAAAAAACAGAAATCCTGAGATTAAAGCAGATGTTTGGCTTGGAAAAACTGGAACATGACGATGACTTTGCTTCGTGTGTGGTTCCCCATTGCCCCCTACTCTTAGCACTGTTCTATCCTGGATAGTACCTAAGTGCTTGACCAGTTCACCTCCATGCTATGATGGAGTGGTAGACTGACTTTCCGCGAACAGGGCCGTTGCGTTCCCTCTGGGCGAGTGGCAGAGCATACGTATGTCCGCCTTCTCCAGAAACCTGCACTTGGCTAGTTCGACCATGAACTGACCACTCGAACAGAATCATACAGCAACTACTCTAGATTCTATGCAATGTGCGACAGTATCCAGGGTGCTAGGCCGGTCCAGACTGAAGAAGGCAACAATACCAGCACGACGCCAAAGCCCATCATACCGGGCACTGCAGCTGGTTTCTGGCAAGCGCTTGCCAACTACGCCAGCTGGTTCAAAAATGAGTACCTTCCTGGCAGTGGGTTTTCGGTTCCGGACTTTCTCCTGCCGCTCGACTGAGAGCTAACACCTCTTCACAGCATGCAACAGTTATGGCTACTTTGAATGGAGAAGCAGGCGCTCAGTCGCCTGCTTCGACACGTACAACGAGACAAGCCCCATGTACAAGGACTACTCTCCGTCCAACACCGTCAACCGGCAGTGGTTCTGGATGCTGTGCAACCAGCCCTTCTTTTACTGGCAAACGTGAGTCAACCATGGATAGCTGTCTGGACTGAGGCTTTACCCAGAGGGAGAATCAAACTAAGGATCGAGAAGGGGTGCACCTTTGTATGTGCCTTCGATTGTCTCGCGCTATCTAACCCCCGTGTACATGGAGCGGCAATGCCGGCTATTCTTCTCTCCGCAAGAAAACGTCACGTTTGGCGCTGCTGCGGGCAAGACGGAGCAGATGGTCAACGGGCTGACCGGCGGGTGGTTTGTGAACACGACCAGGCTTATATGGGTGAATGGGTAAGTTTAAGTCCGCTGCGGCCTCCCGAGTTTCTTCACACGCTCCCTCCCGTTCCCTTACCAGACGCAAAGGAGAGACCATGCTCGGCAAGATGTATACTCACCAAAGACCGGGTAACAGAGAATTTGACCCCTGGAGGTCTGCCTCTGTTTCGAGTGCTTTCCGGCCGGGTGGACCGATGCGGAGTAGCAGGGAAGCGCCAGTGTACCTAATCCGAGGGGCTCATCACTGCACTGATCTCAACACTAGAAATGGGGAGGTCAATGAGGATGTTCGAAGGGCGCAGTTGAGTGTGATCGCGCAGATGGTCGAGTGGATTGGCGAGTTCTACGACTTGAAGAAGAAGGGCAAGATTGATGAAGACGGCTGGATATGACTGGACTGCATTGGTCGCCCCTGCCAGCGCGCCAGATCGTCAGCATTGAGCATTCATTGTGAGGCAATGGCGACTACCGGTCCGCGAGGCGGTCTTGACATGTGTCACTCCCGTGCTCTTGCTGTCTTCTGGAGAATACGAACTGAGGAAAGTCCAACCCAGCCTTACTGCTTCACGCTAGTATAACCCAACCGCCCCCCCCCATCCACCTCGGAAGCCCGGTTCAGATCTCAATCGCACTCTCTTCCATTACGCCAGGCTCCCCGTCACCTCATTGCTTTGGCGTTTCTTTGTGACACGCCTTGGAAACAGGTGACTTATTGGCAGCTCAATTCATACGAGCATAGCAAAAAGCATTCATCACGCCTGGTCTCTTACCTCAATGAAAATTCTCAAAGTTAGCTATTCTGGGAGCTTTCAAGTTGACTTGCGAGGATAGTACCTCGGTTTCCATGGAGTCTGGGGATGACCTGAGCATGAGAAATCAGCTCCACGGCGCCTCTTTTTGCTGTTCTGTTCTTGGTGATCCTTGGCGCATGCCAACCATAAACTACCCATGACTGGATTAAGCCTTAAGGTGCTGACAGGATTCGGACTTGGCGTCCCGTATCGGCCGCACACAGGTTGGGCGCCGCAGACGGGCGTGATGCTCTGCCCCGACCTAGCGCCGCCAATCACGACACCAGCCGTGACGTCTTGTCCGGTGTACAAGGACGAAGGCTCGCAAAGGTAGAACTGTGGTGGTAGGAGGAGAAAATAGGGCTTAACCCCTGCGAGCGAGCTGCAATTGAGCAAGACGGGAGCAGGTTAAAATTCGCCCTGCCAAGTTCCAACAAGTAGCAACGGGCATTAGTAGGCAGGTAGGTGTCTTTTTTGGGCAGTCTTGCTGTCCCGACAGTTTGGTTGACGAATGAGGGACTGAAGACTGACTGTAAGCTGAGGAGTAGTTCCACAACCAGACGGGTTGTTGGCCCTACAGGACACCTTTCTCGGCCATTTCTGCAAATGCCTGTTCTGTTTTTGGGCAACCCTTCAATAGTCCAACCAAAATCATGCTGAAGAGACCTGAATGGTGCGCAGAGAACTTTGCTCAACGCCAACGAGCCGCCATGCGTGCACCTACAGGCTGAGTACAGGTCGGGACCCAGAGAGTTGGGATTTTGGTTCCCAAGCATATTCTGCGGTCAGGACGCGCGGCTACCCGCATTTATATCGGCCTACTAATTGTGTATGAGTCGAAGGATCATCGAGCCAAATGCAACCTAAAGCCCAGCTGGCATCTTTGTCGGGTCCAGCGATGCTTCGACAAGACGGCTGTCATGCAACCGGGGGAGTACCCGGTGTGCAGCCTGCAGGTACCCACCTTAGGTACCTAAGAGTCTAAGACACGTTGAAGTCAAGATTGGGCGCGGGAGCAGCGCGATCAAAGGCTCCTCAGCTGGCCACAGTGGATGGCTAGATGTCGGACCGTCGGATGAAGGTTCGGACCTTGAGGATTAGTTTATTAGTGCACTCGGGTAAGCAGTGCAGTGCGTGGTTTCAGTGACCGGCCAGTCCTGTCGTTGCCAAGATTGGAGCGCGCGGGCGGGTTTGGCGAAGAACAAGCCACTCGGCAAGGCAAGAGCCGTCCGGATGTTGGGAAACATGTGGATCTGCGAATTGCCATCTTCCTGCCAAGCCGAGCTTCACGGGACGGGATGAACCCCTCCTAAAGGTGCAGTATATACATGCCTGCCGGAGTTCGATACTGAGTGATAGCTTTGACTTGCTCGTCCAAGGTTGCTGACGGTGCTTTGCGGCCCGACCCCGATCACCTACCGTCGGCAGCTTTGAGACTTTGACGGGTCGAGATCCCGCGCGCTTGCAGAACATGGCCCGGCTTGGCACGCTGGGGGGTGTATTTTTGGGGCCAGGCGGCGCTAAAAATGTGGGGGCTCACCAAACTACCTACCGAGACTAAGGTACCTACGGGCCCCCGCGTGGCTTCATTGCGGCCGACCTCACACAACCCTCTCCCGTCGTACACAGCCGTGCAGTAAGTTCAGTGACGGGTGTACGGTACTTGGTACACACGTAGGTAGCTGGACTGTGTTTCTGACAATTACCTATGCCAAAGAAGGCAATGCAGATTTCCTTAGGAAAACGCTCACAGTCTTTTTGAACCATGCTAATAAGGACTGAGAGGTAGGCGTTTGCGTAAAACTTGAAGAATTTCAAGTTGAAATTTTCAATTCCTGGCTATCTGAACTCCCAAGAATTTCACCCAACTATTTCCCAGGGCAAAGTTGAAGCTCTCTACGAACCTCAATCCGGACATTCAGTGTAGGTATTGAGTGTATTGTCTAGTGATGCCCAATTATGTTTTTTTCGTGTGTAATCAGCTCCGAGGGTTATTGCTTGGGTCAATCGACGGCATTGGCCATCCCGTTTGCAAGATGCAGCCGGATTGAGCTGAAGCCGGTGGCTGCGCAAGGCGCAGGCGTTTATACACAACGACATAGCTTCGCTGCTCCTACCACAACCCTTAACTGTATGATATGGAGGTTCATACCAGATAGGGGCAGTGGGCAGTTAATCAGGTACATACAATACCTTCCTATTCTATGCTTTTAGAGATCCAGTCCTTCCATCCCTGGCTGCACAACGTAACATCCCCATGCTTCTTTTGCCACCACTGGCCCTCGGCTTCCTGTCCTCACGCGAGCCTCACCAATCTAGGGCGATCAGATTGGCCTCGTCGATCTGCACCCGCGAACCCCAAACTATCCTGCACTAAGTACTCATGTACAGTACATCGAAAGACCACATCACCAAGCCTATATTTGTATCTTATCCTAAGACTGGACCCTAACTTTAGCTTGTTAGCTAAATCAAGCTGCACTTGCTCTAGCGATGCACCTCTCTACCATACCCCGCGTGTCTATGTAGAGTTCGTAAGTTGGGTTCTGATTGGGTGGGTGAGGCCAGTTTGAGTGTATCATATTGTACAGTCCATACTGAAATTACCTGATAAGGAAGGGGCGGTAACAAACGTGCCTAGCGGGAATATGTGGATCCAGATCGGAGCTAACGGTGATTTCCGGTTAGATCTCGATTACTCCCGCCGCTAACATATAATTAGGGGGTAAAGGGGCTAGACCCTCCAGAAACACTTTGCCTGTGCCGCTCTCTACCAACACTACCGACACTGCTTGAGTCTTAACTTTGCAGCTGTCAGTGTTTGTCTACAGTGTAACGCAACGCCATATGGTTGTACTGCAGCCGTGTGTGCAATGCTACCATGATCTCGGGAGGCGACCAATCGCCAAAGGGCTTGGTATGTGCCATGTGGTGATCAGTGGCTGCTACAATGAGTAGCTCTCGATGTTTCAAGTCGTTTGTCTGGTGAAGAAAGAGAAACTCCTGCCCTCGCTCCCTCCGTGTGCAAACACATCACATAAGCATTAGATGATTCTGGTGAGGCTTCAACAAGCAGGTATCGTTCCCCTGGTAGTGCTGGCACCCGTCGTCATTCGTCAAAATACAGTAACCGACCTCTGAGCGAAGCTGAGGCGCTCCCGTCCTATAAAAATTATAGGATACCTCGCCGCTGAGAAGCAGCCGGAGCACGAGCCAACGGGGAAAGTTAAACCGTGGATATCTTAACACTATTTCGGGACTAGTCCTGCCTCCTGGCTATCAGAGGACCCCGGTCAGTTACCTTGTTATACATCACTTCCTCAGGGGCATTTCAAGGACAAAGAATAGTACGTGAGTCGTTGGCCAAACATATGCATTCTTTTAAGCTTCAAGTTCACTCCTTCCATACCGTGAAGGCATTGGCTACCCTTGTAGTAGATAACCTGGGAATCGCTTTCAAAAGGGGTGTACTAACGAACCCGGTTGTTGGTAACTGGTTCGACTATTCCCGGAACTCCCAGTCTCGGGGCATGATGGCCTTGCTATCTGATATCTGCCATCCATTGTCGATTCCAGGCCTTTCTATTCCAAGAGTCACACCTCACGATGTCGGGCGTCGGCCACACGGGGTAGGCCACCGGGTGGCGCAAGATGGGGACAACCTACGGCCGGGTCTACTTGGACAGCTCAGTTACCAGTGCCCCTGACCCGGATATAAGTACCTGTCGACCTCCTCCGGTTCTCCTTGGTGATGTGATCACATCATGTTGTAATCCGTAAGGGTTGACGGATATTGGCCAGGCAACTTGCACTCACAAAGCTTTGTATCCTCAGTCTCTTGATACAGAACACGTCACGCAACAGTCGTTAATAGGCTCACCTCCATTGTTTCTTCCTGCAAACGTGTCTTTCAGTGGCCCTGGGCCAGGCACTAGGAGTCAACAGTCAACAGTCCCACAGCCCTATTTAGCTTCTTCCTCAGGGGTTCTTACTCACTGTCTCTTCTTCCCTCGACACCAACAAGGGTGACATACCATAACAGTATAAATAGGCAGAGGGAAAGCTTGAGGCTCGACCGTGTTCCCGAACCCAGATGGCTTCGTCTTCTCGTGGACCAGTACGAGCCCCTGCCTCAAGACCCCCCATACGTCCCCCTCGCGCTCCGGCACTACCCACGCGGTCTATACAACGAACCAGAGGCGCACCTCGAATCAGCAGGAACGACAGCATGACCATACCTGCCTCCTTTGCACCATCCACTTCCTTCGAGGCCGAAGAATGCCAGAGTGACTGCGAGTCCGACTACACGGACCAGGAGGACAACAACACATCCCCCCGAATACAGCCAAACCGGGCCAGCTTTCTAGGGGTCCGCACCAGCACGAGCCGTCTGCCTCGAGATATAGAGGAAGCCGCCGAAGCATCATCCTACAACTCGTCGTCAACCACCGTGGCAGAGAAGGCAGCGGAGTCGCCCCGGCATTCCCAGCACCGGACACTGCCTCCTATTCCAGATGCCCACCGTGATCTGCTCGAACGCCATGGGCTTGATCCCTCTCCGCTGCCTCCCAAGAAAGGATGCAGGTGGTACCGCAATCTGCGGTGGAATTTCGGCTCCGTGTACCGCCGCATCTTCGGTCTCGTTTTCTTTGGGAATATTGCCGCAATAGCGTTCTTCGGAGCGCAATTTGGTACCACGGGAGAGCGGTTCACATATCAGCAGGCCAGCATCGCCGTGACCGCCAACCTTCTAGCATCGCTTCTTGTCCGCAACGAGCATGTCGTCAACGCCTTGTTCTGGGTATTTGGAACCTGGTCTAAGCGCCTACCGCTCAGGGTCCGCATCCTGGTGGCAAAGGTGTATTCGTACGGGGGCATCCACAGCGCCGGTGCCGTGGCGGCGACGTTTTGGTACATTTTCTACCTCATTCTCCTGACCATGGAGTTTCGATCCAGGGACGACCTCTCCGTCATCCGCAGCTACATCTACTTCTGCAGCTACTCTATCGTCCTCCTGCTCTTGATTATGCTCGTCTCAGCCCACCCTCACTTCCGGCGCGCCAAGCATAACTGGTTCGAGGGGTTTCACCGCTTCATGGGCTGGCTCGCCGTGCTGCTGTTCTGGGCTCAGATCATGCTCTTGACAGCCGACGCCACAGAAAGCAGCAATACACCGTTTGGCAGCGTCTTGCTAGTCAACCCCAATTTCTGGATGCTGGTCATCATCACCCTTCTGGTCATCTACCCCTGGACCCGCCTGCGCCTGCGGGACGTTGACGCCGAGGTGCTGTCAGAGCACTGCGTCAAGCTCAACTTCACCTACCGCAACGTCCACTACGGCCAGGCCGTCCGCCTCACCGATGCGCCGCTCAAAGAGACGCATGCGTTTGGGGTGATCCCCTTTCCTGCAGCACCACCGCCAGCACCACTATCAAGCGTGACGCACTGCCCCGGCTGTACATGTACATCTCACGGTACCGACGACATGACAACACCACCACCGCCAACCTCAAGTTCAACCGGCCTGACCCTCTCGCACGCCGGCGAGCGCGGCTTCTCCGTCATCATCTCCGCCGCCGGCGACTGGACACGCAAGATGATCCAGCACCCGCCCAAGAAAATCTACACGCGCGGCACACCCCAGTTCGGGGTATTCCGCGTAGCAGGGCTGTTCACCCCCTGTGTAGTCGTCGCGACCGGATCCGGGATCGCGCCGTGTCTGAGCCTGTTCGTGCAGGACCCGGGCCATCCCGTACGCATCGTCTGGTCGGCCAAGGAGCCGCTCAAGACGTATGGCCGGGCCGTGGTGGATTTGGTGTATAAGACGGATCCGGACGCGGTGGTTATTGATACGAGTGAGAAGGGGGTGGGCAGGCCGGATTTGGTGCGGGTGGTGTATAGAGTCTGGGAACAGGGGAGGGTGGTGAAGGGGGAGAGGAGGAGCGGGGAGGCGGTGGTGGTTATTTCGAACCAGACGGTTACGAAGAAGGTGGTGTATGGCTTGGAGAGTAGGGGGGTGCCGGCTTATGGGGCGATTTTTGACTCTTGATCTGACTTGATGATGTCAACTTGAAGTTGAGGTGTTGTTCAGTACTTCCTACCTAGTCCACCCTAGTAATAAGGGATTTGCTTTTCCAGTCCTGCTGCCAGAGTCTGTTGTTCCACTTCACGTCCTACAGAAGGATTGCGTCGGGTTTGTGGAGGGTTATATGATAACACTAAGTTCACAGTACTGGTAGCGTTTGTCTTCATCAGCTTGTTCCTTGGAGTAGGGCTTTCTTTGATGGCATCCTTGATAAGGTCTGTTGTCACCCACGAAGAGAGTTCTCTGGGCCCTGGCCTTACCTTATTCTAATACTCATATTCGGGTACAATACTCTCACGATACCTATGAGAACACTACCTAGCTTTTCCGCAGCACACCCAATTTATTTCTTAGAAGTCTGGTGATGGTGCTTGCCTATGACAATCTCAAACCCCGCGGGCCCTTCCCCCCAGCCACCTTGCCCCTAGGCCCTTCTTAATGTCAACTGGAACCTCAGGCCAGGTAACATTGCGGCTTGTCTTCAAGCTGGTAACACCGGATGCCATGTTGTCGATTCATTTATTACTTAATTCCTCAAGACCTAGCGGGTTTGTCACCCCCCCGGGCCCCTGATTGTCGTCAGCGCCCGCTAAACAAACAATGGGTAAAACTGCCTCGACTCACATAGTGGAAAGCTGCCCCGTGCTCTCCAAAGTCTCCAAACCCAACAGTGAATTAGCAATGTGGCTGGCAATGTCTGGTTATTTCCGGTCGTTGATCCTTCCCAAACAGTGGTCCTTAAGCGACTGGACGAAGGAATGGAAGGATCAGCCAGCTGGCACCCGACTTGTATATACAACTGCTGATAAGCCCCTTGACTGGTCGGCTACCTATGAGCTGAACCTTCATTGCATGCAGGGCCCTGATAGCGTCCCGTGAGTGAATACGAAGCTCAAGCCAACGGGTATAAGATCAATAAGATGTACTGTTCTTCCCTCGCTCCCTGCCTGCTTCCTGTCGTCTTTCCAATTCTCCCTGACACCCCAGCAATGGCCCAACCCAAGATCCCCGAGACGCCAGAAGGCACAACCGTCGCAGGCAAAACCATCATAATCACTGGCGGAAATGCTGGACTGGGATTTGAAGCGGCAAGGCAGTTCCTTGTGCTCGGGGCCTCTCGCATGATCCTCGCCTGTCGGTCTCTCGCCAGGGGCCAAGAAGCTGCCAACAAGCTCCGGGCAGATCCCGCCATCAAGACACACAACCCGGCTGCTAAGATTGACGTATTCGAGCTCGATCTTGACGACTACCAGTCCACACTCCGCTTCTGCCACAAGGTCAACAACGAAGTGCCGGAGCTCGACATACTGCTCAACAACGCGGGCCTGCAAATGGTGCACTACGAGAAAAGCAAAAGCGGGCACGAGCGGACAATGCAGGTAAACTGCTACTCTCATGTCCTCATCTGCCTCGAGCTGCTCCCTCTGCTTCAAAGGACAGCCGCCGCCCGGAAGTCCCCAACTCGCATCTCCTTCGTGGGCTCCTCGTTACAGAAAACCATGGCTGCCCTCAACAAGACATCCATCCCTAACGACACGCCCATCATGGATTACTTCGACAACTCGGCCAACTTCAGCAGGTTCCGCCACTACGCCGACAGCAAGGTCCTGGTGCACGCTTATGTGACGCGGCTGGCCACTTTGGCCCCGTCCGACGTCGTCGTCAACAACCTCTGCCCGGGCATCGTCGAGACCGACCTGATCAGGGACATCCCGGCCCCGCTGAGAGTCGTGCTGGGTTTCTTGCGGAAGGCAGTCGCCCGGAATGCGGAGGAAGGAGCCCGTACTTTGATATATGCTGCAGCTGTTGCGGGGCCCGAGACGAATGGGAGATTCTTGGATCACAATGAGACTACTAGGTATGGCCTTCAGATTTTATTTTTGTCTTTTGCTGAACTTCCCTGGAATGAGCAGTACTAATGGGATTACACCAGCGGTTCTCCGTTTCTAGAGGGGCCGAAGGGAGAGGAGTTTGTGAATAAGCTTTGGAAGGAGACGGTTCAGGACTTGGCCTCGATCGATCCTGAGCTGAGGAAATTTGCCTGATGTTTGTGCCTGATGTTAAATCACTCGGCTTGGGGTTGAAGTTGTTGGTCCTTGAACATAGGTACATTTTCCATAGTTAGGTAGGTACCTACCTTACCGTACCTACCGTAGGTACCCAACGGCACCTTGAGATTCACGCAGTGGCTCCTTCCACTTTGACAACACTGCCGTGCGCTTGGCTTTCCGGTTCAGGAATGCCCGAATGCCGTTGGACCCGTGACTTCTCAGGTATAAGCACTAGGCAGCAATCCCATCCTGTAAGCTGTACATCTACCTAGAATGTTTGCAACTTTTGATATCGAAGATAGCACAAATTTCTGGTCGTCCTAATCTCGAGCATCCATGATCTGCCCTCAGTGCGTCCAAACCTTGCAGGAGGTGATTGATCGAATCGATTCATCAACTAAATATGGTCTTGAATCGGAAAAGACCAGATTTGATGCGGCGGAAACGACAGAATATGATGCGGCATCACATCATCCGTCAATCATCAAATTGAAGGAGGCCGTCGACCATGGATGCAGTATTTGCCTTGCATTGTGGGAGTCCGTTGACCCCGGACTAAAGGCTCTCTGCGAGTCTCTAGGAGACACGGAAGACCCGCGCTACACATGGAGGCATGGGAGTGGCTTCAGCTTCAGTTTCGATTTCCACCAGCCCTGGCCTGGCGTCCATTTCATATCAGCCTACGTGTTCGTTGACAGACTGTTCGTTGGCAGACTGTTCGTTGGTCATGAGTTCACACTGGCTCTGGAGCCCATCAGGGGTGAGTAAATCCCCCGTCACGGTGGTAACGTCAAGTTACACATACCTACCTACCGTACCTACATGTAAGGATGTAGGTCACGGTAGGTTCCGGTCTGGTCCCCCGCCGTTTGATGGCTGACCACACCACAGATGTCGACAAGCATTTTGTCGTTCTCCGCAGTCTCCCCAATCATACCCGGTCTCCAGAAACCTTGGCTTTGGCCAAACGTTGGGTTGCCGATTGTTCCCAAAATCATGAGAAATGCAGAAAGACCACGGTGGAAGGTGCTTGGTCTCCAACTCGTCTTCTTGATTTGACTCGACTCACTGAAGTTGGTCGAGTCAATGATGGCCCTGAGCAGTTATTGGATCAGACTGTGTTCCTCATCGAAACAGCAAACGCACCCCCCGTTAAACGATACACCACCTTATCCCATCGCTGGGGTTCGGAAGAGCAGGTGAAGCTGACCAAAGACACGTATCTCCAACTCTCCAACGGAGTAAAGCTAGATTCACTGCCACAGCTCATTCAGGATGCGATTTTTGTCACGGTTGAGCTGAGTGTCGGCTACCTTTGGATCGACCTACTCTGCATCTACCAAGATGACGTAGCCGACTGGCAGCGCGAGTCTTCCCTAATGCAGAAGGTCTACTCAAATTGCTTCTGCAACATCTCGGCTGGGAACGCAAATGGCTGCTTCGAGTCCATGTTCAACTCCCGGGATCCAAGCATGTTTCTTCCCCAAGTCATTGAACTCGAGACTCGCTATCAACATGTCGGTGAGGACGACATAATCTTGAACCGCACAAAGACCCTATATCGCGTCTTCGAGGCTTCGTTTTGGAGAAACAATGTCACCAACGAACTTGTCAACAAGCGAGCCTGGGTGTTCCAAGAGCGCTTTCTTTCGCCCCGCGTCCTCCAGTTCGGCAAAAGACTGGTAACCTGGGACTGTCTAGAGCGGCCCGCAGCCGACATGTTTCCCGATGGTTTTCCCGAGATCCTTCGCCACCTAAATCGGTATCGATATTTCGGCGGCGACTTCAAGAGCTGGAGGAGTATAGACGAGTACGGGATAGATTCGCCCTATATTCTCTGGGAGCATCTTGTACGCAGGTACAGCGCCTGTGCTCTGACTTTTCCCGGCGACAAGCTTGTTGCTTTCAGTGGCGTCGCAAAACACATGGCTGGAATCTTGAAAGATGAGTACGTCGCGGGTATGTGGCGCCGCTATCTTGAGGGCGAGCTTCTCTGGATGGTCGACGCGGGTAAACGCAAACGCCAAATACTGGGCAGGCAACCCAAGCCACGGCCCGTTGAGTACCGCGCGCCTTCCTGGTCCTGGGCATCTGTTGATGGCCCGGTAACTCCCGGAAGGGCCCCAATCAACGTCGAGAGCTTACTTATCAAGGTTGAGGATGTGCACCTGAGTTATCAGACAGGCGATACGACCGGACAAGTAACGGGCGGGTGGCTTCGACTGCGAGGTATCCTCAAGGAGCTGAAACTTGTCGGCAAAATCCTTGATAACGGGTGGCACGTGTGGCACATGTATCTGGACGGCGTCAAAGTGGCAATTTTACCGGACGATTTCACCGCCGGGGGGGCGCTCACACTCGACAATTTTGAGGGAGACTTCGATGAAGAGTATGGTAATGCCCTGTTGTTCGCCATGTGCGCCCGCAAAACTCAGAGGAGCGATGGCTTGGTTAACAGGCAAATGTTCATCTTGCTTTTCAGGCTTGTCAACCGGGAAAAGGCTGTTTTTGAGCGTATCGGTGTTTTTGAAACATTCGACGAGGAAGTAGAGACGGAGGTACTGAAGACACAGAGACCAGCTGATGCTCCGCCAATACCGTGCCTTGAGTTTCGAGATGGGATGCACACCATTTGCGTAATTTAAGGCTAGGCAGATGCATATATCTCTGATTACACAGCAAGGGGGCTAAACGAGTTAACTCCGCCCCCATGTGGCGATTTCAAATTTCATTCAGCTCGAGCCTCAGGGGAAACCAGCTATCATTCTGTCAAGTCCCCGGATAATCATATCAAGAAAGCTAGATACATGACTGTTGTAAAAGATCGAAGAGAAGGGGAACCAACTGGACAAACTAGATACCTTAGGCAATGCCGGATGCTTCCCGCCACTCAGAGAGAAGCCCTCTGTTCGCACCCAAAGAGCGGATTCATTCGTATGATGTAGTTCTCTCCGCCCCCAAGGCTTCAATTATTCCGAAAGGAAAGGTCAGACTGATCTAGGGGCTACGCGGCCTGGATAGTCAGAATCGGCTACCTTGATTAGCGTTGGTTAACCTCGAAGGTTGCAGCGCCAGGAGGTGATGCGGTCGTTCCAGCCGCCGGTCCAGTCATTGAGGTTGGCATCCTCTTGATTGTCGTATGAGCTGCCACCGCAGTTTCCGTGCCTGTATATCACTGTTAACACCACGACAACGAGGGGGATCTCGAATGTTAGAGTGTCGTAAGGTAGGTTGCCACTTACTCGTACCACAAACAACGGAAGGCACTGGGATTAAGGTTCCGGATGGAGCTGATCTTGTCGTTCCAGTCGCCAGGAACATTGACTAGGATCAACCCGTTTCATCAGCCTTCATTGACACACTTGATACCTAGGTAGACAAGGGGTACTATTTCCAGAACAGAGCTGGGAGGAACCAGAACTGATCACTTACAGCATACGCCAGACGCAAACTCAAATACGCGGCATGGCTCGTTCCAGTCCCCGTTCTGGCAAGCGAACACACGGGCAGGCCCCTGCCTGGCGGCCAAGACGTTCTTGTTGTCAGTGGCCGGAGCGGCGGCGGTCGAGACTGTGCTGAACGCAACAATGGTGAGGATGGACTTGATGCTGAGCATTTTGAAGAGAAAAGTAAAGCCTTGCCGACTGGAGGTTGGATTCAAATATTGTGTGAGAGTGTTGCTTGATGGTGTCTCTTGATGGTGTCTCATGATGGCTTTGGAGGGGGTATTGGCCTCCTTTTATGCTTTTCCTGTCCTCCACACTCAGTGGTAGGATCTGGCAACCTGCTGGGAGTATCACTGCATCAGAACCGCCTTGAACTGTGCCCCATGTTCACTCCCCGAGTGTACCTTTGTCGGAGCATTGGCAAGCACTCCTTCTGCAAATGCGTATGCAATTCATCACCTGAACTCGGTCAAATCAGTACATTCCATTGCCAACCACGGTTCATGTTGCTTGGCATGAGGTTTGATGGTCTGTACAGGGCATCATCACCATGGGTTGAGACAGGTGCGTCCTGCTAGTATCTTACAAGCTTACAAATCAGGCATGGACGGCAGTGCCTTGGCTTCACTGCTCCAGAGGAAGTACACGGGAAGCAGCCGGCTCTCGTGTCAGTCAGCAGACTGATATTTACCGAGTCTTCACCCACGTCAGGTACAAGAGTAAGTAGACTTGAACTAAGGCAGTATTTGGGACGGCAAGGTTCTCTTGGCTAAGAGGGAGTGCCAGTTCCGCATCTCGAACTCCTGGCAGCAACTTTACTGGCATGTTGACATTGTCTCCTGAGTAAACAGTACCCACAAACATCCGTATAGAAGCCAGGTAAACACGTGGGCTTGCGACTACATCCGCTCATGAGCTCAGATAGTCTCCTTTCCCTTGCCGATAATGCAGTGAGTGTTTGTAAGGGGAGGTAGTAAGGACTGAGATGTGCGATAGGGGCTAGCCGCCCGACTACTGAGGAGCTTCTCAACTGCCCCATTGAGACTGTAACCAAACAATAGATTGCTTGCCTGCTCTACGTCATTGTCGGCAGAGTATTACAGGATATTGAATGTCTATCGGTGTATTATATTGCTGCCATCGCGGCCTAGACCGATCGAAATATCGGAAGCCGCCGCATAGCATAGACAGTTGCATCTCAGAGTCACCTTGCCACTCAACGTATCCAGGTTTTGGTGGTTAGAGTCTGTCTAGCAATGCAGTAAGAATCACTTGAAGGAGGAAGGCCGCTGAGTGTTGGTATGTAAGCGACCCATGAGGACTATCTTTCTTCCATATATTGAGCAAGTCTACCGCAGCCTCAAATACGGAGAGAAAGATTTTCTACAAGTAAGCATCAAGTCGGTCCGGCGCATGTCGGGCTCCGAATGCAAGTAATTGATGTAGGCGCAGGGCGTCGTTGCAATAAAGGAGCGCTTGGCGGCTGCGTGCCCAAACTCTTCCCCTCCTTTCTACTTAATGTACCTTAGCAACGTGTTGGCCCCCAACAAAGACGGGGCATGGTAGGGTATTATTCAAGATAGAATCAGTATGCTTTGGCTATGTCTCATTATTCTTCACTTGTGTTGTCATTCAGCTCTGGTTACCTTCCATTCTTGACTGAACCCAGAATTCCAACTAAGTAGGTATTCGTGGATGTCGACGAATCGTCGCATGATAGCTAGTAGGTAAGTAACAAAGCTCTGCACCATCAACACGGAATGCAGTTTGAAAGTCGATTCATTGCGTGGCTGGCCAGCCTTTGTTCAAATTGAAGCTATAGATATAAGAGATAGAGTCCGCTACCAGGGACTCCAGCCTGAAGAGAACTATGTACCACGAATCCGATGCTAGCATCTGCCAGCTGCTGAATATCATACTAAAGGTCGTAATGTATCCGGTGACCTGCTCAGCATAGTCCCACCCAACTTGAAGATCATAACATCTTGAAACAGAGAGTCATGATAACCATCAACAATTCAACATCCTCCGAGTCCCAGCCTCTCAACCATACCCTCCATGACCCATGTCCCTCGCGCACTTCATCAGGCTCCCCATCTACGCAGCCACAGCGGCAGCATCGATCTTGCTCTTCAGGAACTCCGGCGCCGGCCCAAGCGAATCCGCCGTGTACCCAAAATGCGGCGCAGCGACAATCAACGACCCGGTACACACCAAATCCCCCGTATTGCAGAACACCTTGGTCCTATCCGTGGGATAATTCGGGATCCGCCCATTATTCTGCGCATTCTTGGTGTATCCAAACAGGACCACACCCTTGACCTGCTCCTGCGTGGCGGTTCCGGCCAGCTCGGTGAGCGCGTTGCCGACCACGGCCGTGCCCTGGCTGTACCCGCCCGCGACGACGGCCGATTGGGGGCATTTCGTCTGTGCGAGCTGGAAAAGCCGCTTGGCCTCGTTGATGGCGGCCCGGCTGGTCCCTGCCGGCAAAGCGTTCTCGCCTAGTCCGGCGGTGTAACCCCCGCCCACGCCCTGGATCCAAATGTTGTTAGGGTAGTTGCGCTCGAGCACGCGGGCGACGTTGGGGCCGACGGAGAGACCCTGCCGTGTGGTATGTGGTCAGTAAAAGTTGGGGTTATGAAGTGTAGGGGAGGGGGGGGGCTGGGTACTTGGGGGGTGTTGTAATGTGTTTACATACCATGTTGCCGGCCTCGGTAGAGCCGCGGGCAAAGATGAAGATGGCCCTGGGGCAGTTGGACGAGCTGCCGCGTTCCAGGTCGTTGCGGGTCGAGGTCAGCTGGCGGGCTTCGATCTCGGCAGCGACCTCGAGCTCAATGGGGTTGGGAGCCGGCAGAGCAACGGCCAAGCTGGCGGCAGCGAGAAGCGAGAGGAACTTCATGTTTGCGGATTGGTCGGGACGAGGGGTTGTTTGCACAAGTTGTAGAGGGCTTCCTGAGCTGGGGCTAGAACTTGGGACCGCGACTGGAGGCTTGGGCTGGGCTGGGTGAGCTGGTGGGAGACACGATTGTCGTCGAGGGAGGATCAACCTTTACTTATACCTGGAGTTGAGGCCGCAGAGGTGTCTCTGGAGACCCCTCGCGAAGTCCAGTTCGTGGTCGTGTTTTCCCCATGAGGAAACACGCCAGAGTCCTGGGCATACCCCGTCGGAATGCATCTAGCAGGGAGAGGCCGGGGTCTCTGACATTACGGTCAAGCTCTATGTTGACTTCCAAGTCCGATGCAGGTAAGGACGGCGCTAATGCAAGAACATGTCAACATGCTGTCAACTCTATGACCAGCTGGGGTACCTCGCTGGGCTTTCAGTACCATCCAGGTTAAATTTTTAACCCTCGACTGCATCCAAGTTCATTGTCAAAGGGACTCTGAACTCGAAGACAATGGTGCCAGTGATGCTCCAGACCACCCCACCTCCTTCGCGGCTAGTAGTGTAGCAGCCTCACTCCCATAAGCAACTCGAATCTACACCAAGTGCCGAGGCATCGCAAAACACCCCCTTTTGGGGTCAAGCGCCATCGAAGGATCGTCAACTGAGCGCGACCTGGAGGTTTAAAAAGCAGTCAGCTTTTGGCTCTAATCCACGGTGCCTCGGATCTCGGGCTGAACCCGGTGGAAGGGAGTCGAAGGGAACAAGAGTCCAGGACATCGTCCACCCTACCCAACCCAGACGCCAGCCCCGTTCCGGCAGTCTGCGGCAGGTACGGCGGCACGATCTGGGGAATCCTGGTCAGCAATCCCGAGCGATCCCACGGTAAGTACGGCAGGTGGTAGCGATACACATGCAGTCCCGTTGCAGTGAGCCAACGCACTCAAGCCCTCCCCGCATTCGACAAGGCGAGTGGCTTTGCGGGGTGCAGCTCTTGAAAGATTACCGTTGCATTGGTGAGTCTTCCATAATTCCATTTGCACACCAAGCTTGCGACAGCCGAGGCTCAACAGAGACGGAGGTATGTTCTGTCTGCATTGGAGTACGTTGTTTGAAGCGTACCAAGGTGAGAGGGGCGCCGTCTTCCAGAATCTGATCTCCCTCGAATCAGATCTCCTTGCGAGTGGGGTTGCCGAGCCCACTGAAACTGATCAAGCACCTCCATGGATATGATGATCGTCGAGCTACGCCACGGAGTGCGCTTCCTGAAACGGGGTACGGATGCTGCTGTTGGGCTGATTTCGCTCGATGCTCGAAAGTTGTCTCAAAAGTTCGTATTGAGCGTTGAAAAGAAAGGTTATCTGTCCCAGACCATCCCTAGACCCCTATACGGATACATACACGGTAAATACATCACATCAGTAGCCGTCCGTCTACAACACACCACTCAAGCCAGGTATCGTCTGGTATTGTATGTACAAATACATACATACAGTGTTAAACTGAAAGGTTCAAAAAGGAGAGTCCCTTTTACAAACAAACCTTTAGGATGCCTGCGGGGCCAAATTGCAGCTTGGGCCCGTGCCGATCCGGAGTTTGGTCCTGATCAGAAATAGCGCCGGCGCTCTGGTGGATACAACGTGAACTACCGGAGCTGGAACGGACCTTGGCAAGCTCGCAAGTTTGGATCGGGTCAATCAGATGCCGCCATCGCAGGTCCCGTGAGCCCGGACTTGGGTCCAGGCTTGGGCCCTATATTCGTCCCGAGATTTCTAATCCACGAGCCAAGATCGCCGATCTTGGTGGAGCTGCCACAATTCCACAGATGCCGAGAACAAATTTACCTAGGCCGTAAATAGATAGAGCATGGGCCGACTCCGTCCGAACCCCTGAATCCGCCCTGCCAAACTGACCGGAGCGCAGCGAGTCGGCGACATATCTGTTGTCGGCGCGCAATAATAACTTCATACGGATTGGGTTTGCGCTAAATACTGACTGATTTTTATGAACAGCTGCTGCAGTCAAATCATGACCAAGTCCTCGCCATCAGCCTCGAGTCAACCTAGTAGTTACTGTTAAGATTCAGGGGCAGAGATCACAAGCCAGTACTGTCACAGGGTCGATTGAGGTATAGTACTTTTAGGAGCAGGGATCTACTTGTTGTCACGTATCTACCTGAAATATCCTCGGGCTGTCTCCTAGATCCTTGAGGTAACTAAGTACCTAAGTAGGTACGTACTCAAGGCTGAGTACAGCCAATCTCGTACCCCATGACCATGTTCTTCACCACTTATTGTGCTTCTTTACCCCCATTTTTACCCTTTGTAATTTTGCTACATGAGACTCAGAGCCCCTGACCATGCTAGAAAAGTAGAGCCCATGGCCAGCTTCATCCTGCGGCGCGGCGGACAGCAGTAAGGATGACTCTGTGACTCTGTGAGCTACCCCAGATGGCGTCTAGTCCATCCCCCATGCTCGAGAGGCTTACTTTAGTCTCAATCAGGTCTTACGCACCTTAACTTGTCTGGTAGCTACACGTGCCGGGTTGCTCAGACTTGCTCATGTGGCGTGTCGAACTCTGGACACCAAGTTGAACAGATCCTTCATCATGTGTATAGCCTGCTACCAGGGAAGGGGGTGTCTGCCATTATCATGCGGTGCTCTAATACACCATCTCCATAGACAATCTTTCATGTAGGGTAGGCTGTCGCGGTATAGGGTAGGTGGCCCGGGCATATAGGGTAGCCGAGGTTCGATGTATGGATCTTGTATCATCACGTTAACGTGACCACATTCCCGTATGGGATTGCATAACGCTGTCGACAATCTTGAATTGATTTACGCCTGTTCTCACCTAGCCGTGTTGTAGCGGGAACTTCTGATATCATTGCTTACTCTCCCACCTTACATCCCCTTTCAATGGGGAAGTACCGCTGTTAGGCTTGTGCTTGGGACGGAAGGCACTCAGCAGACGGCCGGTGACAACCTAGCTTACCTGTGTTTTTCGGTGGTACACCTCTTTACTATGGAACCCTCACGCTGAACCTTGAAGTTGTTCCCCTGGTGTATCCGTGCCCGGACCCCGTAATATTCAGGGAAGGCCTATCTCGCATGTCAGCATCTCACCTCATGTCATCCACCCCCTGTTCGCGATCGATGGTGTATTATGTGAGAACCATAATAACAGCACTGTCTGTAACACAGCAGGGCGGGGTGCTGCTGATACTCGTACTATCCAAGCAGGTAGTGATAGTGAATCCAATTGGATTGTACTCCCACGGGTTGTCATGTGTATTGCTCTGCTTCACCTGGGGCGGAGAACCCGGCTACACTGGAGGGATCGAGTCCTTCGCCGTGTTCAGGTTCTGGTGCTAGTAAGCAAAATGTGTTGTTGCGCTTTCTATACTATGTCCCGAATATTACTTAGTAATTACCCCATCATGCTGACCCCTTAATGCCTTGTTTACCGGACCAGATTGATTCAGATATGTTAGGTACGGTACGAATTCCCATACTGCTCGGCAAGTGGTGTGCTATGCTAGTAGAAGACAGTAGTACAGTACTACTGAGTACTGGCTATGACAGATACATGGACCTTCGATCCGTCTCAGCTCCCAAATACAGAAAAATCTCAGCTTCAGGTTCGATTTCCTGAGGTATGTTCCTCGCTGAATGAACTCAAGGTAGGACTGGTGTAGCGAGCTGCTGGCAGCGATCTCGCGGCGCAGATGACGTGAGAATTTAGGCTTAGCAATTCTCCCGGACGGCCCCCAATGTCCAATGATCACCTTTCATGTTTTCCCCTGCCCCTTTCCCTCTCACTGGCCTGGGCCGAGTCAGTTGCCTCCTTGGTGCATAAGTGCGCCGTGACACCATGGCACAAGTACGAAAACCCAGCCCTACCATAACCTGCAGATCCAGTTTTCCAGCCCTACTGACGGTTAATGTCACGGGTATGTACGGCTCCGGGATTTGGGTTGCATGGATCTTCGCAAATCCTGGCTTGGCTCTGGATCATCCTTCGGGTGATGGCCCAACTGCTAGCCCCGACATTGACAAAAACAAGTTGACGTTAGAGTGCGGCTGACTCCGCCTGATTCAATATATGGGAAGGCAGTATACCTACGTTATGCATGTGAACCAGCCTCTTTCCGGTGTTTTGAGCATACCTATCAATGCGCCTACAGGTTGTCAGGCATTGAATGGTCATGCCCTTCGAACATTCTAAGCTCTAGAAAATCCGGTATCGTGGTATGTGGGTAGGTAGGTAGTTAGACGGAAATTCCCGTGTAAAAGGAGCTTCAGACCCTGTAAACTGACTAACACACTCACCAAAGATCATGTCTCGGAGGTGGTATGCCATGATATGAGGCAGTATGATGCTGCTAAAGCAGAGCTGAACCCCCAATCCAACGTGCTACAAGAAGTATCCCATGATGCACCTCGATGCTGCACTTCATCAAAAATCCCGTGGTATCTCAGGCCCCCAAACGACCAACTCATGCCGTCGTACGAACGCATATCAAGATGTGGTGCCACCAATGCATGACTGTGAGTTGAAGACACACTCCGGCAAGTCAAGTCCAACAGATATCAAGCAGATATGTGAAAACGAGAGCAACGGGAACCAAAGTTAAAAGGTAAAAAGTCATAACAGTCGTAGCCGGGTGCCGCCCAGAGCCCACCACCCCACACTGCCCGGGCTGAGTGAAGCTCTGGCTCTAATGTACAATTTATGATCGACGCGGGCCATACCGAGTATGTCCAAGCCGTACATGGTTAGTACCTGTACCAAGCAGCCTCTCCTCCCAGCCCCTTATTAAACCTCCAACCAAGAGACTCAGCAACAGCCACCCTTTGGTAATGCGCGACAACGTCGTATCGAGCCACAGTAGCAAGCCATATGCAAGCCCCAGCCGAGGAACGACAACCTCCCAGCGCACAAGAGCAGAATCGCGGCCCCGCAGTCCCGGCCTTTGAGTCTATGGGAGATGCGGGCCAGATAACGCCCCTGCGAACCGTGCAGTTGCTCTCCCCAGAACAGACGCAGGGGTGCCCCACAACCCAAATCCAACCTCCTCGGGCTGCCTGGAGGCGGAAATCTACCGCCTGTCCTCAAGTGGAACCTTGTCACCGTAAAACCCGCCGTCACCACCTTCACCATCGGCGGCTAGACAGGCAAGGCAGACACCTCCGCCATAGACGCGCGTGTGGCGTTTCCAGCCGTGGCCAGCGCCGTCTACCACCGAGATGATCTCGCCGTGGAGATCGATTTCCTCCTGGGAGAGCAGTACCCCCGGCCCGCCCGGCCCGCCCACGAACTGGTACTCTGGCGGAGGCGGGGGCGGCAGGAGCGGAGAGGTGGGCGGGTAACTTGAAGGGGAGAAGGAGAAAGTGCTGCTGCTGGCGTTTCCGCCGCCGGAGATGGTGGTTTCCGTTGATGAGGCCGAGGTAGTGCTGGGCATGGGAATCCCGATGGGCACACTTTTTGTGTACGACCGTCGTCGTGGAATGGCCGCATCCATTGGAGAGCTTTGTGGACTGCTCGAGCCGTGGGCATCGGTGGAGGTTGAAGTGGCAAAGTATTCCGGGTTTGGTTGGTGGATGAAGCTGGTATCGAGCTCCGGGGGGATTGAGACTGCGTAGCTCCGGCGGCGATCTTCAAATGGGTATGACATGCTGTCAAATCTCGGCGGTGTCAAGGGCGGCGGCAGGGGAGGGCGGGAGAAGTGCCTGGGCGTTGCGAAGCTCGTGTCCGGGGAGCAAGCGTCTTGGTCCGGCCATGGGTAGACTTCGCCGTCACCGTCCCCGAACCGTGAACTCGCAGTTCCTGCATGGTCTTCCAACGTCATTCCCTCGATACCGCCGGCCGGCCCGGTGAGCCCTCCCAATGACCCTATTCCCTCCCCGTCGATTGTTTGGCTGTCAATGCCGCCAGAGCTGCCACCAAAACGCCCCACGAAAGAGGCCCTAGATGAGGGGCGGGACGCAAGGCGCCCTCTCCACGCTGTTGCTCTCACAGGACTGACTGAGGGGTCATGCCGGGCGCCGAAAGCCTTGGTGCTGACGGCACGTGATGCCGCTGACGCTGAGTCGAGGTGATGGACCGAAAGTTCATCGCCCTCAACGCCATCCATTTTGTGTAGTCCACCGAACGGGCTATGCTGACGTAGATTACAGCAAAGGGGTGGTAGTCCGAGCTGCGTTGACCAGACTGGCCGATTTGGCTCATGCCAGGGTTCGAATCCAGAGTTGGGCTCCAATCTTTGCAACTCCCTCGTCTGGATAGAGCGCACTACCCAATCCGGTCTGCTGCGATAGTGCGGCGGGGGGTGTCCTGCTGAACACTGATGTGGCTTGCTCTTAATTATATCCCTTGTGACGGAGGCGGGAGCCCTCGACACAAGGCGTTGCGACGAGCGTGATTGTGTGAAGAAGTAGCGAACAACAACCAAGACGGCAATGCCAGCAAATGCGAGATAGATATGCGTGCTCGCACCTCTTAGGTGATAATGATTCCAAGTAGGCGTCCCCGAGGCGGCGTTGTTGGGGGGGCCGAGGGCTGGCATCTGCGCAATGGGTTCTCGCAGATTTGGATAACAATTGCCGCTGCTTCGGGGGCCGACGCGGGTGCCCTGCCCGCTGAAAGCCCGGGTCTTGGTGGGTGGCCGGCACTATATGGTAGCGGTTCAGGCAACTGGGATGAGTCGGATGGTGGCACGGATATTGGGGCTGTCCTGGCTTTCAGGGCAAGGGGCCACTGGCCAGGTTCCACTTGGGGAGTAGGAGCGGCTGTCAGATGGCTCGCACAGAGAAATCTTGAAACCCAGGTTAGGCCACTTCTCACCCTCTCCAAGAACAAACCTTGAGGCTTGTTGAGGGGGAACAGGATCCAGGTTGTAACAAGACACCGTCGATATCATCAAACCGCGGGCCTGATACTCGAGGCTTTATCGTAGGCAGTCTGTGTCGGCGCCAAAGAGCCAGAGTCCGACTGAGCCGGCAAGAGTGGATTGACGTTCATTGCCCAATAGGATAAGGGGGCTCGGAAAGGAAGTCCTGACTTACACAACGGCTGGAGTGAGTGGAATATTGCGATAGGCACGCTCTTGATCCTGACGGCCCCCAGTCGCACAGATATGTATCGGTATTGTATTTGGCTCTTCGGCGAACCCTAAAGACATATATGGAAGTTATGACGGCTCGGTAGCAATATTGCGTTAGGAACTTTGGAGACCAGGGTGAGTGGGAGACACCCAGGACTTATACATGGCAGTTGCCCCTGTTGCTGTTGGATGCGGCAATCGAGCGTGTACGGCCATGGTGCCGAATTTCGCGGGGAAGGACAGGGAATCTGGTATTTAGACAACGCCAAAGTTGAGAGATCGGATCGAGAACTGCCCGAGCCGAGCGGAAGGGCTGATGCTGTTGACACTAGGTTGCTCCTCAAAGACAAATTAGGCCGAGACGAGATTCGAGGACCCCTCCTCAGCTTGGAAGTCAGCTCTGTTGGGACGCAATTCCGAATGCAGAGCAGCCAATCCCAGTAAGCCCGCTGTCCGAGACTAACGTTAGCGGGGCACGGGGATGAGCATGCACCTGCTGTAATAACCTGGCCTTTCCACACAGTATCTCAAGTGCCATGGTAGTGAACTGGGATATGTAAGGTCAACGTTAACGTCTTGCCAATGGGCCTTGCCCAGCGTAGAGTACGTACTTGTGTACGGGGGACACCTCGGACAGGAATGTCATAAAATCCTACCAATCTCCGCCGTCCTTAGGTTGGCTGCTGCGCCGTCAGCACACGACGATGTTCTTGTAACACTAGTATCCCTGGCCAGGTACTGTATGTCATACTACATACTGTAACTTACGAATCTACTGTAAGTACTGTACGCAGGCACTGGTCCAAAGCGGCGGCTGCAGTGGGGTTAGCGCTCCATGAGCTTGTCTCTGCCCTGCTGGGCAGGTGGGGGAGCAGCGACTGGAACCTCACCTCAGGTATGGTTGACATCCTTCGGAGAGGAGCTCAATGTTTAGCGTCCTGGTGATACGTACGTGATAATTATGCGAGATGACAGGGAAGGTCTTGGCAACGTGAACTTCGGAACGACTAATCAGCATCAGATAGATGCAGCCGCCACCGAATGAGGGTTAACGCGATGCCAGGGCCAAATACACAACCACCTCTCGTGTTGGGTTGTTGGGTGCGAGGATAGGCGTGTTGAAGACAGCACGCCTTCTGGCGGGATGGGAGGGGCGGGACAGCTGAACGAGAGCCATTAATTACCGCTGCTCGTGATCTGTGCACTGTAGCTTAACATCAGTGGTTGTTCATAACAAGCAAGCTCAGCGATCCCTCGAGCTCAATGAATGCATCTGTCCCCTCGCGCCATCGTGATACCGCCGAGCTAGCTAGCATCCTCCGGTCAAGGATATCCCGGATATCCTCGAAAAAGGCTGGGGGCTGGGGACACCGAGGGGCACCTACCACAATTGGCTACTTGGACTGATATCCAAAAGGAGTAAAAGGCCGCCCTTCCTTCAAATTGTCTGTACGCACTGTATGAAGTGCTGTACGATACGTACGCAATAGTACACGTACAGTGTTAGTGTCCGTATAGCATGGTGAAATCCTGTCCTAAGGCAATTGATAATTTGAGGGAGCGAATCGAGCCTAGCACTGGCCGAGCACCGCGTCATTCAGCTGTCTGGAGCCTCGGCGGGGCACCTGAATTCGGTCACGGTGTGACGGCAATTTGGACGATGCAAAGTGTGTGGTCAGGGACGCCCTGGCGCATTCACGAATGGCATCGAAAAGCGAGGCACACGAGCGATCCGAGGCTGCAGCACTGGTTGCCGGCCGTTTGCTGGATTTGCCTGCCGATCCACCGACGCGGGTCGCGCCTCGCCCGTAGCCAGCCGCGCGATAATCAGGCCGTGACCCGCTGGTGGCGTCGCGAGTTGACATGCGTCCACCACAGCGAGCGACATGCGCACCAGGATTTGAGACATTGTATCACCGTGCATGTCGGCAAAATAATGCTGGCTGCAGAACGCATGGGCCTCCCGCAAGGCTGTGCAACTGCTTGGGTGTTAGTGATACGAAATGAGTGCGCACATTCGCGCAAAGTCGCAAACGTGGAAGAAGCCCAACCTGGAAGTTGGCAACTGGGATTCGGGTCTTGGGCGAAATGAAGTTTTCCGTTGTCACACTACCCCGCTGCCCGGAAATGGATACCTTATGCTGCTGACATTTCGACGGGCCAAGGCAACATTACCAGACCCCGAGACGAGCAAGGCAGCTAGAGACCGAGAGACCCAAGGATAGGTCGGTGCCTAAAAGGAATGCGAAATTTGCACCGAAGTATCCGGTCTAATATCCAGGGGTTAGGCGGAAATCAATATCCAAACGTGGAACCGATGGAAAGCTGGAACAGGAAGCAACTGAAGCCAAGTTGAACGCAACCTGGACAATGTAAAAACGGCGGAATTCGAGGCGTACCCAGATGGGCAGGTGGGGTTCTGTGTCGCACCGCCTGGTTGGTTAGCCACGCACAGACCAATTGCTGAGGAAGTAGGAACATCCGGGTCACTTCCTCGCGTCACATTCGGGCAATTTGTACCTTGAGTTATCGTCTTCATTTCGCATGGCTGGGTTGTTTAGAGATTCCTGTTTCGTTTTTCTGGCCCAGTAAACAACACGACACCGACCAGTGCAAAGGCCAATGGGCCAACGTAAACTCGCAAACGAGTCAACGAGGAAAAGTCCCACCCCTCTGTGCTTTCATCTTCTACCACGTGAAGCTGGACGCCCCTGCTGCTAGATATGCTAGGCGCACATGGACGCTATGGGTGGGGGGGACGGTATCAAGCTTGGCTTGACACGCCTACAGCCCGTCCATGGAAACAAGTTAACAATCTATCGGCATCCCGTCCATGTTACACCGCAAGATAACATATGTATCAAGGCCGGCATTCCTGGTGGTAAATGTGGTTGACCGATCCACCGTCGGCCGGCATTGGAAAGCTGATGAAGCATGGCCACTGGTGCAGCCACACACGGGACCAGCCGGCAACATGCATTACAGAGTGCCTTATCATAACGGTGATGAGCTTCGTACTTCGTATTGCACGCATTACTAAGGCACAATGATTACCGTTTCACTGATACCTATCTTGACATTGCTCCGAAATCCTGCCGGAGCCCGGACAGAGGCAGAATTATCCCTGCTTGGGTTCGCCTATGTAATGCGCGGCCTGCTGATTAACGTTACAGCAGATACGGATTCTCTTCAGCAAAACATCGGCTTGCTGCCCTGCCATAAAAGGCTTCATCCCACCGCTTGCTTCACCTCTATGCGCTACGGCATGGTTACGTGCATGATGTCTTGTACCCGGCACGCCCTGTCTAGGCTGTCTGTATGCGATGTCGGCGCCTGTACGCCAACCACCCCATGATCAGCTTGGTCGGCTGACACTGGCGCTTATGTTCAATAGCTTAGGTTAAGGATATGGAAGCGAGGGAAGGTCGGATATGTACGAAGGTACAATACCTACTGTACAGTACAATACGTATGCCAGCGCGTCTTTTAGCCGCCTGCAGCTGGACCCTGGGGAGATCTGTGTGGACAGGTGAATGTTACACGACGATCACCATGGGTTCGATCTCGGACACTGGCAGTCTGACGGCAAGAGCCCCCCGCTGTCATTCCTCAGCCCTACGACTCGGAACCTTGCTGGTGTCCCCACTCCCACCTGCCAAGGCTGCGCGGGTCCGAGCCACCAATTCCTTTTCCATTTTCTGTCCGGCCTCCTCAATTCCCAGATTCCCATCCGTCTTGCCCTCCAATTCTGTCAAACTCACGACACGGCCACTAAGTGCACAAGGTCAGGTATCTATAAGTAATGATGCTCATTTTCACATGTCGCACTATTAGTTATCGAAATAGGGTTCTGACTGCACATTGTCCTCACTGCACAAATGCAAATTTTCGTGTTACTGTAATTTTGCGGTCCCGGCCCGATACTTGTGGGCCCAGGCACAGTCTGAGACTGTATTGTTTGTACTGTATGTAACGGAGTATGTACTGTACTGTACTGTATTACAGTACGACACCTGTCCTGAACTTCACTGCCGTAACCCATTGCAGGAAGTCGACAGTGGTGAGTGTTGACCGCTATTTTCATGGACGGCTCGTTCAAGTTCCATCCATCATCCATGGATGTCTTGAAGCACACAGCACAGATCTTCGCGATCCTCATCCGCCTTCCACCATCGTGGGTCGTGTCGTCCTTCGAATTTGCAGCTAAGAACGGCGACCGCTACTGAGGCAAACTTCGGTTTCGGTGCACTGGTTGGTTCGCCGCGCCGGGTCCTCAGCTCTCATTGCCATGCGCCACAACCGCGACGCGGCATTGCCACTGCAGACGTCCAACTCGCAAAAAGTTCGTGTTCCCTACGTTATTTGTAACTTCAATCCTCTGCCAATTGCTCCCTTGTCGCTTAATGGTCGTGGCGGGTCGCTGTAAGAAGTGTTTTGCAAATAATTGGAGCTGATCATTTCTTTCTAGTCATCTTGCCAATTGAGGATTTTGTTTGCATTGCTCCGATCTTCGCTGGTGATGTGCGACCGCCTCAAATCCATCGAAAGGGCCGCCGCGCCGCTCGGCAAAGCTGGTCCTTCTTACGATAATGCCTTCGTGAATGGTCAAGATACGGCATCATATTTGATGGACTTAACTGATGATGACCGAGTATTGCCTTCGTCGTCGGAGCACCCGGCCACGGGGGCCAACACGGTACCAGCTAAGCGGATTTGGCTCCAATTCGCGATGACCTGATGCGCTGAGTTAAGCATTGGCAGCGATCCACTCCGAGGCGAGGTGGCGAGGCTGACCAGGGCAGAAATGGCTACGCAGACCGAAACCCTGTGGACGGCTGCGGGTTCTGTAGTCGCCGTTCTCCGCCAGCACACGCGGCCGAGCCTTGAGCATCATGAAAACCTTTGGCTGGGGCCCTCCGTCCGGAGGCCACACTGTGGTCACGTCATGAAACGGCCCCTTTGGTCCTCAATTCTCCTGGCGATCAACCTGGCGGTCAGCCGGGCGGAGCTTCTGGTAGTTCATGCTTCCGGTTCCCACCACTCGGGTACGCGAGCCAACTTGGGGTCTGTGGTTAGCCACCAGGGGTGACCCGAGTTTCTGGAGTCGAAGCAGCTGAAAATCTGCACAATGGCCGGCTGCGAGTGGGCCCAGTTCATCTACGAGGAGCGGTGGCGATGATGCTTCGATCCAGTGAAGCCGCAACTCGGCTTGTGCCAAGCTCCACTGGTGGTCATCTGGTCGCCGAACCTGCAACGGACGGATTTTGAGGGCCCGCTCCGTCTGAGGGACAGCAAGTCGGACATGAGGAACCGTGCTAGGGGGGTAAAATCTCTTAGCTGCCGCACCTGGCCTCAGTCAGTTGCTCGCTGGTTGGTTGGGCGGCCTCAGAGTATGCTCTCTCGGTGCAATACCTCAATACGAGATGGTCCTCGCGTTGCCAGAACTAACGGCAAGACAGCAGGACAGAGGCTTAGTGAGCTTTACCACAGAGGATAGTGGGGACGGGAAGTGTCCCAGTCCCCCCTTCCTGCTCTTAGATGCTCTCAATCCCCTCTCCTGACCGGCGCCGCCCGTTTCTCACCATCTGAAAGTCACCCTCTGGGGAACTGGCCGCGCGCGAATTCGGTCCCGAAGGGAGGGTGCCTTCATGGGAAAGCTAATCTCCATCACGTTTCTCGGGGTAAACGAGTGGAACCAATAGTCTGGTTCTTAAACAGACATTACCACGGCATTGATGCGCTATTCGACAACAGGGTAGGAAGAAACCTGCCCCCCTTTACATTCACCGCTGGTCCGGGAGTGGCACCCGATCAGCAAATCATGTCGGGCGTCGACACAAGTGCCACCATCCACGCTCGTATATCCTCACCCGCATTAGTCACAGATACCCCGGATGACGGAGAGGGAGGGTTTCATGGGGGTTCCTAGCAGCTTGACCGCCGATTAGGTGATGGCTGATGGCTGGCTCTCGAGTTCTCGACAGGACGGAGCTGACTGTGTCCTCTTCCTTGTGCGATCGACCTGGAACAGGGAGCAGCCCTTAGACCCGCTGCCACACAGCGGGCTGGATACGACAAGAAGATAATTGGATTGAACATCGAGCGATGAGCTTGTAACGGAAGAATCTGTCACGGTAGCGAAGCCAGTCCTGACTTCCAAGACACAGCGGACAGGTAGGGTCTAGACCGTCAAATCAGACAGAATGCTTTCTTCTCCATTAGAAGGCGAAGGTGGATGCTACTTTACATGATGAGGATGGGGGCCTAGGATCGTCCTGCCGGGAAGAGACATGACACAAGTGCTCCCAGGGCCCAAGCAGGTTGGCCAATATACGCAACGCCAAGCCCTATCAGATCACCGGTTCTTCTCGCCCGGGGTGTAAGGTGTAGATAGGGAAAAGGAAAGAGGAAAGAAGAAAAAGGATTCCACACAGACCGAAAATGCCTCCCAACGCGTTATCTCTGTCCGTGACTACTGCCCGGCACATGCTGACAACGCGGATATGGTAAGGGGTTCTGGACTACCAGGCCATTCGCATCAGAAAAGAGGAAGGGGGGAGGGTGCGAAGGTGGGATGCACCCGCTCCCCAAACAGAGGCCAATGTTCTCCGTCCGTACACAGAACAGCAAAGCGCACGCCGGCGGGCCCCCTTCATGCCTGTGACAACTCATGATCCACTCACCCCGCCAAGGATAGACAAGACGGCCACAAGGCCCAGCCCAGCACCAGCCCCTATGACGGCGGCGCAACATCCATCGGTTCACCCTCACCCGAGCGCGAACCGCCCCCAACAACACCGTGACCCCCACCTCCAGCATTCCTATGATGAGCATGACCATGAGTGGCGGTCGCCGTCGCCTCGGCCATGGCCAAGACCTCAGCCTCGTCCTCCATCATCTTAATCATATCCTCAAGATTCTCATCCAGCATTTCCTGGTCCTCAGGCGGCAGACAGCTCTGCAGCAAGTGGCGGTACTTGTCGATCTTCTCGCCCGTGCCCAGCATGCCGCGGGCCTCGACGTAGTCCCTCTCGGCGGCGCGCTGCTCCTCGAGGAGCTCCAGCAGCTCGGCCGCCAGTTGGAGGCGCTCTTCGAGTGAACCATCATCGTCTTCGTCATCGTCCTCATTGTTGGTCTTGGTTTTGTTGTCGTTGCTGCCATCCTCAACTTTGTCGCCGTTGGTTTTGGCATTTTGATCGGCCGCCTCGCCGTTGGGCAGCTGGGACAGGGATGCCAGCTCGCGGTTGACGGCCTCTCGCACGGCGATGCGGTTCTGGTGGGTTACGTAGGCGAGCACCTTTTGGGCTGCGGCCTTAGCGTCAGCCTCGACTTTGGCGGCTACCTCATCGGGTTCGATGCGCGATTCGAGGTCGGCGATCTGAGCGCGCAGGTTGGCCAGCTCGGCTTGCGTGTTGAGCAGGATGCGGCGCGCCTCTCTTTCCGCCTCGTCTTTTTCTTTCAGCTCGTCGTCATAGCTCTGCGCGAGATCCTGGAATTTTTGGAGGACCAGCGGAGCGACGCGCGAGTGGACTGTGTTGGCTGCCTCGCTGTGGAAACTGGTCTGGACCTTGCCGACCGAGTCGCCGAGGGCATCGCGGAAGGCGTTGTGTCGCTGCGAATCGGGCGCGAAGGGACTTGACGAGCGCTGAGGGCCGGCGCGGGCGACCTTGCTCTTGGACGCGTTGAGCTCCTTGATCAAATCTTCGGCTCTCACGCCTTCATTGTTTGGAATGTCGGTTGATGCGCCGCGGCCAAGAAGCGCGCGTATGCACTTGCGAGCATCCCGCATGGCAGCAAGATGCACAGCCGTGTTGCCGTCGTTGTCTTGGGCGTCAATCAAGCGCTGCACTTCCTCGGCTGAGCGTGTTTCTTGGAGCTTGTTGAGGATGTTGTCGAGGTAATAACGAGAGCAGGAATGACTGGTGACCCGCCCGCTCTTCATGACTGCCGCATGGTGGATAACTGTGCACCCCGAAGAGTCGCGAGCGTCGACAGTGCTAAAGAGCTCTTTCATGACCATTGGGAAACTCTGCTTCTCGTAACAGTTGGTAAAGTTAACAGACCGCATAAAGGGCGTCTCGCCGCGGATATTCTGCGATGCCAAGTTGGCATTGAACCGTTTAAGCTGCTTGATAACTTCGACATCGCCCATGGCGGATGCCCAGTGCAGCGCCGTATGCCGCTCCGTGTCAATGGGCCAGTCTGGCTGGAAGTTGGTGGGCGGATCTGGGCGAATTGCAGGTTGCTCGTTTCTAGAGAGCAAGAAATAGTCCAGCAGCTCGTCGCCATACATCGCATGCTGCTGCTCAGTTAAGTCCTGCAACATCTCCTCGCGTTTCCGCTTCCTGTGGCCGGTTGAGAACTGGGACATGTCGTAGCGGTCATCTTCAGCCATGTACGAGGCTGAGGCCACCGTCATGTTGTCTGGAGTCTCGTCTTCATGCATCTGAGAGTCTCCGTTGTCGTAGTCTTCATGTACAGCAGCACCTTGGGGACCGTGTGAGAAGTTGGCGGCTTGCGACAGGCTGCTCTTTCTGTCTTGAGACTTACTGCCCCACTTTGGAACGGCAGGCCTGGCTTTTGGGGCCTTTGGCTTGCTCGTGTGTCTCGGCGCAGGCGGAGGGCTCTCGTTGCCTGGCTGGAACTCAAAAATTGGTCGTAGACGGTCGTAGACATTGTTCCGTTGGGCAAGTGCCTCTCCATGCTCAAGGGGAATCCAGGTCCCTGGGAACAAAGCGCCTAGTCAATGGGGGTTCCTGTCGCACAACACAACATCACAGCAAGCGTCATTGACGCACGCACCTTGGTATTTCCCGTATCCTCCTTGAATCTTCTCGTGGATGTCCTTTTGCACTTCGCGCTCGAGAATCCGTGTCCGGGCGGGCTTGTCGAAGCCGGCGGCTTTCAGGATATGTGTTGCATTGATCCAATCGTCCTGGCGGCGGCGCATTACATGCTCCTTGAGGTCGGGGCCGAATTGATATTCATACACGGGTATCTAAAGTGATGAAGTCGTTTAGTTAATTGCAAACTGGTAGCAGAGCGTAGAAGACTTACACCGCTATACGTAGCGCTGTAGATTCCTGCCATGGCATCCCCTTTCCCACTTCATAGACTCCAAGGTCTCTTGACAAAACTGTATTCGATGTTCCTGTGGAAATGGGTGTGCGGTCGGGGCCCGAGGTGAATGGCACAGTCGGAAGCTTCGCTTCTGGCGCTAGCGGTAGTGCCGAAGTAAGCTGGATAGGGGTATGGAAGGAAAAGGGAAGTAGTTACAACGCCGACGACGACTTTGTGATGGGACAGACTTCTGGAGTATTGTACAGCAAGTTACCCAAGGTCTCTGCCAGCCTCCAATGGGCTCGGTCAGGGTCCGGGGCAGAATGAGCAGACGAGTCGCGAAAATGACGCGGTGCTGAATTAAGATGTGGGGAGAGAGCGACGCGGTTACGCGAATCCCTTAAAGTGGAATTCTGGACCACGTGATGGCCACCTGGGCGGTTTCACTGTTCACATCCTGGTCAGCCGCCTCACCGAAGTACAGCAAACGAACAATCGATGGGAGAGCTTCATGGGATAGAATTGAGTACTAGATGTTTGTCGATACTAGTAGTCTATCTGTAACATGGAATGGGCTTATGAGATACAATGCTCAGCAATAAGGTATCTTGATAGATGTCTGTGGTACGAATATTCCGTAGAGCGAACCATTGCAAACCATTAACTAAGGGGTTAGGGTTCTCTCCTTTCGCACACCTTTCACCTCGCTTCACATACTGCATTTTGAGTACCTCCGCTCTATGAGTGGATTTTTGATATTTAGTATCTAGCGAGGTGAAACGTCATGATGTTCTTCAGAAACATATCGAGTTGTGGGAAGATATGTTCCCTGAGTTTGATTGTCAAGTATACAACGGATGAACGGCATCATGATCAAGGGCTTAGGTGTGACCCAGATGCAGTCAAACTACTCACCCCTATACTCCATAGCACTGCTCCTTTGATCCTCCAACGTGGCTCCAGCACTTGGAGAATGGGAACTACCTAGAAGGCAGCGTAGAGGAGCATTCTTGAATTCTTATCTATACCATCAGCGTTTCCCTGACCTTCGGCTGATTTATTTAGCTTCCATATTGAGGAAGACGCGGGGCTCTGGTCGCTGAAGAACACTCAATGCCAACGTCAGGGGAATTGGCCTGGTTGAGCAACCGCGGGGCAACATTTGCTATTCGTTTTCGATGTGTCTTTGCCGGCTTTCGACGATAAGCGTGTGACTATTTCCGGCCCTCTATAAGCACCACTACTGGGACCACCTGGCACGATTGATGATGATGCATATTGATGCATCCCGCTGATTGCACAATCGATGGCGCAAGAGGACAAGAAACTTTGAGAAAACGCGAGTCCCGCACCCGAGCATCGAGAGGGGGTAATGTCCCGAAGTTCCACGGAGATCACTGCAGGACCCTGATTGGTGAAGAACTCCACAGATCGGCAATGCAGCTGACGCCAATCCTTGGACCCGGGTTTGTTTGAGAGAGGTGTTCCTGACTCCTGTGTCCCTGCGTTTGAGACTCCAAATCCCTTCAACTCCTGTTGAACCACGAATTACAATAACCAAAGCCTTCGCCCACATCACTTCAGCTCAACTTTGCTGCATCTAGTGAACTTCATTTTTTGTCCCGTCTAAACATCGGCTTCTTAATGCAGGGCGACGTCACAATCAGCACAAACGGCGAAGGTACCCGTGACTCGACGAACGATTGTCACGGAGCCATCTCAACAAGGTTCCCTATTCTCCATCGACGTGCTTTTCCTGCAAAGCGTGCCCTGGCCCATTGCCACCCAACTTCAGACGACAATGATCCGCCCCAATGACACCCGCGCAGTCGAGCCCCTCCTCGACAGCTTCCAGCACACTCTCCACGGCGACGTCGACGACGACGATAGCGGCCGCAAACCACTTCGCGGGAGCAGCCCTCTCCCGCCAACAACCCCAATCAACCCGCAAACACCCTCCTACCTCCACCCGCGAGCCGTATCCACCGCACGATCCTCCCAAGACAGCACCGGCACCACACCGACCCCAACCCCTCCACCGCCCTACGACGCCTACTCCCGGCCCATGCCCCCACGACGAACCACCGGCGGCATCGGTGGCGGCGGGGGGAACACACTCCGATCCCGCAGCCCCGCAGCCTCGGTCCACGCCGCAGCACGACTGGAAGCGCGCAAAAAGTACACATACGCCGCCTTCTTCCTCGCCACCAGCCTGGTCTCCTTCACAGTACAAACCGAGCTAGCAGCGTACGTGCAGCACGACCTGGGGTGGGACAAGGCCTACTGCATGCTGTACCTGACGCACGGATCATGGGTGTTCCTCTGGCCGCTGCAGCTGGGTCTGCTGCGGGTGTTGGGATGGCGGCGGGGGCGGGAGTCGCGGTTGCCGTGGCGGCAGTTCTGGCGCAGTCACCTGCGTTTGCTGAGGCAGACGGCTGCTTTGGTTGAGCGTAGGCCTTTAAGTGGTGGGGTGGGGGGTGCGTATTATTCGCCTTGGCCGTACCTGATCAGGACGACGGCGATGGTTACGCTGGCGTTGACGGTGGCCGGGTTGACGTGGTATATTGCGGTTAGCATGACTACGCCGAGTGATCTCACGGCGATATACAACTGCAGTGCGTTCTTTGCGTATGCGTTTTCGGTGCCGTTGTTGAAGGAGAGGCTGAGGCTGGACAAGATGCTGGCGGTGGCCGTGGCTATTGTTGGAGTGCTGGTCGTGGCGTACGGGGATGGCGGGGCGACTTCTCCAGACGACGACTCAGTGGTTGGGCTGGATCCGGCCAGGCGGTTCATGGGTAACCTCGTTATCGGGGTTGGCTCGGTCCTCTACGGGCTCTACGAGGTGCTGTACAAGCGGTTTGCTTGTCCACCTGAGGGCACCAGCGCTGCGAGGGGCGTCATCTTCGCCAACACCTTTGGCAGCCTGATTGGGTGCTTCACCTTGTTTGTGCTATGGATCCCGCTGCCGATTCTCCATGTCTTGGGGTGGGAGACATTTGAGATACCGACGGGCCGGACGGCATGGCTGTTGTTTATCAGCGTGCTCATGAACATGATGTTCTCGGGCTCGTTTCTCGTTCTCATTTCGCTTACAAGTCCCGTCCTCAGCTCCGTGGCGGCGTTGCTCACGATCTTCATCGTCGCCATCGCCGATTGGATATGGACGGGCCGGCCCCTTAGCGGTGCTGCTATCTTTGGTGGAATGCTGATTATTGCAGCGTTCGGTATGCTCAGCTGGAGTACATGGCAAGAAATGAACGAGGAGGAGCGCAAGAAGCAGCTCGACTTGAGCAGCAGTGAGGACGACTAGTGGCGTCCATCGCATGCATCTGCCGTGCCCCTCCCAAATCTCCGTGGGCTGCCCTGATCTATATCGGATGGAGAAAAGGTTACCAGACCGGACGGCTACCGTGCACCAATTTCCCCGTTGCAGCAAGGCGTGTCCCCATCCGACGGGAAGCCCAACCCAATGCGAAGCCCGACCTGTCATGTATTCCATCCGAGATCGGTCTGCAGCTGAGCGCGCAGCTGAGCGTGTTTTTGGCATCACCCCAACTGGCTCGGCGAGGAGGCTAATGCTGGACGCAGCCATACGTACCTATTGTAGATGTTTGCTAATATCTCTCAGCACGGGTAGAAAGAGCGGATAGATGCTGTTAGAGGTTAGGCTCGAGGTGATACCCCCGCCGCATCTGCCTCGACGGCCTTGCGAGCAGCAAATTTCACAGATAGCGCTGCCATCATGCGGCAAGCGACTGATATTGCATTAGATAAAGGCGCATTAGAGCGATATAGACACATATTAGATCCACACAACAGTGGCACATTTTACGAACCACGCAGATGGGTCTTCATTCTGTGCCATGACCAATGTTGGACAACCGTCCCGGCCCATTTTAAGCTTGGTGAACCGTTGTCTAAGGACTAGGGGTGCCGTTGGGCATTGTGTCATTGAACCACAAAACATTGGACTCGTCCGTTGGGGGATTGCCAACACCATGATCAAACAGTCTAATGTCAAAGACATGGGCAACCGGAGAGAAGGGCAGCACCGCAATTCCCTTGAACGCCAATCGCTCTAGACCGGGCTTGCTTTGCTCATGTCAGTCCTTAGGACATCACAACTTGCACCCGGTGTACCGGCCGATAGCTACCACGGGGAGAAGGATCCGGGGGTTACTGACAAGATATCGGTCTCCATATTTGGGCCGCCTTCTTCGTCGTCCGCGGTGCCACCATCCAAGCCCGCCTGGCTTCCTGAATTGGAGCCCGGCGTAGGGTTCGACCGAGGGCCCCTGACAAACACGCCTTCGCGCTCCACGCGCCACCCGGTCCCGCTCGACTCGATCCAGTGCACCGCCATCTCCCACGCCTCCTTGTCGGCCGCGTCTCCGCTCTCAAACTCCCGCAGTCGTCGCCAATTGCTGAGAGCACGACGACCCGAACTGCTCCCTCCTTGCGCATTACCAGCGTTCTCAGTCTCAGCATCATCATCCCCAGCCCCAAAAGCGCCGTCAGCTAGTAGCTTGCGGAGAAGCAGGCTGTAGCAACTGTTGCGCTCCATCCACAGGTCCGAGGCCTGCACGTTGCGCATCTCCTCGGGGTCGAGCAGCACATTGTTACGCGGGACTAGCTGCACGAAGAGACGGTCGATGGGCGGGAGGTTGTCGATGATGCTGCAAAAGTGGGTTGTGAGGGGGAAGATGGCGACGTAGGACAGTGAACGGATGGTTGAGGGGATCAGGGCTACGTCGTTGGGCGCCTCCTCGCTGCCTAGAAGAGCGCCTAGGATGGATGGCGGGCGGCGGAAGAAGTACTCGTAGTTGCGGTATACGCGAATTGACGAGCCTTCGTTGAGGAGGAGGTTTGTCCAAGGCCGGATGGTGAAGAGGCTGCTCCGGGTTCTCTTCCTTTCCCTCCGGCAGCCGCACGAGTGAGAGGGGGCTGGTTGAGGTTCGGGCACAACCTGGGATGGTGAATTGCTTCGAAGTTTGCCTTCAGTCTTGGTTCTCCTTGCCTTGGGATCCACGGACAGAGACAGAATATGCAGGAGGTGCCTGTGGGAGAAGCTGTCTGCATCTCCAAGGAAAAGCATACAGGACAGGAGGCTGGCCAACATCTGTGGGGATGCAATGATGGTAAATCTTTGCACGTCTACCAGTGAGAACAGCATGTCCCACAACCAGTTGTTGTCCTCATTATGAGCAGCAGCTGCAGTGCTTAACTGGTACTGAAAGTTCCTGAGAAGCCCATCAATTTCTTCGTCTGTTGGTTGTGGCCTGGTCTCGATGCCGGACGCGCTGAACGAGCGTGATCCATGGCGTGAACGCCTTCGCCTTATCACTGGCTCCATCCTGTTGCTAACAAGCATGGTGAACGAGACCACGTGCCGAGCAAGGTCGCTGGCACGCAGAAAGGCCAGAAGCGGGAAGGAATCGATCGGGTCTTCAGCCTCGCTGGGGGCAGTTTGTGGCAGATCCCAGCGGTCAAGCACCCAAACAACATGACGGAAGAGGAGAGGCAGGGAAATGGCGCGCCATCGCTTGCTAACGAGGGAGATATATTTGAGCGGCGTGTCGGACGCTTTTAGCATGTCTATCTCAGGCTCGTCGTGTAACCGAGTGTCCGACGGTGCCGGGACATCAAAGAAGCTGAAAACCTGAGTCAGGAGCTCAGGCGGGAGGGCATCAATTGTGATGATTGGGTGGTTGGAAGCCATGTTGGATGTTGGTATTTCGATTGCAGCGGTTTCGGGGAGTTGGGACACCCGCAGGCGTTACCCGGGGATCGGAGCCGAGGATGAAAGCGAGGCAAGAGCTGCGAGGCAGGCAGGACACACAAGAGCGTCGAGGAGCAGCTGGACAGCTCCTTACCTTAGCGTACCTACATTTGCCAACCAGGTTCTGTGTAAACGTGGGCCGGGCATAAAGCACCAAAGCAGCGCACCGACTGTCGCAGGTCTCACATGTGGTGCGCACCTCAGCCACGGCAGAGCCAAAGATCATTGCTAACGTTAGGTAGCTGCAGTCCGGTGTCTAGGGTTGACCGGCGGGGCGGTGACCGAATCTGATGTCACTGGGAAACACCAGAAGTGAAACCGCTATTTCGACGGTTGTTTTGACGCTATTTCATTAGGACCGAACCCAAACGGGCTGGTGGGGCAAAGGCTGCCTAATCGAGCGAATCAAACGTAGCGTCAGAGCACCAGCCTTCTGATTTTCGTCCCACGCACAGACCATCCTTGGACTTCAACTAAAACCACGTCAACTCGCCCACCGCGTGTCGGCAATCATGCCTCGTTGCTTCTCCAGGTCGCACCCACGCCTTTTGAAGGATCAGTACCTCGCGCTCAGTGTCAACCTACTGTTTCTACCCATGGGCCGTGGTCGCATTGAGACACCGCTCTTGGAAGAACAGGACACTGAGAATTGGGATTTCCTCGCTTCTCGCTCGTTTTCGAGGAGAAGGAGTGAGATCGCCATTCGCTGACCCTGATGCCTTGAAGGTGTGGTTGGCGATCGTTGAGTGCTTCAAAATCCGTGTCTGCAAATCAGTAAGTCGTTGATACTTGCTAGGGACGCTGATCGGACCAGGTCGACGACACCGAACTCCTCAACGCCAAGTATGTCGTCGTCAACACCCAATGACGCCGGCTCTCAATCGCTCACCACTCATGTTGTCCTAGAATGGGACGAGACAAGTCCGAATGGCGAAGAGAGGCACTACCTCACGGCTCCCGATCCCCCCGATGCAAAGATCATTTTCAAGTCCGACATCTCTGCGAGGTCAAATGACGGTGCGACCGGATCAGCGGTTGGTGTCTTTCTGCGGCTGCACATCCCGGTGAAGCTGAAGAATGTCCCGGCCCGCACGCCTATCCACATCCATATCCGGCCATCTTGTGTTCAATCATGCACCTTCGCCATGGCCGTCGACGCTCCAGAAGCTGTCCGGGCGCTGTATCAGTGTCAGCTGGCGAGTCTATCGATGAAGCTCAGCGGGTTTGTCCAGATCGTTGTTCCCCACACCATGACAGCATCATCGCGGCCGGCGAAGACCCGCGCGTCGGGCCAAGTGCTTGACGCGATCCGGTCTCTCAGCCGAGCCACACAGCTCGTCCTGTACATGCCGGCGAACCTGGCTCCCCGGACGCATCTGCAGCGTCTGTCGGCACTGCTGACGGGTGGTGGCTTGCGAGGGCTGCCGCCGTATACCGAGTTGAACAAGTTGTTTGGCGGGTCGGGAGGACGGATATGGGATGTCGAACCTGTGTATCCCACGACGTCACCACCACCCGACGGCGGCGGGGAAGGAGACGGGGAAGGCGACCGGGAGGGAGATGGTGACATCCCACCACCATATGAAGCCTGCGTAGGACCGTCAGCCTCCCCCTCCGCGAGATCAGGTAAGCCATTCCCTGTTATTCCCTTCGACATTGTGTCTTTTCCTTAGCTCTTCCCTTCTTTGTCTTCTCTTACTCTTTTTTTATTTCTCTCTCTCATTTAGCTCCTCTTTTCTTCCTTTTTTCTTCTCATTTCTCTCTTTACCTTTATTTCTCAATTCTATTCCGGCGATTAACATGCTGATCTAGCTCTGTGGCAAGAGTCTCAAACCCGGGACGGAAAACGGCGGCGTAGCAGCAGCGACGCTGTAGCTGTTGCGACCTCTAGCGAGTTTACCAGGGCGAAGAAGCCCGATTTACGCGCTTCTCCTCCAAGGCCACAGCTTCCCGAAAAGGGACAGACGCTGGAACTCTCCGTCTTGCAACGTCTGGCGCTTCTGGAGGCACTCGCCCATGCGCAAGCGGTGCAGATCAGCAACCTATCGAGCGAGAACCACGCGCTGCGGAAGCGGATCGATGAGTATGAGACGGAGCTTGCGGCCTTGCGATTGGAAATAGGCCGGGTGGATCGCCAGGTGGATCGGCTGGATTTAGACGTCTCGGAGCAGCGGGAGGACATTATGCGCTTGGAGGGCAATGTCCAATACTGTCTCGACCGAGAGGACGAGATTGTGGGGGCCGTTGTAGATACGGTGACGGAGCAGATTTCCGAGAGGGGGCTTAGCGCGGCCAATATACACTTCACCTTGGGTGAGGGTTGACTCTCCGTCTTATGCAAGACTTGTCTGTCTTCGTCGTTACCGGTACGGTCCTAATGCCCGACGCAAACCCCTTCCCTCTCCTCATGGCCTCGAACCAATGCCTAGGCTGCATCGGTCCCGAGCTCATGTGGGCGGCCCAGCCGCCCGGCAGGCAAGGGCAATGGAGGCCGAATGATTTCAGACACATCTATGCGTTGCCACATCCCAGGGAAATCGAAGTCTCCTATCTGCGCATTAACTTCAAGCGCTCATCAAAGGCACGGCAATTTAATTGCACGAGCCTTCCGTATCTTCGTCCGATGTGCCCGGATCTTCCTCCGATGTACCCGTATCTTCGTCCGATGTACCCTTCGCAAGTTTCGCCGCCGCCGCTCCCGCAGCAGCAGCTACACCCAGTCCCACCCCTTGTGCAGCCGACGCGAGAGTCGCAGCGCCAGCTCCCCCCATGGCAGCGCTTTGACAAGTTGCGAAGACGCTCCCTGCAGCTACATTTCCTATCGCGCTCTGGACACCAGCGGCGATCGAACCTGTCCAAGAACTGGCATTGGCATATCGTTATATCGACAAGAGGGAGAAGATGAGGAAATACTAACCCGCAATAGGTCCACTCGGCCCAAAGCCTACGGCAGCGAGCATGGGCGTCGTGGCAATCGCTGGAGCAGCAACAACGGCCAGACCCCCAACCGTGACGGCGGCGCAAGCAGCAGAACCGGGGTTCTCGGCAACCCAATTCACTCCCTCACCCGCCTTTTCCATGGCATATTTGCCGGCGTTTGCAGCGTGTTTCCCCGCCGACGCGATCGACCCAGAGAGAGCGGCAGCACCCCGAAAGGCGGCCTGGCCGATGCCGATGGCGCCGGTAGGCCGCATTTCGTTTTGGTTAGCGTCTTTGAGGAGCCCTCGCTGTCTTGATTTGCTCCTTGTCAGCGACGGTGGCTTGTTAGAGTTGCGGGGTGGGTGGAAGCAGGGCAACAGTAAGGAGATATTGCTTGATGTAGGATCCAAAGCTCTATTGCTGCTATTGGGGAAGAAGAGAGACCGCCAGTGAGGCTCTGGAAGGCAAGCCTCTATACCTCAGGTACCTAGTCTTGCCAGGCTAGTGGTGAAGGAAGAGGACAAAGAACGCTAATGAGCTCTAGGCAAAAAGAACCACCAACAAGGGCACTTACGGTGCTGGGAGAGCTTGGATGCATTTTCTACTCGCAGCCATTGGGTCTGGATAGCAACTGGTAATGATGGTGGTCGTATTGTTTGGAGGTTGTGGGAGGTTGTTGGAGGGAGAACCCAGTGCCTGTGTGTGGTGGCAGCCTTGTGCCTTCCTAACAAGCCCCGCAGCGGCTGGCTCGAAACCGAATCACAAATCACGGCACCCCATGCAAGTCGACATTGTTACACAGCTAGGTTGACCATGATGGGTGCAAGGAGGAATCGGTATGTGCAAGCGGGCAGCTCGCATGGCGGTAGTACTGCCCGTCGTCCCGATTCATCCACCGACTGCTCGCCAAGTGACGACTCGGAGCGCATCGGCAACAGAGGAAGTGATCAAGGCAGCGGCAAAGAATGGTAGGACTGTTAACCAAGTGATGGAGCTGCTGCTCGGATTCGACTGAGGACGTCACCGCGGTGAATGCGTCAGTTGGTTCTACTGCTGCTGCTTGTGGCCAACACGAGGTCATTGACCTCCCGGCAGGCGCTATCATTTTTCAAGTTTCCTCTCGAAGACAACTGGACAACGAATCCGACATTCTAAAAGGCCGTGGAAACCGGGGACTTGAAGTCCGTCCAGAAGCCTTTGCTCGAAGGAGTACCTCCGAACAGGCAGGACAACCAATTTCACAGACCTCTACCTCCGTATGCATTGCTATGTCCCGGGGAAATCGAAGTCTTTTATCCATACTTTAACTTGAATTTCCCATCAGACTCATGTCAATTCAACTACGCGAGCGCTCTGTATCTTCGCATGATGTACCCTTCGCCAATCTCCTAGCCGCCGCTGCCCCAGCAGCAGCTACATCCAGTCCCACCCCCCGTATAGCCGTCCTGACAGCCGCGGCGCCAGGTCCCCCCATGGCAGCGCTTTGAATAGTTGCCCACATTCCACCTGTTCAGGAACTGTCGTTGGCATATCGTCATATCGGTACGCGGGGGAAGATCATAAGGAAGCTATACTAACCTGCAACAGGTCCCTTCGATGCGATGCCTGCGAGGGCGTACATGGGCGACGTGGCAATTGCTGGAGCAATACTAGCCGCCAAACCTCCAGCCGAGATGGCCGTGAAAGCAGTAGAAACGGGGTTCTTGCCCGCCCAGCTCACTCCCTCTCCCGCCTTTTCCTTAGCCCAACTCACTCCTTCCCCCGCCATCTCCATAGTAGATCCGCCGAAGGCTCTCCATCCAGGGCCAGTGTAGTTCAGGGCTGCTGATGCGAACGAGAAAGGACCAATAGCGAGAGCATTTTGCCAGGCGAGGGCGATACTAATAGCACAGAGAGGCCGCATTTCGTCTTGAGTAGGTATTTGTAGATTCCTCAATACCTTGGTTTACAGCTTGTCAGAGTGGTAGAGTGCGTAGGAGCAGGGCAATAGTAAGGTAGATATTGATTGAGGATATCGAAGATTGTCTCTCCTAGTTCAAGTTCCAAATTGACATGAATAGGTGGGCTTTTCTCAGACCCCAAGATATACCACAGTTTCCATAGGATGCTCCTGATGACTGCCACCTCAGGTGGAGGCATCATTGATGTCAAAATGTCGTCTGTCGAGCTCCACGCATGGGGGCACTGCCTTCCCAACCCAACTCTTCTATAATGGAGATGCGCGCAAAACGGTTGATCCGAAACGGGAATGGATTCGTCTGGTATCATCTCGGTGGTCAGGGTCTTGCCAGCCGCTGAGAGACGCTGTCTTGCACCGGGCTTTCACAGCGGCTGGCAAGACCCTGACCACCGAGATGATACCAGATGAAAACGAAAACCCCGACGGTTCCCTGCATTGTCCCGAGCGCTTTTTTCAGTGCCAATTCATCTCCTCTGGTTGCCACTTCACCCAGCAGAGTCCTGAAGTTGATGACGGTTCCGAGCGGGGAGTTGCCCATCATCAATGTTCGTTTGAGGAGGTTGATGCGGCCCGGGGAGGTAAGTCAAGCCCTCTCGATAGGCATATGACCCGATGGTCTCGAAGATGTGGTCGTTGGGTGTGACCGGCGGGGTGTAGTCGGCCGCATCTCGGACGGCCAGGCGGATCTGTGGAAGGCTCACGTCGTATACTTTGTTCCAGCCATTGATCACCGCTATGGGGTCGAGCTTGTTCTTTATGTCGACACCGGAAAAGAGTTTACCGGACAGCAAGCTCCCAACGAAGCTGTCGATCATGTTGACCTCATGAAGGTTCTCGAGCTGGGAGCCCGTCTTTGGGAGCTCTGCGGCTGGAATTAAGTTAATCGGTGTCGAAAGGGACGTGTCTTTGAGCAGGTTGTACGCCCCGCGGATGAAAAGCGTGTCCTTCCCATCGCCTTCAAGGCTCTTCAACCCTAGGTCAGTAAGGCCGGCTTGTCGCGGCCAGGTCCTTGCCGTTATGGATAGCAGAACCCGTCAGCTTGACCAGCGAAAGGAACTTGTGTCGTGGCTGTGCCGGCACGGCAGCGCGAGCCTCGAGATGGTTGTCGTCCTCCTCTCTCACACCGCCATCTTCATAGTTCCAGACCCAAGGACAGCAAAACCTCGCCAACCAGCAAGAGAGCTCACTCGCATCTTAACCCTCCAAACTCAATGACTCCTGCCGCCAATGACCTACAAATTCACTCTCGTCCTCGGTTCCATCAATGTATGGGGGTCTTACATATTGATCGTCCCAGTCACCTTTCCCAAGCAAGTGATACTTGTATAGGTATTCCTGCAGCGGCATGTACATCCAGCCCACGTCTTCCTCCTCGTATTCGGTTGCACCATCATGGAATGGGGCGGGAACTGTGTAGTTCCTCTCCTGTGGGGGGAACGGGGACTCCCAGTTTTTGTGCAGAAGCTTCACAACTGGCGAGTTAACGCCGGGATGATCCACGGACTCGAGACAGATATCATCCACAAAGAGACAATATTCGTATCTGGGCGTGGATGTTGCTCGCATCCAGCCCACGTCGTCTTCCAGGTTAGTAGCATCGGGTCGTAGACGGTCCTCGAGATTTTTTGAGACCCAAGACTGAAAATGTTCTCGGACTTGGTGGGAGGTGGCTCCGCTGGTGCAGGTGACAGCTGTTAGTAGTGGCAGACTGATAAACATGGGCGCGCTGCAAAACGCACTGGAGCGCCTTGTCGTCGATGGCGTGAAGATCATGGAATGTCAACAGATCTTCGCGAATGTAGAACCTGAGATCTTCCTGGATCTTGCTGCGCAAGGCTTCCAGCAGGCGAACCCAAGCTCTCTGGTTGGCTTTAGAGCACCGATATATCTAGATTTTCTGCGTCAATGTGACGCTCTTTTGCACCATCATGAGAGGGAGAGTGTGAGGAGGAGGTATTACGACGAATCCCCAGACCGAATCGTGAAACTTTGTGCACGTCATGTCTGACTTGATATGGTCAAAGTCGATGTCAGGGCTCGACATGTAATCGAGGTAGGTTTCAGTCCCTGGGGCTCCTGAATGTCCTGCCGAGTTGCTGCCCGTCATGTTTCGAGGACGACAAATCCGGCCAGCTTCGCCCCGCCGTGTTGCTGTACCGCGCGCCGAGGGTGTCGTGGCGCCGGCTTTGGTCAATGTTGTAAATGGCCACTTTGAACAGTTCTGGGCGGCGCGGGAGATCTGTCGCAAGGCTCCCCTTCCAGCTGCAATGCGTTGCAACATGGAGAAATTGGGGGTGTGTTGATGAGTGTATGGGAGAAGGGAAGTGCAGATGAAGCAGAGGCGAGGTAGGTTGCGCAGAAAATCCAGCGTTTTGCCCGGGGGCGCAGAGGCAGGGCACTCGCTCGTTTTATCGTTTCATGGATAACAACTTCGCAGTCCTTCAATCAGGAGTTTAATATCTGCGTGTCCATGAGAAGCCAGACGGGAGGGAAGAGAGACGCATTGTCTTTCTTTGGGAATAGCGTTCCCTAAGTCGCAAATCCACTGAAGTGGGCGCCGAAGTGGTCCTGTAACTAGCCCTGTAAGTGGGAATACTTCAGTGGGTTACAGTGGCTCGTTATAGGTAGGTGGCTGGCTCGGCCCCTGTGCGATCCTTACTGTAGGTATGTATTGTATAATACCTAAGGTACCTTATGTATATACATACAGTACAAAGTACAGAGTGGGACCCTTGGCAGTCTTGGCAAGAGAGGGGTGTGAATAATCTGGGCCCCAACCTCCAATTCTTCAGTTCCTTTTTTTCAGGTTGGCTCGAAACTGATAACTGAATCACATAACACCCCAGGGCATTAGTCTGAATCTGATTCCATCCATACCAGCTTTCCCATTGACGCGTTCGCCGGTTGCGCCGGTTGCCTCGTTGCATCATCCACAGACGTCCCGAATCCACCGCGTCCTAGCAGCCCCCTACACTTTCTCATTGCTCGTCTTGTTCAGGTTGACGTCCTCCTCAACATGCACGACTGCCTTGGTGACAGCGGCCCCAGCGAGTTGGGAAAACTCTTCCTTGTCCTCGAACACTGCGCAAAGCGTTAGCCTCACTCTGGGTTTTTGTACTGGGCAGAAGGAATGGGTCACTTACGGAAAGCAAGCTCCTCCAGCGAACGGCCAGACGTCTCGGGCCACAGAAACCAGATCATGACAACCTCAGCAAAGATCCAGCAGCAGTAGACGAGGAGGTACTTCCAGTCAATGGCTTGGGTGCCTGTCAACTGACGGTTAGCAACATGGGTTGTGTGCGAATCCCGGAAACGGAGAGTCCTACCGATTGGGTTGACATAGATGCCGAAGAACTGCGCCGCTTTGCCCCAGAACTGGAAGATGGCAATGCCACGAGCACGTGTAGCATAGGGGAACACCTCGATGAGGTACGCTAGGAAACAAATTTGGGTAAGTGTTGTCCTTCCAGGGAAACAAGGAGGTCGCTCGACTTACTGTACGTCAAGGCGTTGAAGCACAGATTGTATGCCGGGCTGTATGCGTATATCCAGAACAGCGACAGCTTAGCAGCAACCTCTGACCTGTCGATGATGAAGACAGCAGTGCAGATGGTCCAAGCCACATAGACGGCCAGAATTGAGATGATGCCTGTCAGATACATGGTTCGCCGCCTGAAGCGCATGACCACCAGGGCAGCGCTGACACCGCAGATGAGGGACCAGCATTGGTTGCCGAGGTTGTACTTGGCCTGAAAGCTGGGGTCGGTGTACCCGATCAGCTTGAGGACGTCGCCCAGGAAATACGAGATGACCACGTTGCCCGACAGCTGCGTAAACAGGCCCAGCAGCGAGCCGATGACGACGCGGCGGCGCATGCCTGCCGTGCGGACCATGTCTGCCCACGACCGTTTCGAGTTCTCCATCTCAATCTCCAGCGTCGCCTTGATCTCCACGATCTCAGCCTTGACAAACGGGGACTCGGCATTGCCCTCGGCGTGGTACTTGATCAACACCTGCTCGGCTTCCTCATAGCGGTCTCTGCTGATCAGGTAACGGGGGGATTCCGGCAGGAAGAAGACGAAAACGACCTGCAAGAGAGACGGTGCCATCTGAAGAAGTGACGGGATCCTCCACGACCAGTTGCCCTGGATCTGCTGGGTCCCGAAGGCTGCTCCCGCAGCTACGATCGCTCCGATGAAGTAGCAGGCATTGAACAGCGACGTCAGAATTGGGCGCTCTTTGGGATGTCCCAGCTCGCCGATCAGACAAGAACCGGCCACGATGGCATAAGGCAGGCCGAAGCCGATGATGCCGCGTGCCATGATGTACATCGGGGCTGATCAGACCGTCAGATTTTGCCCTCGGGCTCCTTCTGTGCGACGTGACTCTTACCATTGAAGGCGAATCCCTGGATGATAGTCCCAATGATCATGATACACGACCCGAACATGATGCACCATCTACGCCCGAACGTGTCATTGACCAGAGGGATGAAGGGGAGCCCGATGACGGAGCCCAGGGGAAGAGAGGCGGCGAGGATGCCATTGTACGAGCCGGTCGGGTTCCCGAAGTCTGCGAATCAAGGGTCAGAACGAACTCGCTGAAGGCGGAACTGCCCCAGCTTACACTCCTTCCAGGCGGGGAGAAGCTGCGCCGCGTTGATGATCTGGGAGTCAAACCCGGAAGTCATTTCGATGCCAATGACGCAGGGAAACAGGAGGAAGTACATCGTCCGCAAATTGGGCTTCTTGTACCAGGGGATCGGATCCTCCATCGCCATGCGATGGATGATGTTGTCCGATCCCCCACCAGCACCGGCGCCGACCATCTTGGGCTTCTTTGAGCGTGGCGGTATACTCTCGTGCTGGGTTTGTTGACACCAGGGGTGACACTCAACCCTAGAGCCGGCGATATCTGTCAAAGGAGCACCGATAGGATGGGCACTCTGCTAGAATAAGACCTGCTATGGGTCGGACAGAGCATATAAGGCCTTCCAGTATTCCATGTAACCCGACAGAAACGACCGCAACGTGGAAAATGGCACGCCATTGTTAAAGTCCCATATTCGTTGCATAACCACCGGAAAGTTGGCTTAGCTAGAAGCAGCAAAGGCCTCGTTCCCTGTCGTTAGAATGCCTTCTCCCCGGCGTAACCACACCCCCGGTCAAAAGCCAATCCCCTGGCCCCTTCCATTTGAGCCATATTGGACACTACTGGCACCAACAGGTCGGGCCGAGAAGGATCGACAAGCCCTGAAAATTCGGGCTCTCCGTCCACTCCGAGTACCCTCTTTGTGCTATTTACCTTACGACACTGGCTTAGTGAGTGTTGGTTTCGTACGACATCAGAATCCTGCGACGGTTCTCGGCTGCGTCTTTTGTGGGAGCCGCGGGAGGGACGCGGGCCATTTAGCCGGGTTCGACCAGGGGGCTGCGAGAGCAGGTTGGATCTCTTGGACAATCGTTGATGGTGTGTAGGAAAGCTCTGGGGAAGCCAAACCCCAGATGCCCAGGCGGGATCTCCCACACTAATCTCTTGGCCTGGAATCAACTTGTCTTGGTGTCCTCTATGGCACCGTTGGAGAGGTTTTAACCAAAATAACCCCCTTGACGGGCTCCCAAGTGAACACAAGAGCACACTTGCCCTCAACAACTTGAAACTTACACATCACATTCACACCCAACGACTCGCAAGCAGCTTGTGGATCCGAGATGAGAAGCGGGAGGGACAAAAGGGCCGCGAAAGAAGCCGTCCGGCCGCAGGCTAATCGCCCCAAAGATGCTGACGTTGCATGGGGGATCTGCCGCTGGGGGCCAAGCGGCTAAGTACCTACCTATAAACCACCCTCGAATCATCTGAGCTGTACTTAGAGCAGTGTTTTGGCTTTATTCGGCGTAATTCGCAACTCGGCCAAGTCGGCACTTCTTTTGCCAAGTGGTTGCCGTCCCCCCATCACGGCTTTCGAGAAATGCAGACTCAGGGCTTGGCTGAATTGTTAAGCTTTGCGGCGCCGTCTGCTACAGATCAAGTACCGCGCCAAGTGTCTTGGGGTGTGACGGTTCCTGGTTCTGCACAGTTTGTGCTTCGGGAGAGTGCTGGGCGTGGTGTGAGGATTGACCTCGTCGACCAGGGTGGATAAGATATATAACCGACTCCGACAGCGGGCATGCCTTATGTCGGTGGTCAAGAGGGCTAAGAACGGAAAGGAGAAACCAGCAGTTCTGCCCACATGCATGATCTAAATATCACTGAGTGGATGCGAGCCGCGCAGGTGATGGATGTGCTACCAGCAAGGAAATAAGCACGCACAAGTGGGATCATTGCCAGGGAAAGAATTATTCGGACAGCATCTCAGCCGAATGTCCTGATGGTTAAATATCCACATACATGGAGTCTCCCTCGGCAATCCCCATCCCTGCCTCTTATCCATCCCCCTGACTCCCACTGGCAGGCTCGAGTCTCTCCCATCCCCACCCCATTTACTAGAGTAGGAGGCACAGAGTCAGCTCATAACGGCATGCATGCCACGTTGGATCACGGAACATTGTGTACTGGTGTAACCTACGCGGGAGTAGCCCGGCTAGCTCGGCATTGTAGATGTACTATCTGGCTGATTCGGCTACAGTGCATGTGAAGAATGCTTTGTTTTCTATTCTCATTTTGCCTACGACAGTTCATAGCGTCGCTTCGGAGGATGGGGCCAGTATTGCATTGGCCGGCGTAGACAAGGGACTTGTACCTTATCCACTGAAGTTGAGATGTGAGGACAGTTGAGCGAATTACATGAGAGCACAGAGACTTCATGTTGGGTCAAGCTTAAGGTGAATGTGCTCAATAAACCAGTCACTCGCCCGCTGCTGGTTTGGATAGGTTAGATACATGTACTATCTGAGAACATTTACATAGAAGATGTTGAAAGCTGTCTCTGTGCTATCTGTGCTAGTACGCAAGTACGCAACAATCTCCAATTTCAAAGTACCCCTGGCTCATAGTTAAAGTCAACTCGGGTCTTGGGGAAAACTAGAATTGAGCTTATACTTGGTCAGTCCAAGGTAACTTGCAGTGAGATTCTCCGTTTAGGAGTGGACTAATCGCTACCAGACGGACGGACCGCCAGTCACACCCGATTTCGGCGCAATTGTCGCCCTAGCAATCACACTCATCCCCTCGCAACCTCACGCTAACAAAGCTTCCTCCTTTCCTACCCCCCCGAAGATGCTTATGGAATCTAGTGTACCGCAACAGTCACAGATTCCTTTCTTGGAAGTGTATTTTGAACGACTTATTGCTATCCTCTCCATCATCTATGGCAAGAATCCTATAGAGGTGCCAGCGTGGTAGAGCAGAACAGGAAAATCCCGACTCAGGGGTTACAGAGATTAGATTGCAACAGTGCAACTTTATGTGAAAAGAGCCCCAGTTACAGGGCATCAGATTGGACGCTATCCAAAGAAAGGTAAACCCTCCACAGACAAGAACCATGTCATCCCTCAGGCTACTCCTTCAATCGATTCATGTTCAAGAGGCGACACCTCTCTTGCTAGCTTGGTCCCAAGATGTCTGCCAGTTGTCGAGACGCTTGGCCATCTTCTTTTTCCTCTCTGAGATGATAGTAGAGTAAACCACCCCTTGGCTGGCTCCCTGGGAGCAGTGGGGGACTGGGACTTGAAGCTTCGCGGAGATTGTCGGGCTTTCTGAAAGATATCGCTCCAGCATTGGGGCTTGCTGGGTGTCACCACAACTGCCAACATTGGCATGACTGATTAGACTCAACACTTCTGGGGCAAGCAGTTGGGTTCGAACGACTAACCTTCCTTCTGCGGCAGACATGGTATGTGCACGGAACGGTTGCTGATACCTATCGGGAGGGACTGGGCCCTTTCAATTCATTTCCTTCTGTCGTTAATTGTTCCTGCTTATTTGGCTTCCTGGAAGTTTCTCGGAATTGCTGTCAAAGTGAAGAAGGTGACGACTTAAAACTACCCGGACTCTAACCCACAATCCATCGACGGCATGTTGGTGACTGTTATATACTTGTACATTGTGGGCAACGCGCAAGCTGGTGTTGTGAGATGCAGTCCCCTGTTACACCTCGCAGTCCTTCTCGACAGAAAACACATGGGAGATTAGATCTCAAGGCCGTCCCTCTCAACAAGCAACACATGGAAGACTCAATGCTTCTCAAGAAGATGAAGTGATGAACAGCCCTTTCAGCAGTTTGCATTCAAGCGCACAGCGGCGCCTTCCACACATTTGTGTTCATCGAATCATCGCTCCTGGATTGCATGTGGCTGACAGCAATACGATCCAATCAGAAGAGGGATGTATGCCTTCCGCACTTTCCCGTCACTCTCAGCGCCCGTCACTTTGCGGCTGTTGCGCTGTTGCCTGAAACATGACTCAATTGCAACTGCCTGACCTTTCCTACGAATCACCTAGGTACCTTACTTACATAAAGGCACCTATTGACGTTCTACTTCTTACCCCTATTTCAGATGTCGGAAAATCACCAAGGTTGGACTGGAATCAGCTGGTCTAAACAGCGCGACTTGCGATACCAAGGCATCCTATTTACTCCCTAAGGTATCATTCAGATCATGCCGGATATGAGGGACTTCAGAGACAGGGTCAATGCCCCAGCGGCAATGGGCACACCCAGTGAGGTTGAAAGCATTCCATCCGGTGCGCAATCGGCAACGATGGCCAGCCGTGATAAAGCTGGAAACGAATGGGTTTGCGCAACTCCCTGCGTCATGCAGTCGATAGAAGGCGCATACGGCTTGTCTTTTGAGGATGCGGCTTGTCTTGACCACGCGTACGCGATGTTCTCGGCAATGGCAGACGATTTGCCAGCTGATGCCCGACTTCTGCTTGTGAAAGTCTGCGTGGCCATCAGCCTGCACGTCTTGAAGCTTGCTGGCGAAGGAGAGCAGGTTCCAGTTTTGTTCCGCACTGGCAGGGACCTCGAGGACATGATTAAGTCATTTGCCATTCGGATCGGTTTCGAGGAAAACGTTCATTCAAATCGAACCATTATGTCGCTTGTATATGCTCGTCATCGGTACGTACACGCAGGTTTTATACACTTCGTTGTTTCAACTGACTTCATGTTTCCCTCCAAACCGAACGCTATCTCACTGCCGTCTTCTGTCTAATTCTAGTGAGATTGCTGCTCTATTACGGATTTTGTGGTTCGGCGACAAGGATGATTACAACCAGATGGGAGCTAGCAGAAGAAATCTGGCCAAGGGCATGTCAACGGATGACGATACGACGTTCTGGACGGACGACGATAGTCGAGATAAGACGTTGATATGGGAAAAAGAGCCTCAAGACCGCCAGCGTACGAAGAAAGATTCTGGGTGCGTGATAGAGGACGAACACGAATACAAGGTTGTAATTGACGGACTCGGGCAGCTTGACTCTTCCTTGGATACAGAAGGAGTTGTTGAAAGTGAAGCATTTGAATGGCTCGTTCGCGGTTTGCTCCGTCAATCCTGTTATCGCTTGGACGAAAAGCAATTGCGGCCCGTGGTGAGCCAGAGAATCGTCGACGAGATCCCTACTAGCACCATGATTAGCAGTCAGGATGCACCCAAAAGCTACAAAGTCATCTTTCAGCTCCCTTGGGACACACTTCGGACCGATTTACAACTGGAATCAGTCATCTTCACCAGCTCATCCGACTTCGAGATACAAGCCACTACTGTTGAAGATTACCTCGACCAAACCTGGGGTCACCGCGGGAGAGATATCTTGAGCGTAGTGGAATCAGTACTTAAACATAGAACAGGAAAGGACGCGAGTCCAGGTATGTAGCATTACCTTAACTGACACACCACTCCCCGCCATATAGTGCCCGATACTGACCTATCAAGACACGGCGGGGATCTTCTGCATCGAAAGAAAAGGGGAAAAGATTTGTGCAATGCTCGGCACAGGCCAGATCTCTGTTACCGGGCCGGCTTGTTACATCGCAGAGCGTGCTGACCAGGTAGCATGGCTGGTCGCTGCCCTCCAGCACTCACCACCAAGCCAGGATCTTACAATTCACAGCAAAGTCGTGGTGGAGAAGCAGACGCCCGCTGAAGGGGAGGAATTTTGGCTTTTCCGAAACGTCAACGACACCAAATCTACCGAGCCAACCTTGTCGTTTCTGCCTGAATGGCTAGGTCAGGGCGTTGACTTGGTCATTGCTCGAGGGTTTCCGACAGCTCGCCGACCAGAGTTCTGCCCGGGAATAGAGGTTTCGGGAAGCACCCGCCTTCAACTCTTCAGGCGTTACGCACGGCTCATAACAGACCCCCACCAAGTCGGTGGGAAAGTGAACGGGCCAGCAGGGATCATGAGGCTGGTGAAGAGAGTCGGGCATGTGTTCATCTGGCACTTATTTGGGCGTCGACCGGAATATTCAGGTGAATGTAGGTGTGAGTTTTACCTCTATCAAGCACGGGGAGATGGCATCTCCCGCGACGTCGATGCGCCAACTGTCGACATGTCAATTGTCAACATGCCAATTGCCGAAATGCATGATAATAGCCGCCACATCCTCTACGATTGCGGTGGAACTAAGGCCTGGCTGGAACAGAAATCCCATGGTACCGATATAGTAACCGAAGCACTATCAAGGGGTCCTACTGAGGTGGCTTGTAAGGAGAAATATGAAGATAGGGGACTGTCCGAGTGGAAGGCTGGGTCTTTCTCTGAGGGGTCACGGGAGACATCGATCGATTCGGATATGTTATCGATCTCGGATGCCTCAGAGAGCGGCCGGCCCAAGTCGCCAGGAGAACTTGACAGGCTATCTCCCGTCATCACATCCGTTGCAAATCGTCTCTACAATGGATATCGGACCTTGACTGCGCAATCTGGCTCATCAAGCGACGTCAACCCCGTCCGCAAGCCTGGTTTAAGACCTGCCGAGTCCAGAACGTCGAAACCTGGCATACTTACTGGCTCACATAATATCTTTGGGAGACGTCAAATTAGCGGCAGACATGAAGATGACGGAGTTCCTAGACCCACCCGCAGGTATTCTTCCGGAAATCAGCAATCACAATCGCCCGGCGACTCCCCCGACAATAGCAGTACAAGTTCGGCGCCATGTGCTAGAAGTTCTTCGTCTCCCAATGAACCCCAGAGTGGAGGAGCCCGGCAGGATGGCGGCGGGAATCGTCGAGGTGGCTCAGATGGAGATGGAGATAAGGGATCCGGTCAGGGCCGGCGAGATAGCCCGCTTTCGAAGAAAAGGGCAAGGCAGAACAGTCACCAAGACGCCCCCAGAATACTTGCCTGTCATTTTTGGAAGCTGGACCAGGTGAAGCATCGCTCCTGCTTCAAAAGCGAGCTTTATGGGGTCAGTCGGGTGAAGCAACATCTAACACGGAAACACACACCAGAGTACTATTGTGAGCGCTGCAAAGCAGTCTTCCCAGACGAGCATAGCCATGAGGACCATATGCGACAACTGTGCGTCCTGGACCCCAACGCGACGCTGGATGGCATCACGCATCAGCAGGATAGGCAGTTGAGGAAGAGGTCCAACCCTTCGCTTTCTGAATCCGAGCAATGGTTTGTCATCTGGGATGGTCTATTTCCCGGACATCCTCGACCAAGTTCAGCGTATCTGGACAGCAGTTTGTCCGAGGACCTATGCCAATACCGCGAGTATGTCCGGCATAATGGTCATGAGGTCTTGGCCCAGGAACTAAGGAGCCGAGGCATCCTTCTCAGCGTGCAGCAGCAACAGGATGCCTGTGACCACGCTGAGAACGACGAAGTGCAAGATGCGGCAATCCGGGAAGCAATGCTCCTTTCACTCGACATGTTGTTCGATGACTGGCTCTCAACTCGAGGAAACTCGGGGCAGCCGTCGACCTCGCACCGGCGCGAGGAGTCGCTGACTTCCTCGGCTCAGAAACGCCAAAGAACATCGAGTCCTTCAAGACCAACGACGCCGTCCAGCGCGTTTGTAGACGGCAGTACCGGGCTGTTAGACTGTCCATCTGCAGTGTATCCGCAACAAGGCGAAGCGATGCACTTGCGTACAACTGCAGTTAATCATGAACCACATATACAAGGGCCTCCCGTCCTGACTGAGACCATTTTGCCAGACCAATTGCTCAACGAGGCCTGTTTGATGGCCACAGAGTTCCCTGACTTTGACGACATATTTCTGAACTTTGGGGAGACAGGCGACTTGTTACAAAGCAATGGTCCATTCAACGTGGACATGTATATTGCCGGCCTCTTTACTGAAGACGACACCGTGGCTGTGGCGCAGGAACTGAGGCCCCTCAGCTAACCCGCCGAGTAAGTCCTGCCTTCAAGGGTTGGTAACATTGGAACTCTTCTGGGAATGGGATCAGGCCCGGAGAATGGTCAGACATCACCGCAGGTTGAGGTTCCACAATCTTGTAAAAAAATGGGATAAGATCATAAGGGATAAACATGCGCCATCGAGTCTCAGCCGAGTTCGATTGATGGGATTGATCGACAGAATTTCTATTACTCTCTCCTCGGCGGTCGTCGTGCCATGGTGGCAGATATCGGGCGTTGTGATAGATCTGAGGCTGTTCAACGTCCAGTGTTTTCATTGTTGTGTTGTCCAAGTTCAGCAGCGCCGATTGACTGCTGTGGCCCGTGGGGTGGTGCATTTGTGGGCCCCAGGCCCCCAGCTGAGCTCGAACCCCTGTCACCTTGGACCCAGTTCTCCACTCGCGCCTGCAGATTGGCCTTATGGCCCCCACCCACGCTCCACAGCGCGAAGGATGCGCCTTACGTGCAATGTCAAACGCGCTGCTGTGCCGCACCCCTACCTTCCTGTAGTGTGTTTTCTTAGGCATCATTAGGTTATCAACTTCGTACTTTCCACCATATCAACAGCAGGATGGAAAGGTTCGCCCTTCCCTCGTTTTGTACGGTCTTCTAGATTCAACTTTGTTGCCTAACACTGCAATTGGGCCTCAAACGATACGAACTTGGATGATTCGACGCGTTTTACCAGAATGTTAAGTCTAGCACCAAGTTCCGACGTGAAGGGCGACCAGGATGGACCAGCAACGAATACTCCGCACTTGGGATCCCTATCATCGCAGCTACCGGGCGACGCTGCCCAACCCATAAACTTTCTTGAACTGCTGCGGGAGTTACAAGAGACCAACCGCCTACTAAGAGCCGTGGTTCTGCAAAAACCGGCTCATGGTCTCGAAGGGATAACCCCAGAATTGCTTACCCCCTCCTTGCCGCTGTCGGCTGCTGCATCGTCCCCCACTGCAAGCACCAGCGATGTGAAAGAAGCTCAGTCGCCTGAAAAGGGTCCAGCGGACCCAGCTATGGTGAAGAGAAGGGCCCTTGAAATGGTCAACGAACTGGCCCGCGATGCGTTTGCTCCGAATAATGCTGTTCTACTGGGTATTCTACGCTATCAGTGCATCAAGTCCATGTCATGGAGCAGCGATAGGGATTCTTCCGAGGTCAGCGAACTGGTTTGGGGTGCGCGGAGCCGAAATGAGGAAAGGTTTCGTCTGGCTGCCGATGAGGTTGCTCAAGTGGAACAGCAATGGCCCATCCGCTTTGATCCCGGCCCAATGATTCACAGGACAACGTTGGAGGCTGGCTGGATCCTCGGAAACAACCCGGTGCGAGACGGTCCGCTGTGCGCCACTCCTCTCTTCTATGGCGCTGAACGACGGTTGCTGCCGGCAAACGCCATCCTCGACACCTCACAAAAGGTTACCGCAGCGGCTGCAAACATGCCGAGTTCCAACTTGGAGAGTCCTGGCTCGTTGTGGTAAGATACTCCCCCTTCGCTTTCCGTTACCTCAGGCACAGCGAGTTCATGCCAGAATGCAGGCACTTTTCAACACCACTAGAGGCCAACGGCATCGTGCCTCTGAGACGCCTGGCGCTCATAGGCGCGGTATGCTGCCGGAAAGACAACGACGAAGTCAACGCCGTGGACGATTTTCTCCAGGACTTTTGTGGTAGATGGAGACCCCTCCACCTCCGACGTATTATTGCTAGTGAATTCATTGGCTGGTCAGGGGGCAGCCAACTGGTCTACCAGCACACTATGCGATGCTTCACTAGCGTCAGGTCAGGATTCACCGACACCTCCGCCTCCGCCTCCGCGGCGCCGACCTACGTACGCTGCAATCGCGAGAGCGGGGAATTCCCAAGCCTCTCAGACACCGTGTCTTCGTCCTTTGTTGAGCAGCGCATGTCCGTCTTTTGCCGCTGGTCCTATGTGTCCGACCCGCAACAATTCACCATCGTGGTTCTTGGTGACTTCCAGGCCGAGAAATACGAAGCTCAAAGTTCAAACGACCATTTCACTGACTGGGAGGACCGGAATTTCACTGTTCGAGGGGCCAATGCGAGCTATCATCTCCTTCAGTCCGTCATCCACCGTATGTTGGTGTTTTGGGAGAAGGAGTGGTCTCAATGCTTGGATGAGCTTGAGCAGTCGGTCAACACTCAGGTAAGTTTGGACGGATCTTCACTTGATGTTGTTACTGAAGCTCACAATCTCAGCTCAATGACATCCTCAACGACGAGGCCAGTAGTCGTCTCATGTTTGATACGTCGTTTGAGAGATCTCGTGTCTACTTCAAGTCACTCGAGATGCTGCGCATATTTTCGGACACGATTCGGGAAACCGGCCGCGAACTGCAAGAGATGGACCCCAAACTATTGCTCCAGGGCAGTTTCCGGCGCGCGGGGTTCGATTACCGATATTTCTTGAAGGACGACCCTGCCAAAGACGAGGCACTCTGGGAGAATTGGGAGACCCTCGTCAGTTTCCATAGGATAGCCGAGGAGCGGCTGCTGCATCGGATTGCTGAGAAGACCGAGGGCATCAAAAGCCTGCGAGATGGGGTAAGCGGTGCACCCAGCCATGATGTATGGATCCAGAGTCTTCTAATGCCTTTCCTCCGTCTACCAGTTATTCAACGCCACTTCGTTACGTGAAGCAGCCAAGTCTACGACCATGAACCGTTACGTCATTGTCTTTACCATCATGACAATCCTCTTCCTCCCGCCGAGCTTCTCAGTGGTAAGTCACACATCAACCCCTCGCACGTTACCTCGTTCCTAGCTCTGACCATTGTATAAATCTGTCAAACAGGCCTTGGTCAGCACACCGCTGTTTGAGGGCGCCGAGGACGTCGGATATCAATTCACGCTCTCCACCGTGGTTGTGTGCGTAGTTACTTACGCGCTTTCCTTCGTTCTCATCATACTGGCTGATAGGTGGGATGTTGCCGGTGCGCTCTACCGCGAGATGCGCACGTTAGTGCGCGTGGCGTGGGCTGGGACTGGTGTTCCGGCGCTCATGAGAGCAGGTAAAAGGAGCCAGGCAAAACGGAAGGTGGCAAGGAAGGAGAAGGAGGATGTGTAGGTTTGCATCTTTCGGAGGCCTCAGGATATTTCGCGTCTCCTACCGACTGCCATGATCTGATCGCATTAATGATATCAATGTGTGGAAATTGCTACTGCTATTCTAGCTTAGGTATGATCACGCCGGATTGTTCTGGACAAGCAAGGAATCCATGCTAACCGTTGCCAGCCCATCGCCCTTGTACAAGCCATCATCCTCAGTCACAAAACCGGGCTTGCCGCTCTCATCCACCACGCATCTCACCCGGATATCTCGTGCCTTCTGCTCGACAGCCTGCAAAGTGGTGTTGACCCTCCTCAATCCCGGCCTGTCCGTGGCCCTCTCCTGCGCTCCCTGGCTTGAGTGGCCGCCCAACCCAAACAAAACAAGCGGCAGCACATTCGCCTTCCACACCGGATCCCCCCTATTCCCTAGGTTCCTCGCCACCATCCACACAAGCAACGCCGCACTCACTACCAAGAGCACCAACGGCAACAGAACCCACCGCCAGTCAAGACTCATACAGATGGAATTCCTCGTCACCTGCCCCTTGACCGCATAGCCAGTTCCCTGTCCCAGATCGACCCCGTGCATATCATCCGGCCCATACCCCGCGGTGCGGAACTTTGTCGTAATAGCCGACGCAAACGCGTCCATGGCATTGCTGATAGTCGCCAAACTTGCGTTGCGCGACGCGTACAAGGGCGAAAGCCACCACGTCGGGGAGCACCACAGTTCCTCGCCCTGGCGGCGGTCGTAGATGCATTGTCCGTTGTCGAATAGTGAGGACATGTGCAAGCTCATGGCCCGGGAGTAGATCCAGGTGAGCTTGTAGAGGCATGCGTTGGGGACTGTGGTGTTGACGCCGGCTAGGTTGGCCGTGGAAAAGGTTCGGCCTGGGACGGCGGGGGCTGAGGAGAAGTTGGTTTCTGTGTACGATGTCCCGGAGGAGTCTAGCACGCAGGGTGACCGGACGGCGGTGTAGTTGGATTGAATGAAGGAATCTGTGTCCTCGAGGACGGCCGGTGTGGTGGATACCAGTGTCTCGCGCAGCACGCCGTCGACTACGGAGCCGGAGTAGGAGCGCAGACAGGGGTACAAGGTGCATGTGGCTGCGACGAAATCGCCTACTCCTCCGTACAGAGCCTGGGGTGAGACGGGGTCTGCGGAGCCGCGGTGCGGGCAGATTAGCTCGCCCGAGGAGGTGTTGGTGCAGGGCGAGTTGGAGGCTGTGAGAACGGTCACGCTCTTGATGGCGCTTTGAGAGCCGGTTGGGATTCCGAGGAACGCTGATTCGGCCAGGGGGTCGCGGAAGGAGGTGGTTGTGGACAGAAAGGGCATTACCCCCAGCTGCAGCCCATACAGCGCTATCCAGAGCGGGTCCTGGTTTTCTCCAAGAGAAAGGGTGACGTTGCCGCTCTCATCCGGACCTTCCACATCGGCCGTGATATCGCGGCACTTGCTGCACATACCGATAGTGGAGTGCGTCACGCCCGTGCCGTAGTCGGGAAAGGTGCAGTTGCCCGTCGGGCAGAAGGGCTTGATGGCCAGGTCCTGGCTGCTCGGATTGGTCAGGCCCTGCACCATGACGCCCTTCATGTCGACCGTCACCTCCCAGGCTCCCGCCGCGACGCGGTAATACCTGCCCTCGACGTAGTTGGCCACGGGGATGCTGGAGTTGACGTCCGGAAGCACGCGCGGGCAGATGTCGCTCCGGATGGCCTGCTGCATGAAGGGGCCGACTAGGAAGGACAAGACGCCGACTGCCGCGGCCAGTACGGCGTGGAAGGCGAGGATGCTCTTTGACCGGCTGCGGGTGAGGAGAATCCAGATCAAGCGGAGCGAGCCTATTCCACTGCGGCTGCCGGCGTCAAAGTCTTGAAGCTGGCTGAGCGGATGCGGTCGTTCGGCGAACCAGCTCCATTTCAGCTGGCTGATGACGCCCGCCACGATCATGACCATGCCCGCGCGGATAATGGTGGAGAGTAGCGCTACCAGGGTGCTGAGGTTCATGCTAAGGTGCCATTCTGATAACTCGCGGTGGTTGTAGTATGCCAGGAGGCCAATGATGGCGCTTATGAGGCCCACGGCGACGAGAAGGCTTCCGAGTTCCCACTTCCAGAGGTTCAGGACGTCCAGGGCGGACAGTCGATGTTCGGATGTCCCCCATTGTCGGCTTGATGGTTGTGTGCCCGGTAGAGGTGCCGTTTGAGAAGGCAAGTCATCCCCTGATGCCGTGCTGTGGGCAGGGGTGAGTGCATCTACTAGCTGGATGGAGGGCGTTGGGGTTGGCTTTTCAGACGGTGTCCCTGAGGTCCTTGGCGTGAACTGTGCCCACTGAGCTTGCAGGCTCTGTTGATGCTGGATATCTGATTGCGGCGTTGTCATGATGGGAGTGCCGCCAGCTGAGAGTTCATCAGTTCAGCTGAATTGACATCAATGAAAACGGCGATGAAAACAGAGCCATTTTCTGGATTCTCACACAGGCTGTTTACATGAGTTCTGATATTTCAATGCTACGCGTCAGATTGCCATTTTGTGTGGCAAATCAGCAACAGAGCTGTCGGTGAGAGACCTCGGACTCTGCAGCAGATCATCTCGGACTTGTTACCCCTGTATACCCCTGTCTGATTACTACCGTATGTTTACCTATGAGCATAAAAGCGTAAGTTCGCCTGGGTGTTGGAGACACTGAGTCAGCAGGAGATACCACCAAGACGCATGACTGAGGCAGAGAGATCCCAATCATTGGCAAAGGCAGGGACTCGGAGAAAATAAGGGGCGCTTAGTCAAGGTTGTCTTTTACCTTAGCTCTCCTTATTCTTCTTGGTGCCTAACATCATTCCCTCCATAACGCTGCAATCTCCCGCACGAAACAACCTAGGACTTAACAACATAACGCACCAGTCTTATTGGAGCCAATCAACCCCATCCGCCATAGAAAGAGAACCTAACGTTATGTATAGGTGTAACCAAATATGCAGTCAGGCCACAAGATCTACCTGCACGCCAGCCTCGGCGCCCCACGCGCGCACCACTCCCTCTTCGTCGAGACCAATGCTCAAACCGGCACCGGACACTTATACCACGTAACCGGCAACATCCAGTCCGGGATGGTGTACGCTCCACGCCCGGAGCTGCATCCCTTGGCATCCCCCGAGTTCCAGAGACGCAAACTCCTCGGCTATGTACCGGAGAGCGAGTACCACCGGGTCGACGAGATATGCCGCTCCGTTGAGCCGCCTGCGAAGCAGTTCGATGGCGCGAGGCCGTTGGTGCCAAGGGATAGGCTGAGGGCGCTGTCAGGAGTGGACTGCTGAGGTTGTGGAGTTGTTGAGGAAGGAGAAGGTGTTGATTGGGGAGGAAGGGGAGTGGGTTGGCAGGGAGGAGATGGAGGAGGCGCTTGTAGACAGTGATAATACAGGGGATCCTCCGCCGAGGAAGAGTACAAACTGGCCTCCTATGAGTCCAACGCATATAGTCTAACGACCTGTGCGATATACTTTACCGATGGCCCTGATGGAGAAGGGGACGAGGAGTAAACTCTTGGTAAAACCTTCTGCAGTGGTATGCTGGGGTTGCCCAAGCTCGTAAGCAGGGTCGCTTTGACTGGGCTCTGTGGGTAAGACAAAATGGGCATGAAATTGCCGCCCAAGAGGCGTGGAGGAAGGAGGAAGGTGAGCTTCGGAAGTGTAGGATGATGCAGGACAGCACCTACAACCTACTATGAAAGGCAATTTAACTTACACGTATCAAGCCCCTTCTACTTCCGTTGCCCTTGGCGGCATCAAGGCCATGAAAACGTTGTGGCAAGGTAAACCTGGTCTGTCTCGAGCAGCCAGATGATCTCTTATCGACATACTCCACGACCACTATACGATTTATATCTCCTGGTCAAGCGAGGTAGTTCTAGCAAATCACGTCGTCGGCAATAAGGAACTGGTCAGCAAACATCAACTGCTTCCGTACTCGACCGGCAAGGGCCAAAAGTGAGAGCAGCAGAGAGAGCACCGCAGGTTCGGTTAAGCAACCCAACTCAAACTCCACAATATCTCAAAAATAGCACCAAAATGAATTACATGCCTACATCGTAGTAGATACCGGCTGTACCTTGCTCCGTTGTCGAGGCTAACAGGCCCAAGTTTCCTCTACGCCGGAACCCCAGATCATCAAGCCCACTGCAGACACAGCCGGAATCCGACATGGGTTTGTAACGCACCACTCTACAAGAGGCAATCGACAAATGTAGCAATGACGGCACGGAAAGCGGGGGAAGAAGACGACATCGTCACGACAGCATACCGCAGCCAACTGCCGAGCCAGACTAGCAGAGTCTTGAGTGTATCGCAGCAAACAGCTAATATATAGATGGAGTCGATGGACGCGTCGTCTCCGAAAATCTGGTTAAAGCTGTTCATCGTTTGTGTAAAATTGTGTCATGGTCAATGTGCATGGGACACGCCGGGCATTTTAACCGCCTGGCTGTAAGCCAACCCAAATCTCGCCGGCCAACCCGATTCGCTCGTCCGAGAAGCAAGCCGAGATTAAAATCCGGGGTAAAAACCGCCTTGGCGGTTGCGTGTTGCTTGGTGGTGATGGGTCTGAATGGAGACGTCGTGTAATCCAAGGCCAATGATTGCTTGCCGGCTACAGCATCAACAGCATATAGCGTCAGGTGCTAATATCAAACTCCTATAGTCGCCCTGTTCTCGAGAGTCCTGGCGCCAAGCGGTGGCCAAGTGTGTCCATGGGTGAATTGCTGCTGATGCGACCCGGATATTGATTGTGGCATCGTCACTCGTCAGGGATGCAACCAGCGTTCCCATCCTCGGAGGACGGAGCCGAGAACTGGGCTGGGCGTGTGAGTCTGGGACTTGCCGAGTGCTAAGTAAAGCAGGAAAGCGTAAATACCCGACCGGAACCGCCATGTTCATCTTGGCCAGGCCCGTTATATCCTACTGATTCCCCATCTCCACCGTGAGACTCGACACAATCCCGGGTGGCAGCACTAAGGTGGTCGAAACACAATGGCTCTGAAAGCCTTCCTGTCAAGTCTCTTGCTGGCAGCCCCTCTGGCCCTGGCCCATCCGGGCCACAAGGAGGAGGTGTACGCGCACGCTGCCCTTCCGCTGGAACGCAAGTCCCTGGCCCACTGCGAGGCGGAGTTCAACCATCCCGAATTCATAAAGAAGACGGTCGAGATCCATGCACGAGAGCTGCAGCGGCTGCGGCGACAGCTGGGCATTGAGGTCCCTGAGAAGTAAGAGACTGATATGAAGGATGTGTTGTACCTACAGGACTGGACGTAGCAGATGCTGATCCACACTCACTCACAGGCGGGACATCAGTCCGCGGGACTACATCTCGGTGTCTCGGATCGACCACAAGAGCAACAAGACGGTCTCCAAAAACATGGATCTCAGTACCCTGTTCTCTGATGCCGGCGCCTGCATGCTGATGCCCGCCGTCGACCAGGGTCCGCTGTGTAAGTCCTCAGGGGTTATCCGACCAGAAGCAGCTGAACTGACCCCTACCGCATGCAGACGTCCAAGGAGAGGAGATTAGGAAGGACATTACCGGGGGCGAAAAAGGCATCAAGTTGACGCTGGTCATCCAAGTCGTCGACTACCGGACGTGCCAGACGGTGCCTAACGCCTACGTCGACATCTGGAGCTCCAACGCCACCGTCAGTCAACTTTCCCCCTTACCACCTGATTCCATCACTGACCTATCCAGGGCATCTACGTCGGCGTCCAAGGCTACCCCGGCATGGGCGACCCGAACGACTCCTCCATCCTGAAAGGCACCACCCTCCGCGGGGTGCAACCAACCGACAGCCACGGCATCGCCTCCTTCGACTCCCTCTTCCCCGGCCACTACCAGGGCCGAGCCACACACATCCACGCCATCGTCTACCTCGGCGCCACCAAGCAGGCGAACAACACCATCACGGGCGGGCGCGCGGCACACATCGGACAGCTCTATTTCGACCAGGGCTTGATCACAGCCGCGGATAAGATCGCACCGTACAGCTCCAACCGCATGCCCATCACGCAGAACACGGCCGATTTTCTGTTCATGCAGGGTGCTAATGGAGATGATCCTATTGTGCGGTATGCGTTGGTGGGTAAGACGCTGGATGAGGGCCTGTTTGCGTGGATTAGGTTTGGGATTAACCAGCAGGCCAACAAGCCGGTGAGTCCGGCGGCGTATTGGACTGCGAATGGGGGGGTTATGAACCCGAATGGGCCGGTTGCGAAGATGAATGGTGGTGGTGGGTTTCCTGGAGGTGGCTGGGGTGGGTTCCCGGGGTGGGGTGGTGGTAGGAAGAGGAGGGCTGCTGCTGCTGCTGAGAGGGAGGAGGAGGTGAGGGGTGAGGAGGAGGCTGAGTGATTGTGGGAGCAAGTCGTGAAGCCAGTTCGCTTGGAATGAGTGATCCAGGGATCAGATTCAGTGTCTATATTGTCAATCAGTCCGATTATCCGTTCCGAGCTCAGATTCAGGTCAACAACATACATGTAAATAAGGCATGGAACTTGAGATTGTGCATCCCTTCGAGTCCTTTCCTCGAGGCAGCCTTGCATATCACCCTTGAGGTGCTCTTGAGTACCTGTTAAGAGCATGTCACTTCAACGGTGAGTCCTTGAAAATGATGTTCTAGTATTGAAGGACTTAAATACCGCTCAATATGAAGACCCGTACCCCTGAGCCCCTGACTTTGTATCCGTCATACCACATGCATCATTCATGAATCCCCAGCTATGCCCCTTGCGTTCGTCGCAGCATTATTACATGATTATCCAAACATGCTATTAGTATGAACTCCCGCAATCCCTGCGCGTTACTTATTTGCCCGCGCGGTACGTGTTCCAGAAGCTCTGCATGCGCGCCCGCTGGCCGGGGGTGAACTCCTCATAGCAAGAGCTGCGATGAGAATGTCAGCACGGGTAAACTCTTAAATGGGGGAGACAAAATGAATAAACGTACTCATAAGAGTAGTCCATATAGTTATGAATCGGATCCAGCCCCGACTGCGACGGGCACGAGTCCCTTCCAACCGGGCATCCCGACGTGGCCGATGCCTGCGCGGGGGTATCCGAGACCGAATCCCCAGCACCGGTGCACCCGCCCTGGAAGGTATGGTACAGCCCGAACCAATGACCAACCTCATGGGTGGTGGTATGACCCAGATTAAAGTTGGTCGCGCTCCCGCCAGGAACACTAGCCGACAGCACGGTGCAGCCGTCGCGGTAGAACGCTGTCGAACCGGAGGACACAGAGTCCGGGAAGTAGCAGTAGCCCAGGTTGGAGCCCATGTCGGGCAAAAAGTAGACGTTGAGGGTGCGGTAGGTGCCCTTGCGGAGCGCCCGCTTCATCGTCATCTCGTAGCCGTTGTCGTCGGCCGCCCACTGCGCGTTGATGGTGCGTGTTACGCCCTTGAGGGAAAACTGGAAGTTGTGCGGGGCGTAGGCCGCGTTCAGGGTGTTGAGCTGCGCCGTGAGTTGGGAGTCCTGGATGTCAATCTCCAAGTTAGTACCCTCTCAACGCACATGGGAGGTTTCAGGGGCTGTCAATAGTCATACCGGAATGTAGCCGTCGGCAACCGAGTTTGACCTGGCGATAACATGGAAGTAAACATCCACGGTCGTCACCGCGCGAGCAGTGAGGTTGCCCGACTCGGCAGCCGAGGCCTCGATGGTGGCAAAGGCCTGCGAGATCTTGATGTGGCGCTCATCCGGGTCGGGCGCGCCGCAGCTGAAGCCCCGGAGCTGCTTGGGCGCGGCAAGGACCGACTGGGCTGCCGCGGCGGCAAGGACAAGTGGAATGAAACGCATGGCGGGCAGGAAGGAATAGGGACAGGCCAATGAGAGAGGGCAGGCAATATCCTCAGATTGATTAAGCGGCTGCTACCGATGGTCTGTCGAGCTGGAGGATGAGAACCTTGCGGACCATGCTGGGTTTATATCTTCATGCCATCTCCTCTCAACACTCCCGTCTCCTTCTATCTCAACTTCACACCTTCGTCTTGACAGAGTCAAAAAAGACTCGCCACAACGCACCCTCGGGCATGATGGCGAATTCCGGAAGGTCGGGGCAAACGACGGCCCCTTGCGCGGGTCATGCTTCCCCTGGTCAGACTGCAATGCGACCCCCAAATCGAAGAACTTGTGTATGTGGTTAGGCTGACCTCTGGATTAGTCCTTCCTGATCCGATCTCTGATGTCCACTGCCCATCCTCTCTAGCGCAGGTCGCGACACGTGATTCACCACCGTGATTGGCGGCTTCTTGGGCTGGGGTCCCTTTCGATCTGGCCTTGGGCCTGACTGATTTCCGGGGAACAAACGTACCTCGGTATCGGGAGAGATAACCCCTGGCCGGCTAAGTAGCCCGGTCATGAGAGGGGCGGACCCGGCCGGCCTCACAGCACACGCCCTAGGTACGGAGGACAATCCCTTTTCAACTCCTACTAGTCAATGCCGAGATCGGTGATGGTCAAACGCTTAAAAGTTAAACGTTCCTGTCTGCCATGGTTGCCGATTGCTTCCCGGTACTTGGAGCCGCCAAGTCCCGCCGCCCCACGGAGACAGATGCGGAGGCGGAAAAGGGGCTCGGCACTCGACTGCGACCTCCCCAATTGGGCAGCTGCCGAGAGAGGCATAACCCCGGGAGATAACGCGGGTTAACGCTGTTGATGCTAGCGCCTCGGGCTGCCTAGGCACTGCCAAAATGCTCATTAGGCAGGAGTTTGTCTCGGTATGCTTTTTCGCAGGTGGTAATCAGGCATCAACTCTCCCAACTACTACTCAATATTGTTAGTAGTGTTGGTAGGTAGGTGATCTTGAGGTTACATGACCCCCGGCCGCGGTTGCGACCTTCAGATACCCGCTAGATAGTGGCCTCTGAGTGGAGACGAAGCACGACTAGAGTCAGCGGGTAGCGGCGTTCAAGGAACTTCCATCTTGGCTATCGCACAGAAGGAAGCTCTAAAGTCAAGAACTTCTGTTGAATGCTATTTCCCTCATCAATGCGTCGAGTTGCCACGGTCTGCGCTGCTGCCCATTCACATGCAAAGAGAAGATTCTTACCCCTGACCGAGCTGACCTCACGTGCTGCTATGTATTCACAGCCCTTACACTCCCCCCACGACCTCAGCTGTGGTGATTTTCCACAGCCTGGCCATGAGTGAGCCAGGGGCCATTTTAGATCGTTATCTTCCCGCCAAGCTCGTTGTCGCCTCATCTGTTCGATCAGGGGCTTGATGAGCACAGGGCAACGGTTCAAGGCCGCTTTTTCAGGCCGGGCTGAGTTGCCGCCTGGCCGGCCACAGGCCCATCTTGATGATTTGTATGACCTGCACCGCATCGACGGTGGTGGCAAGATGATGAGGTGAGAAGCTCTTGAAGGGGAAAGGAAGGGAAATGCCAATGCAGCCCACGACATCAGAATCGATCTCAGGCAGCAGTAGCGCCAACACAGGAAGACAGACGCTGCTATTTCTGGGCTCATCGCTGTCATCAGTGTGGAAGCTTTCTCGTCAAGGTTGGAACCATAGGTACTGTCAGGGGCATTGTCGTATGGTCACCCAAACGCCTGTTCAAGTTGCAGGACGCGTGTTGCTGAATCTAAATGCGGATTGCCCTGAGTCGTCTCGCGAATAGACCAAGCTGGGGCGGAATGCGCCTTTTAGACGTATAACCATGGCTCTGATCGGGTAGAGGCCATGCGAATTCGAAGAGACGGATCCAGGAAACCTCTCTCTCTAGACCGGCTTGTACTCCTCATGGCTTACCTCCCCGCTTCCGCCGCCGGACTTCTCCCTCTCCCCGTTCGGCCTCACAAGGCCACTTCCCAGTTGCACATGCCTCTGATGCTCCTCCGTCTTCTCATAGTCGACCAACAGCTCCCCATTCTTGCCATACCACCTGGGCTCGACCTTGGCCTGGCGCACAACGGCAAACACACCCTTCCAGCCATCCGGCACCTTGTGAAATATGCTGTCCATCTCCTCGAGTGAGCGGTACGCCGTCTCCGGATAAAACAGGTACACACACGGCACCATAAAAGCATTGATCACCGCAAAGATGATGTATGTCTGGTACCCAATATTGGTAAACGCCACCGGGGTGATCATGACGACAAGGAAGTTAAAGATCCAATTCGCCGAGGTCGAGAGCGCGTTGGCCGGCGCCCGGATGCGCAGCGGGACAATCTCGGCCGGGTACAGCCAGGTCATGCCCAGCCAGCCGACAGCAAAAAAGGTGTTGAAGACGAAGAGGAAGACAATCCCCGCAATCTGGAAGCCGGATTCCTTGCGCGAATTGACCCCGGCGAGGATGGCCATCGTGGCGGCCTGCCCCACGGCGCCGAACAGCATCAGCTTGCGGCGTCCAACCCGTTCCACGAGGAACACCGCCGGCCATGAGGCAATGAAGTACTCGGTACCGTTCAGTGCGGCCAGGAGCCGGGACATGAAATCAGTCATGCCGAGATCCGAGTAGATGACGGCCGCGTAGTAGGTGATGAGGTTGATGCCTGAGATCTGCTGAAAGACTTGGTTCAGGTAGGCCAGCATGGTCCGGTGCAGGTTCCGGTTCTTGTCCATGGTGAACAGGTCGGCAAAGGTGCCTTTGGACATTTCCAGGACGGTCTCCTTGATGGAGAGGAACTCGTTCTCGACGACGCGGTCGGTTGTGTCTGTGTTTTCGAGCGCGGCAATGACCTCCTTCGCTTCGTCCTCGCGGCCCTTCAGGATCAGCCACCGGGGAGATTCCGGGAGGAAGGGGATGAAGATTAGGATGATGATGCAAAAGAAGATTTGGAAGGCCAGGGGAAAGCGCCAGGCCACGGAGCCCGGGGCGAAGCTGAAGCCGAGGTCGATCCAGTAGCTGATCATGATGCCGCAGGTGATGAGGGCGCCTTCGATCATGACCATTTTGCCTCGTTTGTGGGCTTTGGAGGTTTCTGATTGCCAGGTGGGTACCTGTTCCATGATTAGCCCCCTTCTCCGTTTTGTTACCCGCTATAGGGACTCACAGTCGATGTATTCCCGCCGTTGCCGAGCCCGGTTATGATTCTGCCAACAATGAACTGCTCAAGAGTCGTGGAACTGGCCTGCAAGATGGCGCCGACAACCATGACACTTGTGCCCAACATGATGACGCGCTTTCGCCCCAGCGGGTTGCCAATGAAAATGGTGATGATGGCACCGAGGAAGCACCCTAGATTGTACGAGGCAACGGCAATGCCCTGGTAGGTTGAGCGCATGCTTGCCTCGTCTGGGGGTCCAGCCTTGGGGTTGATCATAGGGAACGTATTCAAGAACTCGTTGAGTGTGAGAATGCCGCCCATGACTCCCTGATCTGTGGATGCTTTGTTAGTGGTACAGGAACATCGCAGACGCAGAGGGAAGTCATACCATAGCCGAACAAGAGAAAGTCACAGCCTGCAATGGTGCCCACGGCCAGGTTCAGGGCCTGGCCTCTGAGCCCTAGGAATGGTTTCATGGTGTTTTCCAGTCTTCACCGGCGAATCATGGATCCTCAAGTGTAGATGAAGAGGGAGGTTGCTCGACTCTGTCTTCAGGGGCGGGGTACAGCAACAAGGATGATCAGGGCACGGCAGAGGGAAATGTATTATATATGCATCGGTTCGATGCAAGGAAAAATCGGAAACCATGGTTTTATAACTTTGTTCTTCTTCCCTGGTTTAGTCGCAGCATGCCGCTATCCGCCGGGTCCAACTTGAAAGATCGTCACTGCCGTCTTACTCACCTCGGACTTGGTCCCGCTGCGGGCTCCGATGGAGATGATGGGAACTGCGGGGCTTGCTGGGGTCAGACTGGGAATCAGGGGTCCTGCAGCTGGAGAATAAAAAGCGGTATTGCCAACAGACCCGTACCTAAAGAGCCAGTGAACAGGGAGAACAATGACAGGAGGGCGGTGGTGTTGCGCGGGGCAGCAAATCAGCTCCGGCATGCGGTGCCGTAGCGTGTCTCGCCTCCAAACCAGTGGAGTTGATGACGACATTGGAGAGATCGTCGGCCTGTCGCACCATGGCGATCTTCACTCTCATACCTTACTCGGGTATCCCGAGCCGGGTACAGGAGGATTCTGACTGTGGGAAACCGAAATATGCTCGAGAGTTTTTCATGGCGGTCAGGCCGGGTCGGAGGTGTGGAGTCCGGCAGCTCGGCTACCGGCGTCGGATGTGAATGAGCAACGGGGCGGCGTTCTGCCCTGGCAGAGCACAACTTAGCAGCCACGACCAGGTAAAAAAATGCGCGCAGCGAGCATCGCTGCCTTTTAGTTTCTTACCTAGGTCATCTTCTTCCAAGATCATGGTCAAATGACCTGAACATGCACAAACAGGCGACCAAACTTGCTATTGGCTTTTGTGGATGTGGTAAGCTTACGGTTTGGCGACGGAATTCATGGACGAGGTGCTTTTGCCAACCTAGAACTCGTTCAATGGATGAATGGAAGGAACGGTGCATGCAGGTCAAAGGTATAACGTAATATGCGAGTCAATGCCTCGTTTAAGCGGTCGAAGTCGTGTCCTGCTTCTCCTTTGCAGCAAACACCAGTCGTGCCGAAAACCCAACGTTGACAACCAGAACCAAAAGACCGAAGACTATGAGTACGCAGCCAGCAATGCGAAAGAACGGCGAACTCAACGCCGTAGCCAAGAGTATGCACAGAATCGCGAGCGTTGCTATCGGGGCGACGACACCATTCCAGCTCGAATTCCACGCGAGTTCTCTTCGAGAAAGCCGGTAAAACGCCGTGACAAGTCCAAACACCAACCAGACGACATCCGCCCCTCCTATCAGCAGCGCCAGGACGACGCACATTATCTCCAGCGCCGGCATCGCCGTGAATCCCTCGAGCATCATAGTCTTGTTGTCGTTGTTGGCAACGACCTTGCGTCCAACCGAAGACGCAGCCACAACCTGACCCCCGCCGCTCCGCCCCGCCGCCTGGGCCAGGATTAGCAGCGCAGCCGCGCACTGCGCGAACGGCGCAACAAGAAAGAACATGGCGGCCGTCTGCTCGGGCGGCGGCCATCCCGTGACCAGCACCAACTCATGCAGCAGCACGGCGTAGGTGAAGCCGGCCATGAAGAGCGCCGCGCCGACGGTGCAGATCGGAACCACCACCACAGGAGCCGCCAGGCCACCCGACAGGATCCCATCATCTCCCAGCAGTCGCGCTCCATCATCGCCGTGACTTACAGTCCTCACCCTCAGCGCCGCCAGCACCCCACCAACCAGCGCCACCGTCGCAGCTCCCCACAGACACATAGCCAGCCCGACGAGCGGCGCGAACCTCCCTCCGGGCGTACGGCTCGTCCCGTGCACGCGCAGCGACAGCAGCACGGCCAGCACGTACAGCACCGTGGCGCCGCACCACGCCGCGCCCACCCACCACGCCACGTACACCGCCAGCACGAACGCTCTGTCACTACTACTACCCACCCTGCCCTCGGCGGCCGCGAACCCGCCGAACGCGACGTACAGCATGAATGTTGTCGGCCAGGAGGACAGGTAGCCTAGTTCGAGACTGCACTCGTTCCGGGGTGTTGTTGTAGTCCGCCGCCGCCGGGAAGGGAAGAATAGTGTCTGTAGGAGGAAGAGCAGGGAGCTTGGGACGAACAGGGCCAGTGACGCGAGGTAGAGCGCTGTGGAGATGGGGATTAGCGCTGGGAAGGAGATGCCTGATGGTGGGAGGAGTCGGATTGCGAGAGCGAGGGTTGCGAGGGAGGTTGAGGGTGTGAACCTTTTTGACATACACATATGTTAGTTCTATCAGAGCTGGTCTAGTCAGCGGGATGGAAGGGGTGAGGGCAGGGCGACGGACCAGATCGGGCGGAAGGACTGGATCAGAGCCGCCAGGAACTGTCCTGCGCGCAAAACTATGTCACCTGCGCCGCGGCAAAGGGCAAAGCGCTTTCTTCTCTCGAGCGGTGCGAGTGGTGGCTCTGTCTCGACCGGCTGAGAGATCACGGAGACGATCCTGCCCCGGCTGCTGGTGTCGGTTGTGGGGCTGGCCGACGGGGACAGGCCGAAGAACTCGTGTATCTTGGTGCTGTGCCTGGTAACCGTCTGGTGGAAGAGGTCATCTCGCCAGCTGTGCTCGGTCGAAGGCTGTTGCATTGCGTGTTGCTTAAGTAGGTCGGACTGGCGTTGAGAAGGGCTGGAGGCGTCGATGGGACACTTCAATAGGCGAGACGTCTGGATGTTGAGAGAGTATTATATGTAGCAGCTTGGACACCCCATGGTCTTCGTCATCATGAGACGGTGTTGTGGGAGAGTCGGTTGCCCATCGCAGCGAGTGGAGAGTGCTGTTTGCTGGTCGAGATGGCTGCATCGTTGACTCGGGCTCCTGTGATGTCACCGTCTGAACTCACAGTACCGCGCATACACGAAGGCAGATGACAACACGGGATGTTTTCGTCGTCTAGCAGTGCCATTTGTTTGCCATCGAACTCTACCTAGCTGAATCGTCCAATCCCAAAAACATAGCACAGGGGGTATAATAAGGATAACGCGTATCAACATGAACATGCAAACCAGATTCCCGGATTACCCACCGCCATAATTACCTCCAGTTCGTAATCGCTCCAGTCGGCATCACATCACAGTGCACAGGCCGCCCTTGCCCTCGTTGTTCTTCTCGTCCATGCAGATGCACATGGCGGCCAGCAGCGCCGTGTCAACGCCCGGGGCCACTGTCAAGTGGTATGTCTGGCGGCCAAACAAGATCTCGCCCCCAGTGAGCTGGCGCTGGATGCGGGCAACGGGCTGGCCCGTGGCCTCATTGACGATGTCGGCAGCCCTATTGGCTGTTAGTTCTAAACCCTCTCTAACATGCATCATTAGAGACAAATACTAACGTGTCAAACCAGTTCCCCTTCATCATCAGGGACACAGGCTGGCCCTGAACTGTGGTGAATGTGGCTGTGGCTTTGGACCCGAGGACTGCGCTTTGTCAGGACACGAGGACTACACTCGACATTTGATATGGTCGACTAGGCAAAACGTACGAGCAAAGCTGCTCTTCACCTCCATGAGCTTCCTCTGGCCGGGATCCTCGACGACAAAGGTGGCATGGATGTGCATAAGCTCCTTGGAAATGTCAAAGAGGTGTTGGTCTCGGAGGTTGTAAACCGACTTCCGGCCATGCAGCGACGCGAGATGGCCCTTGACGCGCAGGACGGGATGGCCGTTGATGTCGTTGATGTCGAAGCTGTCAAACATCTTTTCTTTGAGCACCAGCGTCACGGGCTGGCTGAAAATGAACTCATTGAAGATGCCCAGCGGTTGGGGCGGCGGTGGCAGCTGGGCTTGGTAACCGTAGCCCATCTGCTGGCCCATCTGCTGCTGGAACTGCTGGGCCATTTGCTGGGCCATCTTGGAGACCTTTGAGGGGTGTTGATCAAGGTACAGAGCCGTTACGATGCAAGAGATCTGGAAGGGCGAAACAACAGCGCTCGTGGAGTCGTTGGGGATGTCGAAGCAAAGAATCGGCCAGCACAGCAGGGGCGACCAGCCACATTTTAAAGCCCAATAAATTGCTGGTGAGTCGGTGACTGGCGGTTTTTTAGGTTCGCACTTCGCAGATGCAAGGGGCAGTGCTCTGCTTGGCTCTTGGCCTTTTCGTGTTCCATAACTGGTCCACACGGAAGGCTGCACCGCGGAAAACCGTAAGCCTGGAGTTCTCGACGTGGACGCGAACGGGCGAATGACAGAAGCTTAGCGCTGCAGCTGCCTGGGTTAAGCTCGGGGCTGGGGTTGCTAGCGCAAGAGAGCTTACGGCAGGGGCCTGAATTACCAACAGTCCAACACCAACATGTCCGTTACACAAGTATTTACAGCATACACCGTACCTACCTTACCTACGAACAGCTTACTGGTCTAGAACATATTGCATCAATACCCATAGTAAATAATCGAGCAAAACGTTTCCCTTAACGATAATATCATCGGCACATTTTCTGCATTTTCTGGTGAAAGATGGGCAGTTTCTCAAGTCTTTCAAGCCAGGTGCTGAGAGAAAAAACATACAGGCCCGGGTCCAATGTAAGCTTCCTGCAAGGCGTAAGATCATCAATCTCTCCAGGAAATGATTTTCGGGCCGGGTCAGGCTAGCGTGAACATGGGATTCCCCGTCTCTTCCTCTTCAGCCTCAGGAGGCGGAGACCCTGGCGCTTGCACTAGTACCTGAAGGCTGAGGCACAGCCTCTCCTCTGATATCACCTTCCGGCGTCCAACGCTATTTGATGATCAACAATACCTACCCTTTCTTCAACTCTGAAATAGTAATACAATGCGAAAGGCTGCACACCAACATAATTCAAGCTGAGTTCAATCCTCGAGTCCAGTCCTCATGGCCGACTCGGCATCCCTCTCCTCCACCGCCCCAACACCCTCCTCATCTCTCTACACAGCTCCTCCTTCCTCACCCCCTCCAACGCCCGCACACCATCACCACCACCATTATCAATCTTATCCACTACCTCCAACATCTCCAACAACAACCCCTCCCAGCACATCAAACTCCCCTCCAAACCCTTAAGCGTCTTGAGCCTCCTCAGCGTGGCATCAAACTTCTTCTTAGGCCCGAACCAGTGCTCCTGGGGCATGCCGACGAGCACCTCATGCAGGAACCTAGCTGCCGCGTAGCGCGCGACAATGGCGTCGCCAAATTCCTGCATCGACGATGAGATGCCTTGATCGTAATCCGGTATCACCCCCGCATAGCAGAGCGCCCGCGCCGCCACGAGCCAGCCCTCGTGCGCTTGTGCCAGCCGCTGTCGCGCGGCTACTGTGCGCTTGATGGCTATTGAGCGGGGGGTGATTGCCTGGTCGGGAGTATCAGGTGGGGTGAGGTCGGTTGTGGTGGTGGTGGTGGTGGTGGTGGTGGTGGTAGATGAAGGCGGGCGTTCGGAGTACTCGGTGGAAGGGTATAAGCTGGCAGTGACGTCGGCTGAAGAACGGGAAGTGAGAGAACTACTGCGTCGGGGCAGATCGAGAGTCAGGCTGGAGAGGTTGACCAGCAGTGAATCGTGGCGTTGCGGCATGCGGCGAGAGCTGTCAGCAGACTGACTGCCATGTGTCGAGGTTCTGCTTCTGTGATCCATGTTATGTGCAAGTTGAGTTACGAGCGGTAAGATACCTATCGTCGTTGACGTACAAAGGATATCAAGACAGCAAATCAACAGGAGCGTTTGTGCATCTTAATATATTAGTATGGTGGGAGCATCAACTGCATTGCCAACTAAACAATGACCTTGTAAGGTATGCAGCACTAAGGGTTGCAAACCGCTACAGTACAATAGAGCATGTTGACAAAGAACTGTCGCTTTCCAGAGACTAGAAGTTTCGTTGTTATGCACTAGGCTGGTGTCCCAGATGCAATACAAGGCATTAGTGACGTAGAGTTAGTACCATTTGTTGTTATGTTTTCTATTGAGGTCAAGGCGGCATCTTTGCGACATCCAAGCTCAGGGGAAGGGCATAAATCCATACATTCGATACGGGAACACATAAGGAGCAGCATTTACAGATGCCTGTAATGCATGTATGCACAGGGGGTCAATGCTGCATCTTGGATTACATGTTCGACTCCTAGACGATTGTAAACCAGGGAACTGTCGAGCAACTGTCTGAAGTCCTAATGACTCTACGGCCCTCAGTTCTGAGTTTCCGTCTCCTACAGCATCATCCGCAGCTCATTTCGCCCCCTTCCTAAACAGCGCCTCCTCAGTATCATACGTATACGCAAGCTCCTTATGCCAGTACGGCGCCGTATCAGCCTTGCTAATAGCCCACGCCTCGTCCAGGGCCTTGACAAGCTCCTCAGGCAGCGGACCCTTCTCGAGAAGGGTCAAGTTCTGATCGAGCTGCTCCAGGCTCGAAACCCCAATAATCACGCCGTCATTCCCGTCCTTGATCTTCAGCGCCGAGTGATGCATCACCCAGCGCAGCGCCGTTTCAATCATGGTCAAGCCGGCCTTCTGCACCGCCTGCTCAATCACCTGCAGCGCCCGGAAAGTGGATTCGCGGAAGTACCGGTCCCGGTACAGCCGGCCCGACGCCGCCACGTCGCTGAACCTTCCTGACGCGGGGACCATGTCGGTTGATTTGATCTTGCCTGAGAAGAGCCCGCCTGCGATCGGGTCTGTTGTAGAGAGTTAGACGGAGGTGTGCCGAGGAGAGAGAGTGCGGAATGGAAAATGACGGAGCCAACTTACTGTACACGACGATGTCGAGGCCATATCGCCGACACGCCGGAATCAGCTCAGGCTCGATGCTGCGCGTGATGGCGTTATACATGCCCTGGTAGACAGTCCTGTGCCGGAGTTGGCATATCAGCAGTCTTCAGCTAACGGACGGAAGAGGGGTTCCGACTTACGGGTGCACCCAACCGTTGTACTTGCACGTCATGACGATCTCGGCCACCTCAAACGCTGTAAAGTTGCTGAGCCCAAACCGTACAAATTTGCCGGCCTTGTGCAGTTCGTCAATAGCCGCAAGTGTCTCGGCAAAGGGCACGGCGCGGTCCTAGATCCTCTATGTTAGTCCCAAAGCTCCTTTCAAACCCCCAAGGGAAACTAAAATGGTGAGTGAGGCTTACCGGCGCGTGAAGATAAACAATATCCACTCTCTCGGCGCCCAACTCCTTCAAACTAGTCTCCATCGACTCAATCACCTTCTCACGTGTATTCGCCCCGGGCTGATTGGGATACACAATCTTAGTAGCCAAAGTCAAGCCGCGCTCCTTCCACCGCGCATCGCGGGTGAACGCCTCCTGCTTGCCTCCGACATAGACCCGGGCCGTGTCCACCTCATTGTAGCCACGCGATTGCAACAGGTCGAGCACCTTGTTGTACTCGCCCAGGTCGGTGATACGCTAAAAACCAGACAGTAAGTGTCAGATCTCGTCGGCAGACGGAGAGTCTACATGTAGCTCAGCTGGGAGGGGAGAGGAGGAGAAACCTACTGCTCCAGCAGACTCATCAGGTCCAAAGGTCATCAACCCCAGAATGACCCTGGGTTTGGCTGAGGGAGACGACATCTTTACAGACAGACTGCTTATTGGGATATTAGTCTGAGCTCTAGCAGTAATTAGCATCAAGGAACTTGGGAACTTAGTTCATGCAGCGTCAACTCACGTTACGTACAATCTTGAGCAGTTCTTCTCAAGCTGGAGCCTCGACTCAGACGAGGAGATGGACCTGGGCAAGGGATGGCGTTCAGCTACTTATAAGGCAAGATATGAGGGGACGGAAGATTGCCTGCCCGAGTCATCGAATGCTCGAAAATGCCGTTGCAAGTTGCAAGCAAGAGACTTCGTTGCTACACTAGTGCAGAGAACCAATGACGCCACATGACATGCTGTTCTTTGCCGGGCTGGCGGGGACTTTGAGACCCACCACCCGTCCGGAAGTTCGGACAAGAACGAGTGATGGCAACTGTGATCGGCGATAAGCTCAATTGCCGCGGGAAAAGGCACCGTCAACCGCGGAGGGAAAGGACCAAACTACGTTGGAGAACCAAGCAAATAATGCACATAGAATGGTAAGCTAAGGAGAGTAGCTAGCTATCTAAGCCGTCTTTCGACACCTCGATCACGCACCTCTCCAAGTCCCCAGTCTCGCGAATCAAGGCAGGTGTCTTGGCCTAAGAGCCGCGAGCACCAAGAAGCCACGTCCCGCGAGAACGCGAACGTTTCTCGCAGGGCTCAAAAATATCCCATATCTCATGATGGCGTGGGGATTCAGCCAGAACGCCTGATTTCATTCCCAGGCACTTGCGTGATGAAGACCAGTCCATACGGTGCGTCTGCATGATTACTCCCCTGAACCCCATTTTATCCACCCTATCCGCCCTCCATGAATGTGTCTTCCCCACCTCAGACAGCGGTCGGGAACTCCAAACCTTGGCTCTGCCTGTTTCCGCGCGAACAAGCAGCGCCAAACTCGATGGCGAGCCTGGCTGTCGTGAGCATTGTAAAGGACTGTAAGAATCGAAGGATCTGGCCGTGCTCCGGCATGGTCAATGTCTCTCGACTACCCCTCTGGTAAAGTTGCCCAGAGAAGGCCATCGAGAACAATCGGTGCCGCTTCGAGACCAAGGTCGAATCGCAAAGGCATTGTTCCCAAGGATGCAGCCAAACGCAAACCAGCCATAGTGCGCGTCTAAGAAACAGCGCTCCCTCGAGACACCAATTTCCAGATGTCATAAGAAGGATAAGAAAGAATAGCTTCATAAAACCGTTCTAGGGGGTCATCTCGGTGGAGGGGAAGCGCTGCGACCCAACTAACGGATACACCCCCCTAGACAAGGAAGAAAACGAAAAAAACAACATGAACATGATCGTTATTAGCGTGTGAATTCCGTCCCTAAACTCCCTGTTGTCCAGCTACCCTGAACTCCCAAGATTTAGGCAGCCAGCTTGCGTTTCTCAGCGCTGGTAAGAACGAGTCTAGGAGCCTTGCGCTGTCCCTGAACAGCCTCGCCGTTGATATTGCGGTTGCTGGTCTTGAGGAGGCTGGCAAAGCTTCCAGGCTCGCGAGCACCCTCGCCCTCCAGGGAAACGCCGTCAACGCTGTCTGCTTCGAGCTTCTGGCGCGAATTGGGGCGGTCAGAGCCTATCGCACCCCAGCTGCCGGTGCTAGTCCTCGAGCTAGGCAGGCTGCACTCAGCATCGTCGCGGTCGATCAAGACACCAGAGCCACTACGGCCGGAATCACTGTCGTTATCGGTCATGGGCGTCTCAACCAGCTCCTCAGTGCTCTCAGAAATAGGGCTAACGCTTCCAGAGCTACGAGCCTCCTTGCGCCGCTCCAAGCCAGCGCGGACAAGGTTGTTAACGGCAGAACGGCGGGTGCGAGCGACAAAGTTCTTGCTACCCTCGTGCTTAGAAGTGGGCTTGGACTTGAGTTCATCCAGCGAGGGAGGGTTGCGCGGTTGACGGATAGGATGCTCGCCAGCGCGTCCTTGACCAGGTCCATAGCCAGCGGTCACTGGTGTCGGCGGGACGGAGACGGCCTTTGCGCCCGCGGACTGGAGGGGTTCGTCAATCGCGATGGACAAATGCTCCTTGTTATTGGCAATAGACCCGGACTTCTTATGCCCCCGTCGGAAGGCATTGGCGCTCGGCGGTGGCAGCGGGCTCACCATGCTCTCGCTCGGAGAATCGTACCGACGGGGAGGGCTAGGGATCCGGACGCCTGATCTATTGATGTCGGTAGGCGGCGGAGAAACTTGGACTCGAGGGGTACCGATGTTAGCCTGCTGCGCAGTCGCGTACGCGTTGGCCAGCTGGGCCTGGCTGAGAAGGTGAGCATTCAGCTGGGCCTGGGCCTGGTTCTGGTCCATGTACAAGGTTTGCTGGCCGGTAACGGGATCGTACACAGAATAGACGTTCGGCTGGGGTGTCATCGGGGCCATCATGCCTTGGACATTTTGAACCTGCTGATGATACATGCTAGGATAGGTCTGCTGCATCACCTGGGCCTGCCCATTGAGGCTCAGTCCCTGGAACTGCTGAGCAGCGGCCTGCAAGGCTCGAAGCTGCTGCTGCAGGCGCTGTTGCTGTTCCGACAAGTAGGCATTGGTGTACATGATCTGGGCGTGCAGGTTGGGGTCAATCGTATCCTTGATTGCCTCGTCCAGATGGAGTTGAGGTGCCAGAACTTGCTCAGCCGTGTACTGCTGACCATAGCTCGCCATCGAGTTGTATCCCTGGTGCGACTGCTGCTGCTGGTTGGGGAGCCTGGGCATCGACGTCCTGGGTCCGTTATACAGGCTGGCGCTGTCGTACATGCCGGGAGCCATTGAGTTCCTGTTTCTGGCCTGGGGCGCGGCGACTGTTGGGGACGCAGGAAGATTCGGGAAGCTTGTGGCCGTCGCCGACTTTGGGGCCGTGCGGAGCCCAGCGAGCAAGTGAGACCGGCTGGTTCGGGGTGTGGGCAGGCCATTGTCCCGGTCGGTGGACGACTTGATGGCGTCAAACGAAAGCGGCTTGATATTTTGACCACCCCTCCGGGATGCCAAACCAGAGGGCATGGCCATGCCGTGGGCGGGGTTAAACGCGGCGTGCGCCATCTGAGTGAGGCCACCGGCGTCCATGGCGTTAGAATTAGTGATCCGGTTGGATGGATCGATGTCGGTTACCAGCTTGATGGAAAGTGCAGATACTTCTCGGAGGAAGGCCGGCGGTCGACGTGTGAATATTAGGTATCAAGTACTGATGCAAATTGCCGCGGCCAAGAAGACGTGCTCGAACGTTCAACTATGGCGACGGACTCTATGTTTCTCCCTGGGAGGATTCCAAACGATGATGCGAAATGCGTGTCCGGAAAACCGAAGCCGACTAACGGTTGGTGCAAAAATAAAAACAATCAATGTTGATGGGTGCGCCCGAGTCGAGTATGCACAATGTTGGGACTGATGATGAAAAGAATGTGGTGCTGAATGAGCTGTTGTAACGATAAAAGTCGGCGAAACAACGATGTCGAGGGAGAGAACGAGTCGGACTTGTCAAAACCGTGGCCGTGTGACGAAGGAAGGAGATCACCTTGGGCCGCAGTGGAGTGAAAGACGCAACCTTCTTCAGGACTTTGTTTCGGTGGCGAGACCAGAACTAAGAAGTCGCTACCTTCCAGGTTATTATCAGCCGATGCGAGGAGCGGCGGTGCTGAGAAGGACAGGCGCACTTGAAACTGGTTCCCTCGAGTCCCAAATTTCCGGAAAGGGTTGGCTCACTTTTGTGCTGCCTGCGGGTCAAAGCAGACGAACGCGACAAGCAGAGAGACCGCTTTCACTCGCGATCCTGCTATCACACAAAGGCGGTTTTGTCGACGGCACAGCTGACCGTTCCACCAATCCAGAATTGAAGATTGCTTTGGCAATACTTCCTTGCGTCCGCCGAGAGATGTTTGTTGGCAATGTCCTTTTACAGACCCGTCGGGCTGGGAATTAACGTTGAGTGCGTCGAATCGAAAGCGAAGAACGATCAGAGTCGAGGCTCGTAGATCACGGCGTCGAAAGCGAAAAGGCGCAATAAAATACAAGGATTAAAAATGCTTTTTGCTGAGAGCTTTCCAGATTCCTCCTTCCTTTAATAACCCTTTTTTTGATCGCGATTGAGTGCAACGGGTTCGAGAGAACGCGGGCGATGGTGAATTCTGATCCTCAGCCAAAAAAATTATGACGAGCAACGACAGCACCGGTACGGAGACGGCACCACGAAGGGGGAAGAGGGAAAGGGCGAAAAGGAAGGGTGGCTTGCTGGTGATGCAAAAGGAGAAAGGAGGAGAGAAAAGGAAGAGCGGAACGCGACCCTTGGATAGAATTGCAAGTGGCAGAGAGCGGGCGGGGCGGGTGAGAAGAAACAATGGGCCAGGGAGCTACACGAGTGGTGGATGCGCAGGGGACCACAGCAGGGGAGACTGTCGCAAGCAAGGGCCGAGCGGATAGCGGGCCACCGTGATTGATTGGAAATGCACAGCAACGCCTGCAGAAGGGCGGATGGTGTGTGAACCTGGGCTGCCACGATGGAGCATCGGAGGAATGCCTGCCTGTCGTGTTTAGCCAATCAGACGACCCAAAAGTTGGCCTATTGGAAGATGACATAAGCGATGGCGCTCAGTGAACACAAAGCACAATCAGAAATCTAACAGAGCGCCACCTTATTCTGCACTGTATTTGTTAGTATTCATCATGCTGTCTGATATCAGACTGCGTACCTGAGCCCCAGAAGGATGAGGCCAACACAGCACCAGCTAACCGTATTAGGCTAAGAGCCAGTGCTCGCGTTGAAGCAGGCCAGCCAATCGATGCAGACGACCCAAAAAGTGTGGGATGCACGGTGACTCGAAGGCGAACCCTCCTGCAGCTTGGGAGCTGCAGCCACTTGCCCCTCGGTTGAAATCGAATGGAAACCAGTCTGTCATCTTCCAATTCAATGCAAATGAAGTGATTGAATGTAGGTGTGTATCGATAGTTACAGGCTAACCTGCGCATAACGATTGGGTCGGTTACAGAAATTTGACCGTTGATTCCAGGTTATCGTTATCCAGATTTAACCCACTTCTTGCCCAAGATAGCAATTTGTGGGGCAAAATCTCAACTCGACCACTAAAATCGCAGGTTCAGTGCTGCCTCAAGGCTGCGTAGCTAACCATTTTGGGGAGGCCAAAGCTCCGGAGAACCCCCTACTATAGCGATTTGTATGTATTAATCAGCAGAAATCTTAACGATTATCGTAGTAGGCAGGATTCTGCAATCTCCTATACAAATGACGATGGGCTCAGGATATTGACCGCCAAAGGCAGGTAATCGTTATGCCTCTAATCGTTATCTGTAGGTCTGACTGTATCTCCATGGCCGGAACTGTGGTCGATGTTGTGCGTACGAGGGCTTCATCTGTAGTATCAAAATCGGCCGCAGTCGTGCAACGTTGTCCTGTCGAAACGTGGCTAACATTCTTCATTAGCGTAATCTGTATCCGTCCCAGCCTCCTCATTAGTGCTTGGTTACCGGCCAGCCGGTCATCGGCCAAGGACCACCCAAGTTCACAGGCACTGTTTACCAGCAACTGCATGAAAGTTATAATCATTATCTTTGCCGATCATCTATTTCTCTGCCGTTCTGACTCTCTTGGGACCCTCCGACTGCGTATCCGTAATTCTTTGCGACTTCCTGGGCATTGATGCTGATTGGAAGTGAAGATTCATGCATTTCACAGGTTTCATGCGCCCTGAAAGGCGTCCCGAAATCGATCGCCGACCCACAACAAGATTTGCGCTCAACCGAGGAAGCCGCCTCGTGGCGCGTGCCGTGTCAGAATCCAGATTGGGCATCGGCGTTTCGGATTCCCGGTGCTGTAACCCTTCCCAACCTCACACGACCTGTTCGTCCAACTTTGCGGTGTATCATGATGAATGGAAAGATCTCGATCAACTCTCATTCATCATGGTACGGTAACTATAGGCTCCCAGCGCCAGAAAAGCTCAGATGTAGCATCGAAATGGAGCGGTCCCTTGGGCACCAATGCCGCTGCCAAAGTTACCGTACCGTTTGGAATTTAGCCGTCATATTTCGTAGGCACTCCCAATGAACCCCGCAATCCGATGACAGAGTGTGAAACAGCAGGTGCCCCTTTGCATGATACCATATTTGCAAACTCAGCCCCTTGAATCTCGATGCAACCTGACTATCCGCCTTCTTCCCCACGATCAATAAGTGCAGATCTGAGCAGGTCTCTCTAACTGCGTTCCTGGTCCAGATTCTCTGCAATTGTCCGTAGTCCGATGGGCTGGTTCCGACTTCCCGGTGTGCTTTACAGCCAACATCACTCTCATTGCACGGTACGCTTCGACAACGGGTTCACTCAATCTCCATCAGTGCAAATGTGAGGAAAACGTCCTCTGCAGGAGATTCGCATCACCTGCGATTATCCTGTTTCCAGGTTCTCATGTCTACGTACGTTCGCTGCGCCACGCCACGCCGTCAACAATTGGGTCCCAATCCACTGGAACTCGAGAACTCACGCAAGGCGAAACAAGCCTGACCATGTACTACATCCTTTCTGTAAGTACAGCATTGTGCCTTATCGAGGTTGGTTAGAGGTGAACTGGGCCCAATTCACCGACCCATACTCATCAATGCAACCATCTTTATTTAGACACGGCGGATCCCGTCTGGTCTCTTGAATCCATCTTCCCGGGCCATTAACGGCTCATACACGTACGAAGTATGTACGGATCACGGTATACTATATGCGGATCACGGTATAATATACATCCAACCACAATTTGACCTAGCAAAAAGCACTGCCGGGGTCCATTCGAAGATCCTTATTCGGCGAACTCCCGGGTCAATCCCGGCTGTCGAGACTGGACGAACGGCCAGCAAAGTGTTTACGGTTCACAGTACTCATGTAGCTGGCTCCTTATATGTTACCACCTACCGTCCCGTCTACATGCCATATGCAAAATCGTCTGATCATACAGCTCGGCCTTCAACTGCAAGGCACCCCAGGCTACAGTCCTTCTCGTGAGCCTTTCTTCGGACGACCACCGTGACCGGCAGCAACCATCACATAGCCATGAGAAGCTCCACCCCCTATTCGGACCATGACTCAGTGTTTCCTATGCGGCGGGACATGAAGAAAAGGGGGGTTCCACCATCATCACCGTATCCAGTCAGCCTGGCTTGTATCGTACTCGAGGTTTTGGTCTTCAAGCAGCTCAGGGTCGTTTGGCAGGCAGCCCATGAAGCGCGGAATGTCACGCACCACAACTTGAACCGGTCCAGGTGCGTTATTGCGCTTCCGACCATCGAGGAAAGCATTCATGCTGTCGACACGCTCGTCACCGTGACCCCCAAACTATCCGAAGACTGACTTTGCCATTCCTGTAACCTCTTTCCTCTAGCCTCCGTAGAGCAAAAGGAGAGAGCAGCCCATTGGGGCATACCACTCAACTAACTCACTCTGCCCGTGGGTTGTGAAAGTAGGAAGGGGGACTTGACTTAAGTACCCAATGCGAACTTGGAACCCTGCTTTAAGGAGCTAAGAGCCGTTATCGAAGGGAGAGTTCAGGTACCTCACATGGGTATGGGTAAGGTAGGGGGATCTCGGGATCTCATTTCTTCTACTTACAAAATTAGTAGGCACGTTGAATTTGCCGCTTGTCCACGACTCCAGAGTCACGCAATGACTAGGTCGGCTCTGACGCCGGGCTACCTTTTGAAATTACCCGACCGGCCATCTAAACACTTTCCCAACGTTCCATGAGAACTAAACGCATCAAAAGCGCACGCCGAACCTGCTTCCGACATGAACCCTTGCAAGCCCCTTGGCAACCACAACATCCACCGCATTCGTAGTCCCTTCCGGCATGAGGATACTGGCATTCGCAAGCAGGACGGCCTCGCTATACTGCTGCCCAACCTGGACATCGGCCTGTTCTCCGGCCGTGACCTCCTTGACATAGTTCCTGTTTCCGCGTCCCGCCGCCGCCGTCATCTCCAACCTTTGCACGACAGCCTCAACCAGCACCTCATCCGTATTGCTCGCGGCCTCTTTCAAGACCTCCAAACACTCCTGCTCATCATCATCACCATCACCGCCACCTCCCAACTCAACGACATCAATCTCAGCCAGCTTCCGACACTCCCCCCCCGCAACGGGGAACGTCTTCTCCAGCTCGTCCACCAGACCCAGCACCTGCTCGACCAGCTTCTCGAACTGCTTACCGTCATATAGCGCCCACGCCGCCTTCCTGGCCAATCCCACACCGCTGCCTCTGCCATCAACACGGCCGCGGTTCTGCCGTTTGCGAGTCAGCGCGCGCAGCCTGTCATGCAGGCGGCGGTGCGCCCCATGCAGATCCTGTTTCTCGTCAAACCTCACGAGATCCTTCTTGTCGGCGCGCAGCTCATACCGCCGGGACGTCTTGGCGGCCGATTCGAGGAGGAGCACAATTTCCTCGAGGATCGACCGCGCGAGCTGCACCTGCCTGTCGTCGTCGTCGTCGCCGCCGCCGCTGGTGCCGGAAAACCTCACGTCCTCATTGACGCGCACGGCCTGGCCCCATCGTGCGAGGCGGGTCTTCGCAATGTCGAGCCGCAGCTGGCACACTTGGTAATCGCGGCCGAAGTGGCGACCGAGCTGGATGTACTCGAAGCAGTCGACGCAGTTGTTGAAGAAGGCTGCGATGCTTAGCACGCTGGCGGCCGTGCCTAGGATCTCGGCCATAGTTCTTGAGTTCCCTTCTGTTGCTGTTGAAATTGTGTTGTCCTGGGGTAAGAGAAGGGTAATAGAAAAGTTGCCCAACATGAAGCCACATTGGCAGGCCCTCATGCAGAAGCGGACCGGGTCAGGCAGGCCACAGGTGAGTGGCGTTGGCAAGGTTGCCCAACTTCATGGCGCCCGTCAGGCAGCATCTCATTTTTTTGGCCCTTAAATTCCCACCATTCGTGGGCAGCGTAGAGAGGGAGCCAGCTTCAATCACAACCGGGTGAGCAGCGGGCGAACCACGTGCGTTCTTGCAACTGGCTACAAGTCATCAAAAGGTCCGGGCACTGTACGACGACGTCCCAATGGATAACAGTCTAGACGTGCACGCCCATACCAGGTCCCTCACAGGCAGATGCTGAAGCGGCGGCAAGCCTCAGCTGCCAACCTCGGGTTCACCTCTCCCACGTTATAAAGGACAATGAATGCAGACTCGGAGTTTGCAATCGACGCGAAAGATGAATCCGCCATTGGAGTTGGGCGTACGTCTCTGACCGTCTAACCCGCCAGGCGTGCACCGTCGTACCAGCGATTCGAGCTTTATCTCCCCATTCCAGCCATGGCCAGCCAACCTTCATCGCAAGACAAGCAAGCTGAGCACGGTACGGCACTAGCAGCGCGTTTATCCGCCTCCGCTGGGACCGTATTGGCGCACGATACATCATTGGTCAACATCATCGGCAGCCAGGTTAATGAAAACAGATGTAAGCAGACAACTGCCTGATCATCCATATGATCTCCCAACTTGGGCTGCTCATGAACCCTTCAGCTGATCAATGATAATCTGGATAAAGATGATATCAGTGAGTCCATGATTTCCTTCTCTTATGCTGCACGAGGAGAATTATCGATCAGAAACTAACCAAGTTAAGGCTGGCAAGGACGCTATACCAAGGAGGATGTCTATCCCGTGAGAGAACTCCCACCGGCAAATCCCTCCTTTACTGGCAGGCAGCAGGAGCTCGACAAGATTCGCTCGGTTTTCTGGGCCTTGACCCCCGACGGCATGCAAGCAGGTTCCTCCGGTTCAATCAAGACCATCACTCTCTTCGGACTTGCTGGCGCGGGCAAGTCTGAAGTTGCCCTACGATATGCTCACGATCACGACGACAAGTACGATGTCATCATTTGGATCAAAGCAAAAAGCGAAGCCGACTTAGAGACGGGCGCCAGCCGTGCCTGGGACCGCATCATCTCGCGCTACACCGCCACGTGGAGTGGTGGTCCTCTTCCCGAGCTCTATCAGCGCATCGCCTTGTCAGTGCACTTGTTTGACGCCCAGGTCTCGGATTTTAATGACCTCAAGCGGGAAGCGACCTCTGGGCAGCATAGCATCGAGCGTCTCAAAGCCTGGTTGCCCGGCAACCGTCCCTGGTTGCTAATCTTGGACGACTACAATGAGCCCGAGGCGTGCAAGATCGACAGCCTTCTGCCTAGCACCGGGATGGGTCATGTGCTGATAACAAGCCGGAACCCATCTGTCAGCACGACGGACGTGCAGATTGAGATACCGCCAAGCTTGGGAGAAAGTGAGGGTGTGGAACTACTGAAGCGAACAGCAGGACGGCTTGTGTATTGCTGCTGTGGGAAACTAGGTAGGTATTCGTTTCTCCGTGATGTTTGACTTTGGACATTGATGGACATACCACGGTAAAGCCAAGGAGATTTCCCTAGAAGCTGACTCATTTTTGGTTAACAGACTGCCAACATGCCGAAACACTTGTCTCGTCCTTTGGCTGCTTCCCCCTTGCCATCAGCCTCATCGGCTCCGAACTGAGGGAGCAAAAGGGAAGCGTTACCTTTCGTAACTACCCCAATCTGCCCAGTAGCACTGCCGAGCCCCTCAGCAGCAAGCTAGGGACCATTTTTCAGCGACTGTTCAAGAGACTCAGCCGAAGGGCAAGGGAATTGATCCAGCTCTGTTCGTTGATCGACAACACCAACATTCCGACCAAGGTTGCTCGAGGGCGGCAAGGGAGTGATTAACTGGATGCAAGGTAGATATAACCCTTCCACTGTCTTCAACAGCCATACCAAGACCAAGTCGTCCTTGTTCCCGTCGAATCCTGGGTTGTGGTGTTAATAATGGAATGACGCTGCTAGATACCACGGCGGTTCATGGTGCTGTGGCAGAGCTTCACTCTCTGTCCCTTGTCTCCCAAGACCCCAATAGTGGCAGCCTGTCGATACACTCGCTCGTCCACAAGTACGCGGGAACCACTGTTAAGCATCAGGAAAAGAAGCAGTTGTCCCAATGGGCTGTGGAGATGGTAACGGCGACGTTTGATTTTGGTCACAACAGGAGCGCCGATCAGTGGACGTATGAACGCAGTATCTTGCCGCACGTGAACCGTTGCTTCGCCATTCTGCTGTCGGATCTCACTCCCGGAGAGGGCCCGCTGGATGTACAAACCCGAAAACTCGCCTATCGCCTCGCGCAGACATACTCGCAGCTTGGTCAAATGAAGGGTGCCACAACGCTGTATGAGTTGGCGCTGAGAGATCTGGAGCTGAGATCAACCTCGGATTCTGCTGTTATCGACGTGATGAACTCGTATGGCATCTGCTTGCGCCTCGAGGCCAAGTACGAGGATGCGGCAAAGTGGCACGCCAGGGCGAAAGAGTTCATCGAGAATGCACCACCATCCTGGGAATTGTCTATTGGGGGTTCCAAAAGGCTCAAAATGCTCGAAACCGAACTGAATCTTGCTGCTATATCGTTGGACCAAGGTCGGCACGGCGATGCGAAAAAAGAACTGGAGCGCATACTTGAGCAGCAGCAGGAAGAGCTTGGCGAGAGCGACGTGGCCACTGTCAAGACGCAGTGGCAGCTGGCGCAGGTTCTGTACCTGATGGGCAACCTAGGCAACGCCCTGGAGAGATTCCGGTTTGTGTACGAATCCAGGAAGAACAGGTATGGCGATCATCATCCGACGACGCTCGAGGCAGCCCACTCGATTTCAACAGTACTCGAGGAGATGGGAGAGTACCTCAAGGCGCTGGCTCTGTTGCGGGAGGTTCTCGAGAAGCAGACAAGCTGTCTCGGGACAACACACTACTCAACGCTCAAGACCAAGAATACTATCGCTAGCCTGTATGAGTGCCAAGGCCTGTATGATGAGGCTCTTCGAATGAGCCGACAGGTGATGAAGGAGCTCGAGGACGTACTGGGGACCGCGGCCAACCACCCTTGGTTGCTGCGGGTTCGTTGCGGCGTCGCGGATGTTGAGCTGCGCCTAGGGAAATACGAAGACGCGCGAAAGAACTATACGGCTGCTTACGAGGGTTTCACAACCCGCGGCATGATGGGGGACGCCTGGCCAACGCAGATCAACATTACCAGAGTACTGCGTGACATCGGGCAATACGACGCGGCATTTATCCGTTGCGAAGAGGCGCTGGAGGAGCTGCAGAAGAATCCCGATATCGACCGCAGATTTGTGTCCGTAGCTAAGTTCTGCAAGGCGACAATACTCGAGCTGCAAGGGAGGTATGAGGAGGCTCTGCAGCTGTACGCTGAGAGATTCCGGGAAGAGGAGGAGCAGCCGAAACCGGACCTGGTCGAAATTCTCAAGATGAGGTGCTTCTTTGGCAGTACCACAACCAAGCAGAGCCGATACCAAGATGCCTTGCAGATATACAACGACATTGAAGAGGAAGTCCAAAAGCTCGATAAGTCAGGACGCTCAATCGTTGAGCTGTTGGCGATGCGAGGCAAGGCCGATGTCTACTTGCAACTGGGGCGGTACGATGACGCGTTGAAGCTTTATCAGACAGTCTGCTCGATTAAGGAGACATCGCAGCTGAAAGACCCAGAGTATTACTACACCGTATATGGCAAGGGCAGAGCATACATTGAAATGAGGAAATTCGACGAAGGGCTGGGATTTCTTCAGGACGCCATCAACGGGTGGAAACTCATCTTTGACACCGCCGATCATCCGTACATCTTCATGGCGATGGAGCACATGGGACTCGGATTGCTTCGACGAGGAGAAGCGCTCGACAACCGGAAGGCACATTCCTTATGCAAGCAGGCACTCGAGGGGTGCGAGAAAATGTTGCGAGATGGCCATCCCCAAACGTGTCAAGCGAGGGCAAGTCTGGGTGCGGTGCTTGCAGAGCAGAATCGTTTGAACGAAGCTTCAAACGTATACGCTGCCAGCCTGCGGGAACGGCGAGCCGAGTTCGGAGACTACCATCCATCGACGCTTGAGGTGAGGCGTCTCCTGGCAGACATCCTGTGGAGGCGGCACCGCTACTGGAAGGTATGGTGGATGTCTGTAACAGGGCCGGGAGGGAGGGGGAAAGCACTGGCCGCTTCGAGCATTGGACTGCTACTTGCCATCATGACAATGGTTCTTGCTTACTCCAAATTCAAGCGCTTGTCTTGGCCGCGGCACATGGCAAGCGCCATGGAGCTGCTCTCTCGTGTTTTCAGAAATTGAGTTTGACAGATTAGGTACCTTAGGTACCTTACCTCGTCATACCTTACCTAAAATACTTGCGGCAAGCGCGGTTCAATGCTGAGCACACGGAAGAGACGGAAAATACCTGCAGCACGGGCAACTACGGTCATCGCCAAACGCTGCTGCCAGGGCTGGGGACCAACAAAATTTGGTTCCTAACCTGGCAACTACGCGTCCGGGTAACTTGATGTTTCTGAATACCTAGGTAATCGTTCTAAACTTCTAATCACCTCATCAATTTGACCTCTTACTGCAGCCGGGGCTACCATCATCGGTCGCCGGAGGTCTGTTCTCTCCTATGGAGAGCTGGCTTTCAATTTGTCAAAATTATACAATGGAACAGCTCCCTTCTTTGTGTGGACTCCCTTGAACTCGGGGAAAACCAGCCGGCCTGCGCTGTTGTGGATAGTTTCAGTGTGCTTGAGGAACGGCGGCCCAATGAGTGCGTCGTATTCGTAACCCTCGACAACGACAAACTCCACGTCGACCCATTTTTTGTTCCTGCCATCAAAGCTCCAGCTGACATCGACGACAGGGCAGCTCTTGGATTCCGAGCCGTCAGCCATCAAGAGGGTTTTGGATCGGGACGCATCGGGCTTGATCCCCCGAGAACGGATCCATTCGGCCTTGACAAGGTTACAGCCGCCACCCGTGTCGATCAAAGGCTTGATCGGTATGTCGTTGAACCGGCCCGGAAATGTCAGGAAGTCGTCATTGGCGGAATCTTGAATCTTCCCTGAAACCGCCTCCACATCGTCGTCGCCGCCACACACCGAGCATTTTTGGCCGTTGCGGTGACCGCCGGATCCGTCCGAGGCGGGTTGGAAGAGATCGGGCTCGCGTCAGGTTAGCAAAACAACGCACAGTGACGCCATGGACATATGGCCATGCCGGTACTCACTCGCTTTTTCATGTTCCTCGCGCGAAGCGCCGCATCGCTTACAAGCCCCAGGTCCGCGGCAGGGCCACCCTCCAGATGGGAGACGTGCTCTAGAACATTCGGGTCATGAAAGGCGTTTGAGTCCAGCAGATGTTCTCTCAAGAGAGCCTTGACCGTCTGGTTTGTCTTGTGGAGCACTTTCATGGCCGTCTCCAGCTTAGCCTGCAGTGCCTCAGGACCGGAAGAGGGGTCCACGCTGTCCCCGGCTTGGGAGAGCGCGCCCACCAGTAAGTTCATTGAACACGCGGCGGCTAGTGTCAGGGCCTTCTGGCCGATAGGGGACAGCTGCTCGAACACTGGAGTGGACATCTGGAGCAGCTGTTTGTCCTTGAAGAGAACCTCATTGATGTTCTTGGTCTGGGTGCTCTCTTTGCGCAGATCACGAGCCAACTAATAAACCATGAGAGAATGGACTGCAAGGGTGGGAGGGAGCAGAAGTGGCAGAGCTGACCTCAGCGCGTCCCTCGGCTTTCTTAGCTGCGCGGGATATTCTGTCAACGAGTGTCGCAAGTCGGTCGAATCCATGGGCTGGGGATGCAAACGGATCAGGTGGACCGCCGCCGGTAGACGCGTCGGGGTTGGCGGGACGAAGAAGGTCATCGGCGAGCCCGGCAAGGTCGCTGCAGAGGCTCTCTGGCGGGTCGTATCTTGGGCGTGGCTCATGTTGCTCTGGCTCGAGGTCATAGCCTTCCCACTCACGCAACCACTGCCGCTCTTCATAGTAACGGCACTGCTGCTCTTGTAGCGCGAAAAAGGCTGTAAGTTCTCTCACCATGCAAAAACAGGAATATACCCGTTTCACAGTCTCCGATAGGATTCAACTGCGTTGACGGAGTGCATCAAACCAACCGCGAGACCGTTCCCGTTCATCCCACAACTCCAATAGTTGGTCTGGAGGCACAAGGACCACATTTTTTTGAAAGTCAAACTCTTCAGGGTAATGAGTTTTAATGTCCTCTATGATTGTTGCTTCTCTGTCCTCAAGGCTTTGGGTTAAGGATTCCAGCTCGGATTCGGTTTCTTGAGAGATTTGGCGCAGGGCCTCCAGGTGAACCCGAAGTTTATCGTGTATATCATGGCAGCGCTGAGTTTGTCCACGTCGTACGGGAGTCACGGCTAATTCGGCTATCTCCCAAAGGCTGAGGTGCGGGTGTGTGGCTCGGACTTCGGAATCTGTTGACTATTAGAGGAACAAATTCCCGACGGAAGTCAGGAGGTCGCAGAGTGATGAACCCACCGAGGCTTTCGACCTCACGGCACAGTTGTTCCCATTCCTCATTGCTAGTATCAGGCTCCATGTTTGACGGGGGCCTGCCTCAGGGGCTGTAGCTTCGGCGTTGCGACACGGTGTGGATATCGGACCTGAAGATGGTGATTGCAGTGTGTTGGCTTATTTAGTCCGTGGCTGAAGTAAGGTAATGGGGTGAATAGAGAAGAAATTGAGGGCCCGGGGAGCGATGCGATATGAGCACAGCTGAGCTCCGTCTGATCAAAGGCGATGCCAGGTGAGTGTCAGAGAGATGGATGGAAAATAAAGAAAGTCAAAGGGAAACAAGATAAAATATTGTAGCTGGACTGTATGTTGGCTTGTTGGGCATCTCTTTCAGCGGCAAGCGCGGTTCTACTAATCCAGTCGGGCTGCCACGGGCGGTAGTACTACTACCCGTCTCCCGAGTCGAATCGTCTGAGTCCTGGACGACACGGCAGCCGGGCTGCTTTACACGAGGTACTTCACAGGAAGATATCAGTTACCTACCTAGGTGCCTAGGTGTTGCACATCTCAATACTTAAGGTACTCACCGACTACCACAGGAAGAGTGATGAAGCTATGATCGGGACCAGAGTGCCCGCCATTCGTGGATAGTGCCCACATATACCCCTAACCCTGAATTCTGCCCAGGGCCCCTGACCCTGCCGAGCTACGGCAACGCTCAACGCCGTGGCGACCGTCGACGACGTGTGTACATACATACAGTACAACGCCTAGGTCACGCGCAGCCGCAGGATCGTCAGACCTACCTGAAGGTTAGGTAGCTAATTAAACAGGGTAAGTTTGGGTCGCACGCATGGTCTGTAATTGAATTATTGTTGATTTACTCGAATCTGAAGATTACTTTTTGGAGTAATTGGGCCACTGCAGCCAAATTCAACGTGTGAATGGCCATGTAAGGGCGTTGTTGTGCCTGAGCACGTACTGGGCGCGAGCGTAAAGTCAGGGTTAGGAGTAAGTACTGGAACACTGCCTGGATAGAAAAGTGCTAGTGCCCGTGGAGCGGAGTGGCTCCCTTCTAGAAACCTCTCAGGGCTTCAGAGGATTTCTCGATGATGAGCCGTCTTGCAACTACATATCGCTATACACGCCATAGAAGCATTGGCAGCGGGTCCACTAGCAGGGGATTTTCTTCAACTGTTGCAGCGGACAGGATTAGCGCGGCGGATGTTCCGGCACCCTATTAGTAATGGCAAGATATCGCCGAATATCCGTCACTGATTATAGGGGATAAGGTTTTTTAAGACCTATATCGTGGTGTCGGTTTTGCTTATAAATGAAAAGGTTTGCCTGAGAAGTCCATTGGGTACCTCTATTGCTAGATCATAAAGCCGCTCACCTGCACTTCCTCAAGTCAATTCACCATTGCCACCTGTCTCACCGTATTTGAAACTTCACTTCGGACATATCATCCACTTCCGGTAGAACACCAAGATGGCAACGAAAACAATGAAAGCCATCAAGATGGTCTCGCAGGGCCAGGCAGAGGTGCAGGATGCGCCCATCCCGTCCCTGCGTGACGACTATGTGCTCGTTAAGGTCAAGGCCGTTGCGTTGAATCCGACGGACTGGTAAGATTCCCCTGGAAATCGGAATGGTGAATCCCTAGGTATGTCGGTAACAGAAGCTAACACCAGCAGGAAACATGTTGACTACGCCCCGACGCCCGGCGCCACAGTGGGCTGCGATTTTGCGGGTGTTGTTGAGGAGGTCGGTGCCAAGGTCCAGAAGCCGTGGAAGAAAGGGGACCGGATTGCCGGCTTTACGCATGGCTGCAACGAGGCGCAGCTTGAGGATGGGTCTTTTGCCGAGTACTTGGTCGCAAAGGGGGATTTGTGGATGAAGGTGAGTCTGACAGTGTCCCTCTCAGGGGTAGTCAAAATACCTACTAACCCCTGACAGGTCCCCGACAACCTAACCGACGAAGAAGCCGCCACCCTCGGCGTGGGTGTCACGACAGTCGGCCAGTCGCTCTACCAATCCCTGGGCCTCCCTCTCCCGGACTCCGGTACCAAAGCCGACTGCCCGATCCTCATCTACGGCGGCAGCAGCGCAACAGGCAGCCTGGCCATCCAGTACGCGCGCCTCTCAGGCTGCACCCAGATCATCACGACCTGCTCCCCGCGCAACTATGACTTTGTCAAGTCCCTCGGCGCGCACGTGGCGCTCGACTACCGGGACCCGGACTGCGCCAAAAAGATCCGCGAGTTGACCAACGATTCCCTGGCGCACGTGCTCGACTGCATCACGAGCGACGAGTCGGTGGCCCTTTGCCAGGCCGCTGTCGGGTCAAAGGGAGGTACTATTGCCTATCTCCTGCGGGCCAACAAGCATGAGCGGACCGATGTGCAGGCCAAGTACCCGCTGGGCTACACCGTCATTGGCGAGGGCTTCAGTTCGAGTTGGATGAAGGCCGAGTTCCCGGCCTCGGCGGAGGACTTTGAGTTCGGCAAGGTGTTTTGGCAGCTTAGTGAGAAGCTGTTTGCCGAGGGAAAGCTGCGAGTGCACCCGCCCCAGGTGGAAGAGGGCGGGTTGTATGGTGTGTTTGACGGGTTCCAAAAGATGCGGGAGGGTAAGGTCAGTGGGGTCAAGTTGGTGTACAGGGTGGAGGATACCAACGGACTGGGGGAGCAGAAGTGAGAGCGTTGAGGCGGAGAGGATCATGACAGGAGCGAGGGATTTATGAAGGATAGCGTACCTAGGGGGTGTGGACAACGCTGTAAGGAGCGAATTGCTATATGGGGTTCTAATATTGAGGATGCTAAAGAGGAGAGTCCAGAGAGTACTTACTTAGGACGAAGAGAGAGCTATGCGATTCCACCAAGCACACAATGGTGTAGTGGCAGTAAGACGGCAAGTAGAGATGGACAGACACGGTTTATAAGCTAACGTTAGAGACTAAGACACTCTAAATTGAACAAGGGACCGTTTCGATTAGATACTAGTAGATATGCGCTATTTCAGGCTTAAAGTCTTCAAATGAGTCCGTCTGCCAAGTGCGGAACGATGCATGCCCCCGTGAGAGAAGATCAATCAGGGGATTATACGGGGCAATGCCATCGATAGGGGCGTATTTCTCGCACAGGTAACACATGTTGTTATACGCGCTTGTTTGGATGGCAAGAGCAGGCGTCAGGTGATTGATTCGAATCATGGGTCCAGGGAGCTTCGTTCAAAAACGGATATAAAGAGGAGCCAGAGCATGTGTGTAGGAGAGAGGGGGGTATATAAGGTCGTTTAGCACACTTACGTTTTCCTCAGGTCACTGTCCACATGACCGGCAGAATAATTGATGGCCCCTTTCAGACTATACAGCCGAATGCGATCGTCGAATTCCTCAGCCGGCTCCGCAGCTGGGTAATGCCGCAGGTACTGCCTGGTGTACACCTCGGCTCGGAACACGGAGCTGAACTCGCATCTCCTGTTTCCACATTCCAAGTCAAACAAAGGAAGCTTGGCGAGGGCGATACATACTAGTAAGAATTGGCCTCAGCTAACTCACCAATGCCCCAATTCCATCTCGTTATGAGCAAAGTAAGAGCCGGCGTCAAAGAGCAAACTGTCACCAGTTTCCATATTAATGCCCATGTTGCCCTCCCAGAGATCGCCGTGGATGATACACGGCTTGAGCTTGCGACCATTGCCTTGCAAGGGCTCAAGGAGGCGCGGAATAACCTTCCAGGCGATCTGGTTGATGGCGCGCTCGTACTCGGGCCAGGGTCCGTTCCGCTTAAGGTCCAGCTCGCAAACGCCCAGGAACAGATTCCGATAGAACTCGGCCCAACTCTCCTGCCAGTCCACGACATGGGCCCTGTCGCCATCGCAGGTCCGGACATGGAAGCCAAATTTGCCCGTGGGTGATTTGCTCAGCTTGTGCATGAGGGCAAGCCTACTCGTGAACTCGGCCGGGTCCGGCGGCGTCGTGACGTCCATGTCAACGAACTCGGAGAGGTAGAAGTATGTCTCTGGACTCTGTGCGTGATACTTATCCGTACCCGATGGGCTTGGGAATGAAGCCCGGCACGGTTTTGTAGATGATCTTGGAAGACTCATACTCGCCACCAAGCATGACCCGCCCGGTTTCTCCATAGGCAATCTTGACGAAGTAGTACTGTTCTGATTCATCATCAGCATCCCGGGCAGTTACTTTGCCAGTGATAGTCCAGGCACTGGTTCCAAAGTGTTCGACCGAAACAAAGGTACTTCCTGCTGGAAGAGCTGTAGATGCTAAGGTTAGCTACCTACTATTCCAAAGTTCGCTACTAGTTAGTTGAGTAAATATATGATGGTTTCACACACCTTCGATCAGCGCCTCGTCCATTGGAAATACGCCACCAAGCTGGGCAAGAATTCGTTGATCGTCATGGAGCTGATTTCCTTCAAATCTGATTTGACAGGCTGGTGTTCCTGGCCATCGTTGCTTTCACCGCTCGCCCTCACGGCTTCCGAATAGGCCGGGGCAGACTCCGTGTTAGGAGTGTCCGGAGTGGTTGGCGCCTTCAAAGACTGAGAGTCTTGTAGCAAAGGGTTCGAGGAGCCGTTGTCCTCATCGCCTATCTCGTGATCTCTGGTGTACACAGCAGGGAAGTCTCCGCTTGATGATCGTGGTTCCTCAGGGCGAGGATTTGCGGAACTGTTCCCGTCTTGATCAGTGGCTGATCCCCATACTACGGGTTGGGAATGGGTGGCAAGTGTGGCCATTGTCTGAGGTTTGTGTCTGGTAGCACTCCGGCTTATAAGTCGTGGGCATGAGCTTTCAAATTTGGTCAAGCCAAGTTCGAAATCGGGCAGACAGTTGAAATAAAAGAGAATGAAAGCCTTGCTCGCCTATCTTCAGACTTCGAGTCCTGCACAAGCCTGGGGCCCCATAGGTCCTTCTTATCCGAAAACCTGCAGTGGGTGTGAACAGGCAGCCCAGGGCGGCTATCTGTATTACAAGTTGCACTTGGGGCGGGGTTTGCATGTTGAGGCTTGGCTCTACACCAATCGCGGGCGATGCTTGGATGTTCTTGCAGCTGACTGCGCCTAATTCTGGAGGGTGATTCAGTTACACTACATAGGTAGGTATCCATTGGCTGCATCATTTTCCATGTCGGACGGGGGAAGGCGGCTCTGTCGACACTTCCCAAGTCCCCGTCAGAGGGGTGATCCAGACCGATTCTATAGAGCCAGCATCGCCTGGCCCACTTCAACGTGCCGATTCATTGTCGGCCAGCCTTCTCACCCGGGGTTCGCACAAATTTCTCCTCCTGAAGCTCAATGAAAGCCTGCGTGACTTAGCCATGCATACACAGTGGTAATGGTTCGTTTGTCTCACAATTACCGGCTCTCCGCGCTCTCGGGACCACACCGGGAGCAACTTGAACGCAAAGAGGATGTACTGATTGAAACTCTCGCGACGATTAGTTCAGGAGACAGTTCAATTTTCGCCGAAAGGCGGCGGATGACGACGAGGATACCCGCAGGCGGAGAACCTTATCAACGCCGTACTCTCAGGATGCTACGGCCACATCACGCGAACCATCTCCTGGTGGGAGTTCAATCAACAGCAACCCCAACTCCATCAACCGCCAGATCACAGGCTCCGCACAATCCTCAGTTGATCCACCTGCAGTTTCCCGGCATGGCAGGTGGACCTCACTCTTACAATCGGAATCGTCAACCCGCGCCTCGGAATCCTCCGGACGTGACCCCCTAGGCCTCAAGGTGGTCCACCGGCCTGAGGGCGAACGCAGGGTTGACATCGTGTTTGTGCACGGTCTAGGAGGAAGTAGTCGACTGACATGGTCACACAACCGTGATCCTGATTACTTCTGGCCATTGAAGTTCCTCCCTTCTGAACCGGATATTAACGAAGCTCGTATCCTGACGTTTGGATACAATGCCAACTTCCGGCCAGGGAGCGGGAGGAACAAGATGTCGATTCTCGATTTCGCCAAGGATCTCTTGTATGATTTGAAGTATTCTCAAGACAATTCCGGCCGAGGCCTCGAGGACTTGCACATGGGGGAGGTAAGGCGAACCTACCTTGATTCCGTGAACCGTATCCGGTGTGTGCGAGGCAGCTGTTGATCCTAGAACCCGAGACAGCGTCCCATCATATTCATCGTTCATTCTATGGGCGGGCTTATCGTGAAGGAGGTACGTGAATTGCCGGAACATGCGGAGTCCCGATACTGATCTCCGTTATTCGTGCTGTCCAAGGCCTATATGCAAGGCCAAAATGACCCGGCCTACGACTCTATCATCAGCGCCGTCTCGGCCATCATTTTCCTGTCGACGCCACATCGCGGCACCAACTTGGCTGAAACCCTAAACCGCATCCTACAAGTTTCCTTCGCCACTAGTCCAATGCAATTCATCTCGGAGCTCTCAGCCGGATCCCAAACGTTGCAGAAGCTCAACGAGCAATTCAGACACGTCGCCCCTAAGTTGGACATTTTCTCGTTCTATGAAACGCGCCCAACGCCACTAGCAGTGTTCAAAAAGTCACAGATAGTACGTGTTATCGGTTGCTAAGCCTCCCCCGACCTCTACTTAGCCTCGAGCTATGTCTCACGTGCATATCATAGATGGTCTTGGAGAAAGACTCGTCTGTTCTAGGCTATCCCGGGGAGATATCAAAGCCCCTAGATGCAGATCATCACGGTGTGTGCAAATATACCAGTTCGTCGGACCCCCGGTACGTCACCGTCAGAAATGTTTTGAAGACGCTGGTTGGGAAGGTCAAGTTACGCGGTAAGTAACCCGCTCCAGGCGTTTGACTGTCACTGCTCCCGAAGCCCACTGAGCAGGAAATTACAGTCCTACATCTAACCACTTTATAGATCTGGATAATGCCCCTAAGAAGCCTGCGGTGACCGACTTTGCGGAATACCTCTCTCTTCCCGAATCACCTGATGCAGACTACAACTTCTTTCGAGATCGCTGGACCCCTGGTACGTGCAGTTGGATTCTCAACAATGAGACGTTTACCGGGTGGGTTGGCGACACGGGACCAAAACCGCGTATCCTTTGGGTACACGGAAATGCTGCCAGTGGAAAGTCCATCCTGTCGTCGTTTCTCATTAACTACCTCGTCGAGTCGGGCGTCCCATGCCACTACTTCTTCATCAGGTTCATGTCGCAGGAGAAGCGTGGCATGAATATGATGCTGCGATCCCTGGCGTACCAACTGGCAAATACAACGCCAGCGTACGCAGAGAGGCTCCGGCAACTGGAAGCTGCCGGGACTGATCTCAAGACAACGGATTACCGGAACCTATGGCAATGGCTGTTCAAGCAGGCTCTCTTCCAACTGGATTCCCTTGACCGGCCACTGTACTTTGTCATCGATGGAATGGATGAAGCCGATCGACCAGCCTCGATCATTAGGCTGCTGGCAGACCTCCATGCCACATCGCTGCCTATCCGCCTTCTGATGGTCGGCCGGAACACGCACGAAATATCGTCGGCGTTTCAGAGAATGGCAAGGCAAGTGGACACGGAAAGCATTCGCATCGAAGCAAACCCTACCGACTTCCGAGCTTACATTGACTACGAAATGGATCTTGGTGGGGATGCCGAGTACCGCCACCAAGTCACTACGCAGCTCCTCGACCGGGCAAGGGGCAACTTCCTTTGGCTGCATTTGGCAGTCCAGAGAATCAACTCGTGTCACACAAAGCCGGATGTTGAGAAGGCACTGACAGAGCTGCCATCCGGAATGGAGGCCCTCTATGACAGAATGGCACTCTCGGTTGAGGCAGCGTCCGAAGGCGGGAATCGAAAACTCGGCCAGACGATTCTTGGTTGGGCCACCTGCGCTAGCCGGATGCTGAAGGTTGCGGAGCTCGGTGATGCGCTGGGCCACGAGTCTGGCCTGCTCGAGATTCACAGGACCATCGCTGAGCTCTGCGGCGGGTTCGTCACGGTGGACCAAGAAGGCAGGGTGGCCATGATCCATGAGACGGCGAGAGAGTACCTCACACGCGGGGCCGAAAAGGGGCGGTCCCTGACCATCGACATCCAATCCACCAACGATATGCTTCTGAAGCGCTGCATCGCGCGGTTGACGGACCCGACGTTGCGTGGCCAGATCAACCAAGGCAGGCCACCGCCCCTTCTCGGGTACGCCACAATCGCCTGGCCTCACCACTTGGCACTCTCCTCTGCCCTCACGCATGCTGACGCTCTGGAGACCGTTGCAAATTTTCTCAAGAGCCCTCATGTCCTCACCTGGATCCATGTCGCTGCAAAGTCCAAGGAGCTTAGGGCCTTGGTTGCGGCCTCCCGCCATCTGGCCGACCTTTCAGCCAAGCTGCGAAGGAAGAGGAATGACGATGACTCCGTCACAGGCCGTCAGGCAGCAGCCATTATCGAGGGCTGGGCTACGGACCTCGTCAAGATCCTTGGCAAGTTTGGAAGCACCTTGAGGTCACACCCGGACTCCATCTATAAGCTGATACCTCCTTTCTGTCCCGAGGATTCCATGATCTACCGGCAGTTTGGTCGCAAGGAGAGCAGGGTGCTCCACGTATCTGGATTCAGCAGCAGCACCTGGGACGACTGTCTCGCGCGCTTCTCGCTCACTCCGGGCGCAGTTGCCTCTTCAGTGATCAGTGCGGGTGGTCGGATTGCACTCCTAAGCGTCACCCGAAACAAGAGCCAAATCATCGTGTACAACGCTTCCACCCTTGAGGAGCAGCGACGCATCTCGCACCCCGAGCGTGTCCTGAGCATCCAGGCGAACAAGTTGGGCGACGTGCTTGTTAGCTACGGATACGCAACTACCCGAGTTTGGGATGTGTCGACGGGAGACTGTCTCAAAATCATCAAAAACCCGGCTAAGCGGCCCCGGCCTCACTCCATTATCTTTGCTGAGAAGAGAAACGCCATTGTCGTCTGCGGCGAGGACAGACGCATTAGGACCTGCTCACTCGATGACGACTCAGTTGAGTGGACTGTCCATTCACAGATCGATGAGGAAACCCTCCTGGACACAGTCGTCAACTTCCCCATGTGCTCGGCGCTCAGCCCTGATGGCAGTATGGTTGCATTTGGGTACCGTAATCACCCGCTTACCGTGTGGGAGCTGGAGCCGCCAATGCTGCTAGGGCAATGCTATATTCGCCTCGAAGAAAAGGATAGTATGACTATCGAAAAGAGGGCGTGGGGAGAGGTATTCCATGTGGCATGGCATCCCCTCAGCGGCGATGTGTTCGGCCTGACGCAAGTTGGGTTATTGTTCCGATGGGACCCGCATGAGGAGGAGACCACCGCCGCCGTCCAGTCTGTCGGAGACTGTCTTGCCGTCAACCACGACGGCTCCCTGGTCGCGACGGGTGACGGAGTAGGGACGATCAAAATATTTGCAGCGGCTGACTTGTCCAAACTCTACCAGTTGTCGTCACAGGACCCCGTGCTGTACCTCTCTTTCAGCACCGACTCCAGACGGCTGTACGACGTACGGGGTCTGTACGGCAACGTGTGGGAGCCCAACACCCTGGTGCGCCTCGCAGACTGCCCGGACTACTACAGCGATGCACACAGCGAGACGGAGAGTCTTGCAAAGGCGTCACTCCTATCCGAGCACCACTTTGCCAGGGTGGACCGCGTCATCAGCGTGGCAGGTCAGTCTTCGGGCCCCCTTTACTGTTACGGAACGGAAAATGGTGTGGCAACCCTCTGTGAAGCCGGTCGAGGCAAGGTCTGCGAGCTGGCCAGGTTGGCCAGCTACATGCCGATCGAGCATGTGGCATGGAGCGCCGACGGAAAGCTCGTGGCCCTTGCTGACCTCAGCGGAAAGCTAGCAGTTAAGACAGTTAACCGGTCTGGCGATCGGCGGGACACCTGGCGCACTTCGCATGAATTCGAGGTCCTAATCCCTCCGGAAGACGGCAACATCATCAGCCAGCTCATCTTCCACCCCACTGGGACCAAGCTCTTTGTCGCCACGCCGGTAAAAGTCTTATCCGTTAACGTCAAATCTCGAACCGTGACCGAATCTGTGCTGGAGACTGGACCAACAGGAACGCTCAAAGTGAAGTGGGCATGCCACCCGATGAACTCAGACACGCTCCTAGGTTTCGGCAATACCAAGGTGCATGTGTTCGACTGGAAGGATCTCCGGCAGACAGAAGCTCACACCTACTTCCCGCCCCGCATGGGGAGGTCTTCGACTATCGCGATATCCTCCCCCCGGGCCTACGGACGCGCTGGGAGCTTTCAGCGAGATACCGAGACGTTTGGAAGGTTGATCACCAACATCGACTCCCCGGATATCTTGCTAGAGATTTCGGCCACTACCGCGTCTGGTCAATTTGAGAGCCAATATCTGTTGTTTGACATTGCAAATCTCCGGCTCGGTGAAGCCGATCAGGAAGGGCCTCCTAGTGGTGGTAGGACCTTGCCCTACACGGTTCTGGCGGCGGATATCGCTTCACGGATCCGGGAGCCCCTCGCGATACTGTCTCGTAGAAGACTGGTCTTCCTCGACGTCGATCGTTGGGTCTCTACGTGGAGGTTGCCATCGTCAACTGAGGAGACGACCGCTGGACTCGAGGCGGCGAGGGTCTCGGATGGGAATCCGGCGGTAGAACAGTACTATTTTCTTCCGGGTGATTGGGTGACGGGCACTGACACCCGCCTATGCACTGTCACGCCCGATGGGACGTTGCTGTGTCCCCGCAATGGGGACGTGGTGACCGTCCAGGCTGCAAGGCTTCGGAAATAACGGGTGAAAAGCGGGACCTTGGATGGATAATCGCCATGGTCACCACGGAAAAGGGTCCCATTTCTGTAAATAATTCAGGATTCGTCCTGAGGTTGACGAGCCCCTTTGACGGTTAGATATATTGTGTTCCTTCGAGGTGTCTACCTTTCTCGGCCCCTTCGGTACTACTTACCCGTGCTCCAGGCGCATCTCTTGCTGCGCCAGTCCATCCCTCTCCATTGACTCACAGCAACCGAACCCACACCAGTAACGCTGACAAACAGCGAGAATATGGTGAAATACCATCCTCGACCCACGGCGTCGACGAGGGGCTGCAGGACGGCTGCTGAGGCAGCGCTGAGGCCGCACCTCATCAGCTGCCCCGAAGCGTACGCGGAACTCGATGCTGTCGGGAAGATGTCGACCAGGAGAGCACTGGCCGTGTGGCTGAGCAACGTCGACAGGGCGCAAGCGCAGAACTGGAGGAAGATGGGGACGGAGGGATGCACTCGGAACCATACCGCCCACCCATAGCCGATGACCAGAATCATTTGCAGAAAGACAAAGACAAGACAGTGTCGGTACCTTGCCGCCTCGATTGGGAACTCGGTACTGTGTTTATCCTTGCCTTTGAGCTCAAGCCCGTGCTTCCTCGCAGTGACGGCGTAGTTTCGATCGACCAATTTCCCGGCAATGATGCCCCCGATAGTCATGCCAGCCAGACCGGGAAGGAAGACAAGGCCTATTTCAAGCTCGTTGTATCCGTAGATCTCGTCAATAATGACGGGAATGGCGACTTGAAAAGTGTAGTAGACGGAGTAGGACGACGCCACCATCCAAAGCACCGCAAAGGTATCCTTGTGGAGGATGATCCGGAACGAGGCCACGGCGTCTTGCAGACTCCAGCCCTTCTTTTTTTCCATCAAATCCAAATGGGTGCAGTCAGACTTTGAGGCCAAGTTCTTGCTTCCGCCGCTGGCCGACATTAGGAGAGTCTGCTGCCGTTTCCCCAACAACACCGCAACCGTTCCCACCACGTCCTCCAGACTCCGCCGGCCACAATCCCCCATTTCCCACTATCCCGCGGTTCGTCTCAGGGAGCGTGAACCCCGCCAGCAACAACGACACCACCGCGACCATCAGCAGCGCCACCGCACCACCCACAACAGGCCCGACCGCCGAGAGCGCATTGCACGTCGAGAGCAGCGGGCCCAGCATGCGCCCGCGCTCAGCCACGGGCGCCACGTCTGCAACGATTCCGTACGCGAGCGCAGGGGCGGGCGAGCCGGCCACGCTCTGCAGCAAGCGCAGCGCCATGAGCGCCACGTAGCCGTTGGCGCGACGGGAATCTAGGCTGTTGAGCGCTAGGCCCAGGCTGGCGGCGGCGTAGAGCGCGATGAGCGAGAGCATCACGGGCCGGCGGCCGATGCGCGGCGAGTCGGCGAGCGAGGCGAAGAGTGCCGGGGAGAGGGCCTGCGCGATGGCGTAGGCTGTTACGGTGAGGTTGATGGATTGGATAGAGGTGCGGAATTGCGTGCTGAGGAGGGGGATCAGAGGGAAGTAGATTGTTGCTGTCAAGGTGGAGAGCGTGATGATGAACCCGAGGACGTAGGTCAGGTAGGTGCGCATCGCCAGGGAGAAGGTCGAGTACGGCTCGAGGTTTGGATGTTGGTGCTGTTTTGCTCCGTGTCAATGCTGCTGCTGTTGTGGTTGGCTGGTGCGTCTCGGGATTTGCCAATGATGCCAACCTGTACTGGCTCTGGAGGAGGGGCTGGCATTTCTGCTTCGCGGCTGGTTGCCATCTTGGCGTTTTTGTTTGTCGAGCAGAGTAATGGACAGACACCCAACGTTCAGTCGGGCGCGAAGTAAGGTATTTGGTATGTGAGAAATTGAGAATCGCCGGCGAAACGTGGTTGTGCGGCCATGTTCTCGGGAAAGGTTGAGGCCTGGTTTGCGGTGGTGTTTGGGTGGAAGGTTACATCTTGAACCGAGGAAAGTACGGGTGAGAATGTAATCGGGGGTAGGGTGTGGAAATGAAATTGAAATTTTCCGAAATTCAACCTTTTCTGTGAAATTTGAATTTCACGCCGGCCATTGAGTTTCAAAAGATTTCAACAGGGAGGTTGTTACATAAGATAGGGCACTGAACACGCCTAAGGCTGGGCCTGACCTGGGCCTGGCTGGGTAGTCAGGATGGGAGAACGGTGTAAGTAACCCTAACACGGGACCTTACCGCCTTCCATATATGGTTAGTATGAAATCTTGAAATTTCAAATTAAATTTCAAGGTTATCTGTAAATTGAAATTCGAGGCCCTCCTTGGAAATTTCCACACCCTAATCTGGGCTTATCGGGTTGGGTAAGGTTACTTGGGTTTGCGAAGCGGTCCGCCAACCTCAACCGCTCTTTCTCTGCACAGAACCTGGATTATCCGATCATCGCAATCAGTTCTCGCAACCGCTTTAAACACTTGAACAGCGGAAATGGCGATCGAAGCCAGCGACCAGGCCCTCCACTCGGTACAGAGTCTTTCCCCAAAGCTGAAAGAGGCGTTTCCAAGCTACACCGCGACTTTGACATCAAATGGCAACGCTGGCAACAAGCCATCTCACCTACATCCAAGTTCGTATCCCACTCTAGCTTGCAATCACCAGGTCAGTGGGTCTCTAGCCTTTCTTAGACCCACCTAGGTGTCGAT